GACTGCTCATACTTTAAAAAGTAAGGATATTGTTGGGAATCTGGTTCACAAACAAGAACTGTTACACTGCTCTCTCTGTAGACCCTGCTTCCTCCATGTAGCTGGCAGGGCAGATGGTTTCATCCTATATTATTCATGTCACTCCATGAAGCCTAACTGCAACTGTTGGCTGCTAGAAAAGGAAGGGTACTCTCTTCAGCACATTGGACAGCGACAGCAGACTAACACAATGTTTGACATAAAAGAAACTCTCCAAGCACCATTAACACTACCCCACACTTCATCCAACAGAGAGTCAGATGCGCCTAAGTACGAGATTCTGTGAGTTCTTTTGAGCAAAGCCCTAAAGTGCAGGGCAAAAGCTGCTGATCCCTCTCAGCCAATAAGTTACGTTCTGCACTGCCAGGCTCTTTTAACTCTCTGTCTGACCTAGTGGAGTCAGGAAGCTACGCAAAGGTGGACCCCACACAAGAAGTCACAAGAACCATTCTAAAATGCGTGCTGTCTTGGTTATGGTGCTAAGCATGTTCCTTTAAATGACAGCCTGCCTGACCTGCCGTGTGTGTATGAGAAGAGAGAGGGCACAGCTCAGCATTGATATGCTGAATATTTGTCTCTCCCCTTGGGGCGGGACCAGGCAGCATCCAAGGGGCTGGTTATTGACAGCTCAGTCTGTCTCCAGCAGGTGGAGAGAGAGGTTGACTGGCAGCCGGGATCCTGCTAAACTTGGGATCCTACAAAAATGTGCTATCACATCTCTCAGGAACATGCATACAAGCTGTGTGTGACTGTGTGAATGTAGGGGGGAGGCTGAGTGTGACTGTCAAAGGTCCTGAAAGGTCAATAAATAATCCTGGCTTGTATATACTGCATGTAAATCTTTAACCCTTACTCCCGCAAAAAGCAGGCTGTCCCAATTGTCCCTTGCAATCAATAAAGAGAAAATCAGATTTTTTTTTTTTTGTAAACACATATAATTATCATTCACTCTCATTTTGCTATTACTTTATCACCATCTGCAAATACAAATAGTATTCCTCATATATTCTTATCATATATTACCCTGCAAATCCCACAGAAATCATCATCTTTTACCTGGACAGATTAATACATGACCACTTCTCTAAGCATCTCTGGGACCGATTGGGTTTACACACACGTTTACTGATGTGAGTTTTTATTAACCCTTTCAGTCCGACAGGAATTCATTTTTTTTTTCTTTCTGTGGGGTTAAAAGGGTTAATACGTGACCACCACAACATATCTCTGCAACTGAAAGGGTTAATATATATTAATTTCTAATTATATACATTTCTGTTTTTTATGATACATTGTGTGTGTGTATACAATTTATAATTATCAATATTTATAATAATCTGCCTGTTATTTGAAGTGCAAGCGCATGGAGAATGCACTAACCCATCCATGGGACCTCAAAGAATCCAAAACTACAGTAAATGTTATTACAGTATATACATCGTATGTCTCTGTATGAAGATACCTATAATGTTGTGTTACTTGAGGTCCTAAGAGCAGGTTAGTGCAAAAAGCTACATATACACTCTAAGTCTGCACATAATATGTGTATAAATGTGTGGAACTTGATCAGCAGAAGAGAAGTAATGTAACATTACTGGTACTACATCTCTACATGAATATACTATAATAATACTTTATCGGTAATAATACGTTACCTGTAATATTTAAGGGAGACTATAGGCACACAGATTACTTTGTCTCATTAAAGTGGTCTGCAATGTAAAAACATGTAGTTTTAGAAAAACTGCAATGTAAATATTGCAGGGTTAAGGCTTCCTCTAGTGGCTGTACCCCAGACAGCCAATGGAGGCGCTTCCTGCTCTTTCATGAAGTTGAATTCCATTAAACCAGTTGAATTCCATGAAACAAGTCTGGACGTCCAGTGTCTTCAAATCCACCATAGGAAAGCATTGAGCTCGCCGCGCATGCACATTAGGTTTCACCTCACGATGACATCAGAGGATGTGGAATTGTAAATTGTAACCAAATGTAAAATTATAAATTGTAACCAAATGTAAAATTATAAATTAAGGGTTGAGTGCACTTCCACTATCTTTTTATATCTATCAGAGGATGTGGAGACAGAGTCAGCGCAAATGGATTTAAATGATTATTTAACCCTTTCATATTGGCGGGGTCGCAGGGGCAGAGGGACACTATAGTGTTATGAATAAAGCTTTGTATTCCTTACATTATAGTGTTCCTTTAAGTTTCTTGAGGTCCCGTGAGTAGGCTAGTGCACCCAGCTATACATGCACTCTGTGTGTGCTCCCACTTGGAATGACAGGCAGATCATTAAAGATAAACATGCAGATTGTTAATATAAAAAAAGTATTACTAAAATAAATCTAACATCAAAAGTAATTTTATATTAACCCTTTGCATCCCAGAGACGTAATGTAAACAAGCCATACATTAACCCTATCAGCCATATGGGGGATGATAAAATGTGGTGAATTCTGTGGGACTGAAAGTGTTAATAAAGACACATCAGTGAAATTGCCTTTTTATTAATCCTTTCAGTCCCACAGGAACCACAACGATTTATAATTATCATGTGACTGGAAGGGTTAATACGCAACCACCGCATGATATATCTGCCACTGAAAGGGTTAATGTATATTAATTTATAATGGTGTGAAGTGGCCATGTGTTACTCCTTCCAACTCCATCGGGGATTGTAATAGGTGGTGATTCCTGTGGGACTGAAAGGGTTAGCGCGCAACCACCATATGATATATCTGCGACTGAATGGGGTTAATGTATATTAATTTATAATATGTCAAGTGACCATGTATTAACTGAAGGGGTTAATGTATATTAATTTATAATATGTCAAGTGACCATGTATTAACTGAAGGGGTTAATGTATATTAATTTATATGTCAAGTGACCATGTATAAACTGAAGGGGTTAATGTATATTAATTTATAATATGTCAAGTGACCATGTATTAACTGAAGGGGTTAATGTATATTAATTTATAATATGTCAAGTGACCATGTATTAACTGAAGGGGTTAATGTATATTAATTTATATGTCAAGTGACCATGTATAAACTGAAGGGGTTAATGTATATTAATTTATAATATGTCAAGTGACCATGTATTAACTGAAAGGGTTAATGTATATTAATTTATAATATGTCAAGTGACCATGTATTAACTGAAGGGGTTAATGTATATTAATTTATAATATGTCAAGTGACCATGTATTAACTGAAGGGGTTAATGTATATTAATTTATAATATGTCAAGTGACCATGTATTAACTGAAGGGGTTAATGTATATTAATTTATAATATGTCAAGTGACCATGTATTAACTGAAGGGGTTAATGTATATTAATTTATATGTCAAGTGACCATGTATAAACTGAAGGGGTTAATGTATATTAATTTATAATATGTCAAGTGACCATGTATTAACTGAAGGGGTTAATGTATATTAATTTATAATATGTCAAGTGACCATGTATTAACTGAAGGGGTTAATGTATATTAATTTATAATATGTCAAGTGACCATGTATTAACTGAAGGGGTTAATGTATATTAATTTATATGTCAAGTGTATATTAATGTTATATTTATATGTCAAGTGACCATGTATTAATTGAAGGGGTTAATGTATATTAATTTATATGTCAAGTGACCATGTATAAACTGAATGGGGTTAATGTATATTAATTTATAATATGTCAAGTGACCATGTATTAACTGAAAGGGTTAATGTATATTAATTTATAATATGTCAAGTGACCATGTATTAATTGAAGGGGTTAATGTATATTAATTTATATGTCAAGTGACCATGTATAAACTGAAGGGGTTAATGTATATTAATTTATAATATGTCAAGTGACCATGTATTAATTGAAGGGGTTAATGTATATTAATTTATATGTCCAGTGACCATGTATAAACTGAAGGGGTTAATGTATATTAATTTATAATATGTCACGTGACCATGTATTAACTGAAAGGGTTAATGTATATTAATTTATAATATGTCAAGTGACCATGTATTAACTGAAGGGGTTAATGTATATTAATTTATAATATGTCAAGTGACCATGTATTAACTGAAGGGGTTAATGTATATTAATTTATAATATGTCAAGTGACCATGTATTAACTGAAGGGGTTAATGTATATTAATTTATATGTCAAGTGACCATGTATAAACTGAAGGGGTTAATGTATATTAATTTATAATATGTCAAGTGACCATGTATTAATTGAAGGGGTTAATGTATATTAATTTATATGTCCAGTGACCATGTATAAACTGAAGGGGTTAATGTATATTAATTTATAATATGTCACGTGACCATGTATTAACTGAAAGGGTTAATGTATATTAATTTATAATATGTCAAGTGACCATGTATTAACTGAAGGGGTTAATGTATATTAATTTATAATATGTCAAGTGACCATGTATTAACTGAAGGGGTTAATGTATATTAATTTATAATATGTCAAGTGACCATGTATTAACTGAAGGGGTTAATGTATATTAATTTATAATATGTCAAGTGACCATTATTAATCCTTCTAACTCCACTGGGATCGTAAAAGGTGGTGGTTCATGTGGGACTAAAGGATTAATAAAAAAAGAGAGAAAGTGTGCATATTAACATGTTTTAGTCCCAGAAATGTTATGCAGAGTGCTCATGTACTAACCTTTCAGTCCCAAGGGGTTGGTAAAAGGTGGTGATAGCTAAGGGAAATTAATACAAATGCTAAAATATATAACAAGAATTGTATTCGCAGCAGGTGATAACAGAATAGAGAAGAGAAGAGGGAGAGCATTCTGATATACAGAATAAAATGCAGACTTGCTTTTTATTGGTGGTAAAGGACTTTTTGCATGGGAAGAGTTAATGATTTTCTGGGCAGTGACAACCACACTCCTCCTCTCTCTGATCCTCCCCCTCCCTCCCTCTCCATACAGCCTCACAGCCAGAGTGCGCGGAGATGTACTAACACATCCTTACAGGGAAGCAAGTTCAGCACCACACCGGCTCCTAGCTCTCCCCGCAGGGCTCTCTCCCATTCCCCCTGAGTGCAGTCACCGCACAGTCCCTGGTTGACAGCGTTCTTGGTATCTGTGGCTGCATTGCACCTTGTGTGTCTGTCTCTCCGGGTGTTCTTTGTCTCTGGAATGGAGAAGTATTTGCCCCAGCTGCTGGCTGAGAAAGACGCCCTGGATCCCTCATTCACTCATGCTATCAGGATGGTCAATGAAGGTGAGGAGCTGACAGTGAGTTTAATGCTGTACCCAGGGAACCCCCAAATCCCTCCTGCACCCACATTATTACTAGGTAATAGTGTGCATTCTGTGTGTATGTATGGACAAGGAATTGATTGCCTTTTCATCTGGTGCTGAAATACTTTTAATTTCTGGATATCTAGACTGTCTATTTATACTGAGTATTTTTTCCCTGCTTTTGTTCCCTGGATTTGAGCATTATGTGCAGTTTAATCAGACCAGATGCAGCATTCTTCATTATTTTTTTTATTTTATTTGTATTTTTTTTTTTTTTTTGTATGTGACAGTAACCTTGGTTTGTGAGATTCCATAGAATTCTGTGATTTTTACTGCTGGTCTTGACAGCTCTAACTGATCTCAAAACCTCTTTTAACATGTGCTCCTGTTGACTGGGGAGTATTTAATTTCCCATTAGTCTGTACAGGTAGATTCTGGAGAAATCAGATTTCCTGCCCTTCTAGGGGGCTTTAATTTGGGAAGATTCTGCTTTGCAAGTTCCTTATTCTAACTGCAAAGACTAGGCTGCAGTTAAAAAATCTTTCATATCTCTGCAGAAAATGATAATCTAAAACTTTTTTTATTTCTCTGATGATACAGACTAGTTCTCTTGCTTATATTTAAATACTTGCTGAAATAGGGTGGTATTAATACTGTTTTTTTTTTTTTTGTTTTTTATATATATATATATATATATATATATATATATATATATATATATATATATATATATTTGCTCTGTGCTTTGGATGTCATTTTAGCCTGTCTCTTGTATTACATTGTGTTTACATTATCTTACAATATTTTATGATTTAAAAAATTTTTTTTTTTTTATGAAGGACTTAACTAGTACTTGGTAGCTCTGCATGATGGGACTAGAAGTCTTTAATTCTGACTCTCCCAGTAATAGGTGTCTGTTACCTTAATTTACTATAACTTTGATGTGTGAGAGTCATGCCAGATTTGATGGATTGCCATTTGAAGCATATTAGACTTGGGGTATTTTTTGATTCATCCCACCCTGTGGCTGCTTTTCTGGCAGGTTCAGCTTCCTTTCTCGTGAGTAAACATTTTTGAATGTATTTTCTTGAAACTTGGCTAGCAATCAGGCCATCTATAAGCTGTTTTAATGAACAGCTTGAGGTTTCAGACTGTGCAATGTTACCCTACAATTATTCTATTTAAGACTGCTGTGGTGTGTAGTGTTTAACTCTTTATGTGCCAGGATATTCAAAGAACCATTCTTTGCTCACAATTCAAACCCAATAGATGAGCACCTTAACAGAGCTGTCCAAAGCATTGTCTGCAGATCATGTTTGGTTTTCACCCCATTACGGCTAATTACTGCTGCTGGTGGCTTTGTTAGTAATTGCTTCATTATTCACAAGGTCCTCGGGCATTTTGACTGTACAGATGTAAAGACATGAAGGAGATATTTAATGTAACGCCAGGCTTGTTATTGTATGGCCCCCTTTGGTGAGGAGCATTTGGTGTTGCATGTGCAATGCGTGCACACTCAGCCCCTAGAGGCAATGCTGCAACAACAGAAGTGCGTTTTATTAATTCTGAACCTTCTTGGGGGCACGCATCTTGGGGGAAAATGTAATATTTCACTTCATTCACTCATCCATTCTGTAAATGCAATCACTGCGTTCAATTCAGTCGCATTCTGAAACCTTGACTCTAAATATATATGGTTTTTAAGTAATTGGGGATAAAACATCCTTCTAGTTATTTATCATGTTAATTATTGAAGATAGATGAAATGGGCAAAGACAAATTGAGTTGCTATTTGTTTGTAATATTACACTTAAAAAAAAAAAAATATATATAATTTGTTTTTTTTTTTCCATGAATAATTGTAAGAGTTTCTGACAAGTGACAAGATGAGAGCCTGTTTTGCTAGAGATTCCTTATGTGCCATCTTGTATTTTGCTCTGTCTGACGCCTGTCTTTCTTGACATGCTCATCACTAGAGGTTTCTCACAAATTGGCAAGATTAAAATGGAATTTGTTGCATAATTCACACAACCTGACTCCTTCTGCATTGGGATTAAGTGTTCTGCACTCAGATTCCTGTACAACACCAGTGAGAATGCAGCTGAGCCCAGAGCTACGTAAGGGAGTCCATTAGGCGTTAAGACCAATAATCTGATAGAAGCTGGATATAGCAATTCATGGTTTATTTTTATTTTATTTTTTTAGTTTACTCCTTTTTCAAAGATGAGGTCTTTGGTCACAAATGTTGCAAACTGAGCTGTGCACAACAATTGTGTGTGTGTGTGTGTGTGTGTGTGTGGTGGAGTCTGTTAACTAAACCAAATATTGCAGATAATTTTGCAAGAGTATTGTAATGTTTCTGGCAAAACGGCTGATCTAGGCAATTTATCAGGTTTTCTATTTTGTCCTATGATTTGTGCCCCCCCCCTTTGTGTTTTGTTTTGTTGCACTTCTTTAGGTAAATAACTCCCTCTGCATCTACACCTACAATTCCATGTTTTTTTTTTTTTGTTTGTTTGTTTTTGTTCTCATCCAAAGTACACTTTGAGTCTACTGATCTCAAGGAAACTTTAAGAAATAAAACCACAATTGCCTTATGGTTGTAGGATATATTTCTCAGATCCGGATTATACAAGGATTTCCAGGTCCACAGAATGTAAAGTATCAAATGTATGCTTCAATCCATGCGTTCCATTAGTTACTTGATTCTGTGCTTCTTGCTTGTTGAAGATTTCAAACATTAAGTTTAACAAGACCTGTTTTAAGAGACAAGAATAACAGACTACACAAAGCTGTGCTCATTGCTGACCCTTAGCAGTCAGTCTTCTCCACTCTACTGCACAGCCTAAATCTGTGGTCCCTGGAGAGATTTTGTGTGCATGAAGATAAACACCATTCCTGGGCTAGCGTTAAACACAAACTCTTGGCGAACAATATTTGAGGTGCCATGCTTACATTTTATGGTGGTTCCTGTAACTGGGGAGATCGATCTATTGATCTTGCCTCACATGACTTGTCAATGTCCTCGTAATCAAGTTTTCTATTGTATCTGAAAAATTTGAATTTACAGTTGCTCATTTTTTTTCTGTAGCTTGTATTAATCATTATTACTTTCATTTTCTCTTTTTTGCCATTTTTAGGGTGAGTTTAACCTCTAATAACATCTTCTCTTTTCCTCATATTAAGAACTCTAAATGAAGGTATTTCTGGAGCTTACACCCTCGATAAAATAATCAATGTACCACAACCACATTGTGCAGTATTAGAATCTATTGATTAACAATAGGGCTGACAAGCCTATGTAATAATGCATTAGAATGCATACTTTCAGAAGTATAATGTGGTCCTACACTTGGAATCTGTCCCTTCACACATCTTTTAAAGTCCATCAATTTCAATATTTCATTCACTACCACTCAAAAAAGAAATCTTTTGAAAACATTTCCAATTGTGCCTCAGTTGCGTCCTTCAGGAATTTCTAGTGGCCCAACAACTGGTTATCGGTATCTTACATTATACATCTGCATGGTGTTCTTTGCTAAAGCTATATATCTAGCTATTTTTTAATGGCACTCAGTGATATTTACTAAAGGGAGAATTTAAAGCAAGGATTTGCATGGGTAAAAAAATTGGCTCGGAAATTCGTGTGTGTGTATATGTCTGTCTGTCTGTCTGCTTCGGACATTCGCAAGCGTCCGAATGGCATGAAATACATACGAAACAAATCGTACATGTCTAATTCAAAGTGATTTTTTTTTTTTCCCATTTCACCTATTATGGCATTAAATTTGAAATTCACTTTGAATTTTCACCTGGTACATAACACTGTTAATTTTTATAGAAAGCCATCTTGTTTTGTTTGCTCTAAAAAAAAAAAAAAAAAAAAAAAAAAAGATTTTACCAACTGCAATTTATTTTATTTTTTTGATTCAGTGGATGACCTTTGTACAGTTTTGAGATCTATCTAGTGAAATGCTCTCATACTTGGCTTTAATTTGTAAACTTGTAGAATATACCAGAGGCAATGGTTTGCCTGTGCTCATTGTTAAGTGGTTGTGTGTAGGCGTTAATCCGCCTACATGAAGTGGGTCAACTTTTTATTTTCTTTCTTTTTTTTTTAATATAAAAACAACTGTTCAATCTTCTTCTTTGGAGCTGAAGCGGGTTTACAGTCAGTCCCATTTTTGGAATAGATAGGATTCTAAACTAAAAACAAACATCAGTCATCAATGTTTTGGTTACCTGCCGTTCACTTTCAATGTAACAAGTTTCTTCTGTATATGTACTGTTGTCATGGCTTTTATATTCAGGATTCAGTTTGAGACTTGCTTCTCGTGGGAAGAGCAGTGATAACATAGCACAACAAATGACTGATTAGCACTTAATGTTGAGAATGCTATTTATTTAAACTAGTTTTGTCAATGAGCAATGCTAGGAAAGTCCTTTTATATTGCAATAATGTAAAATGTGGTCATTTTTAGGTTGCAAGTGTGAGATCTAGTGTGGATCTATAACACAAGCATATGACAAAACTTTGGTTATAGTCCTGTAATGTCACTTGTATTTCCAAAATCTGTCTTGTCTCACACCAAATGCTCATGACAACTATACATCTACGATATCACCAAATGTTGTTGTTGTTGTTGTCTTGCCTGCCAGCCCCTTTGTTGTTGAACATTTTATTTAAAAAACAAAAACAAAAAAAAAACTTTAGTTTGTTCATTGACTCCTAACATGTCAGTATTTTCCTGGTTACTTATGACAAGACGTCAATGCCTCTTGAATTCATTAATTATGTTTGCATTCAATTTGTGTGTGTGTGTGTGTGTGTGTGTGTGTGTGCGCATGTGTGTGCGCTCTGTACATGAGTCCAGAAAAATCTAAAAATAAAAAGCAAAACTGTTGCATGGATTAACTTGTATAACAGCCATAATGTCCAGATCTTGGTTTTTGACCTATTCAGGGTTCCATCAAGTGACTACATTTAAGGTGGCCACTTGTTCCTGTCTTATCTTGGAAGCTTAATAAAATGTCTGCTACAGAGACAAGTGTTTTAACTATATGACTAGAATAGATGTATGCCATATTTCTCAATAAATAGAAACACTGTTCAAAGCTGCAGATGGTTAATTTCCTCACACAGTAAAGCACATTTTTATCTGTCGTTCAAACCACTCTAATTGACTGCAGAGTTCGGTCTCCAGCCAAATATCAAACTATTGGAACAATGTTCTGGCGTTACGCTTTTAGTGCTTAGTGACAAACCAAAAAATTTAATATAATAAACAATTAAAAAATTAACTGATATTGTAGAAATCAGACATATGGTAGTATGCCCGCACGCAATCCAAATCTCAATGATGTCTTCTGCTCTCAGTCAAGTCACAAAGGGTTGAAGTGATATTTTAAAAGCGACTTTAATATAGAGGTTAGAAAAGCTATCAACTTTGCTTTTGCTGCAAGAGTGAACATATTTAGCTTCAGAGTACCCCTTTCCAAAACATTCTGCCTCCAAATATATCATTTTATGAACTTTTACAATATGTGCTTTTGGCCTCAAAACTAAAGTGTCTAAAATTACAGACTCTCTGCAGGACTGGACCGGTCTGCCCCTTCTGTTGTTGACATACGAAATGCCATGATCACAAACTAACTTCTATGAGATTATGGTCATCACTTTAATTCAACAGTTTGAACGTTTCTTGGGTTCAGCACCATGCTTGGGCAATATGCTCGACGTTGGAATGATGGAATGTATTGCATCAACCATTTTTTTGTTTTTTTTTTTGTTTTTGTTTCTGTTTTCACAGGCAGGGCTATTCCTTCACTGATGGCTTGAACTAAACATGCATACAGCTGTTTTTACTAATGAATTTTTAACAAATGATGTTGAGTCAAAAAAACAAGATTATGCTGCCATAGGCGGCAGCAATTATTCATTCCCATGATAATTTATAAATATTTGTTTTGACTCGAGCATTTATCATGGAATTTCCATTTTTCTATGCATAGCCATTTTAACTGTTTACACTGTAAAATGAATTGCCTCTAAAATTAAAGTTGACCTGTCGGTGAAAATGTGCATAAAGTTAATAATGAACTTCATAATTTATGTATAGGTTTTATAAAATAATCTCTCTCTCCGCCAGGAGTAGTAAACCTTCCCAAAATGATCCTGGCAAAGCATCAGGGGAGATGTAATCTGCAACACCCGAAGTGCTATAGTTCGCCTAAACCTTCTCTGTGCTAACCAATAGGTGAACTGAAGGAACTTGTGGGAGTGCACGGTTTGCATTGATGAATATCCTAATGACCAGCATTGTTAATGTTTATATGGCAGCAATGTATATACTAAAATCATCCTGGGATACAATCACATTTTTACCCTTACTAAAAATATGGCCTGCTTAATTTAGAGATTAAACTGTGTCCTCTTTAAAGAGCCACCAACTACATGAATTTATTTATTTATTTTTTTTTTATTGGGGTTTTTTTTTTTTTTGGAAAGATAAAGGGACTTAGTTAATTTAGTATAATTCTGTCTGCATCATAAACAAAGTATGTGGGTGTGAATGAGGCCAGTCACCATGATTTGAGACTTGCTAGAGTCAAAAGGCACTTTCACCCTCTAAAGACCCAAAACCTTAAACTATATAATGGGAACTTGTGCGCATAGCCCATTGGCATTCGTTAACATTAAGTTCATTGAGGAAATCTCAAGCATAAGTGGCATTACTAGATGCATGTGGATAATTGTTTTATGTATATTTGAAGTTCTGTCCAGGCATATCTACTTTATGTTCTACCCTAGAATACATCAGAGGTCGGCGAAGGTGTGCGGAATTGTCACTTTTGTTTCATGAAGAGTAATGGTAGATGAGATCTCTTGAAAGGTTTGTGTTTTATATAATATATACTTCAGTCTGTATGTTGAAAGAACACTTCAAACAGCTGAAGCACCTTCAATTTGCTGAAGTGTATTGGGGGTTAACCATATCCCTTTTTCTTAGTTTATGGAGGTGTTAATTTGCAGAGAAATGTTTTATAAAGCACCCAGCTGGCAGATCTCCAGGAAGGTGCTGTTTCTCCCGTGCTTTGAGTGTTCACTTAAAGGAACGCTATCGTGTCTAACTATTTAGGTCCCCAACCCCCTCTGATAGCCGTACAAAGGTGTTTGAACTCACTTTTTTCCTACGTTGTGCCGGTCTTGCTTCCATGGCTGGCTGAGATAATCCATCTTGATGAGCCCATCCAATCCAGTGGTTTCCCATAGGACTGCATTGGGAGGCTATTGAGAATTCATGGCGAAACACGCCATTCCAATCAGCATCTCCTCATGAATCAGTGCATCTGTATGGGAAGCGTTTAGTGTCACCATCCAGAGCTTTGGAGATGCCGAATGTAGGTGCTGCACACTGTGCAGTAATGAGCCCAGAAGCACCTCTAATGGCCATCTGAATGACTGACTGCAATTAGGTGTTACTAGCCAGCAATGTAAACACTGCATTTTCTCTGGCAATTTAAATTATCAGCCCCATGTCAAAATTGGCAATTATTTTTTGACTCCAAAATGTCACTGATTTATTTCTATCCATTGGATCAACAATCGGTTACTGCACCTATCCATGGAGTTTTTTTTAAATAAAATTAACAAGGGATTTTTATATATGCACTATTTTAGGTTCCCAAATATCTGTTAAGTGATAATGCACATTTTTACCTAGGTTGTTGCTTACAACAATACACAAATCCTTGCTGTATTGTGTTATGTAACTATGTCCCATATAGGGTGTAGGTTGCTTATGATTTCCTTATATCCCAAATGCGTAACTTTGCATTTATATACATTGTATCTTGTCTTCTCTGTAAATGTTTATCCAGATCATGCTGTAGTGACATGCTTATTACATTACCAAGTTTTGTCATCTGCAAACACTGATATGAGACTTTTTTTTTTTTTTTCTTTTTCAATGCCCATTACAAAATCATCAAACAGATTAAAGAGAAGTGGATCCAGAACAGAATTTAATACTTTTGTCCATCTTGAATATTTTATTATCTGTACCCTTGCGCAAGGGAATCTTAAATGCAAGAACAAGGAAGCTCCATAAAAATGAATAACTATTTTTTTAATTGGTACAGTAACATTTTGGGTGGAATTCCATCAAATGAAAGTGCAGAAACAGAGTAGATCAATTCTTCTGCAACACTCTGATCTATACTTCATGTGACTTCTTCATGGCATGTACTTAGATTGTATAATGCTCACTGTGTATAGTGTATAGAAGGGGTGCCCAAAAGGTAGATCCACAGATGTTGTTGGACTAAAACTCCCATGATCCTTTGGAATGCTTTTAAAATGGCAAAGCATCATGGAAGGTGTATTTTTAAGACCTCTGTAGAGCTACCCTTTGGGCACCCATGATGTATAGTCACTAGCTTCCCCCACACCTCCCCATTTGCCTCCAGCTGCATGCATATTATACATTGCAGTATAGATGATTGGATACAAGCCTGTATATATGTAATACTGAGTTTGCAATAACTTTTGAGCATATTTATACCACAAATGATCATTTTAAATCTTTCTACAGATTAGGGAGTCGATTAATTCCCAAGTATTGCTAGATAAGTCAATTCCTCTTTTTTTGCCTTTGTTAAACCCAGACTATGCCTATTATCGGTTTTCTAGAAACCTCTAGGCTGCTGTGAGCACTTTTAAATTAGAAAGCTCTATAAAGTACTTTACTAAAGGTTTCATTAATCAGGTTGTAGAATTCTACTGCACTGCCTTTGAAATAAGGCTCTTTTTTTTTTTTTTCTTTTTTTTTTTTCTCACCGGTGTGCACAGCAGTGTGCACGAAGAATGCGTCAGAAAAAGGAAATTAAAATCTTCTTGAAAATGAGTCTTTATTTCCAAGAGATGTCAATGATATTAATGACATTGTACTGGATTGGCAATAAGAAGAAATACTTTAGCTTGAGAGTTGAGTAATATTATTTAAATTGCTGAATTTAACATTTTAAATACACAAAACAATATTGTGACGAATCATTGAATGCACTTAGCTGGACTATTCCACAATGTGTGCATTCATTTTGATGTTCAAATAAGAATTAGGTCTCAATTGACGTGGTTTGAATCAGAAATGATTCCATTCTATTAAAAGAGGGGGGAGGTGCTTTTATCTGTAGATCTCGTTAAAATCTACAAGAATTTTTATAATGGAAGCCTGGATATGGTAGTCAAAACTCCATATTAAAACTATAAAACTAAGGAAAATAACCATTGTTAAAAACCCTAACACGCCACAGTCATCCCATGCTGTGTGGGAAAGCAATATATAATAAAATCAAATGGTCTCACCACCCCAATAAAATCAAACTGTACTGCAAATAAGTTTATACAAAAAAGTCTCTTTCTAAGTTACCTACTGTGCTGTATAGTGGGTATCTCGTATAATCAAGTTAAAGTTCCATTTCCAGTGGAAATAATCTGATGGCTTCTGGATGTAAATGTGCGTCCAATACAATCTTGCGGCACATCATCACAATGTCCCTTCTGTCCTTAGCTCCATAGAGATGATACCTTCCTCAGGAAGTGGAAATCATCCCAGTCTGCTTTATCTTAATCCACCTGAAGTGTGGACAACTGCACACGATGCCTCTATATTTAAAATTGGCAAAAAATGTTTATTGGTTGCATGTTCATATGTGATGTATTCTGTGATACATTGTGTTATCTTATTTTGATATGTTCTCGAGATATACCAGCTGTTATTAAACTTTTGTACACTGTTGGTATTTAATTCCAGAGTAGATGTCTTTCAATCACCTTTATTGTTATTTGTGGAGAGAACATAAATTATTTTCAGGGTTAAATTTCAGATTGTCGCTCATCACATGTATGTTGCTGCCTAGATAAAAATGTTCATTGGAATTAATCTGTATTATCTTTTATCTATTATTGGACTATATACAGTGAGAAATAGGTGGTAACAATACTTGACCATCTATGACAACATAAATCTATCAGTAAGATATAACTATAAATTATACACCTATATAGCATGATATATTAACAACCAGTAAAATTGATTAGGAGAGATTCCAGACAATATCCAAAAGGCAAATGTATATTACAATTTAAACATACACAATCTAGCTTTATGTTTTTTTAATAAAATAATATGAACATTTATTTTAGTTAATCAATTTACTCAATTCCATAATTTTTTTTTTTTTTCTCCCCTCCATGCATTTTAATTTGCTTAAATAGCTCTATAAAATAAGTGGGATGGATTCTACTCCAAAAATACTGAAATACTATTATTGAAATACAATTCATAGATCTCCTTTTGGATATTGCCTATGTATCCTGCCATTAAACTTTTAAAGGGATACTGTAAGTCTGTAAGTGCCAGGAACACAAAGCTGGTTCCCTGGCAATATAGCTCTCTTCTACAAATGTATCCTTCTAACTTTATAAAAAAAAAATAAAAAATGCTCAACCGCTCAACAACCTTATTCATGGGAAATTATGGTGTACAAACTATTTATATTCAATGTTAAAAGTATACTAAATTCAACTTGAAATTATTTTAAAACATTTAGCAATTGAGTAGAAACCTTCAAATTAAACCAATGTTTGTAAAATGTTGTCTATATATTATGAAAAAAGACTTAAGTGATCCGATCCCTGATCCTATCTGTATCCCTGCGTCCTGGGGAATTTGAGGATCTGATATAAAATTTAAAAGAATATTGGATCAGCATTCCATTATTTTATATTGTATCCAAATTAAGAATCTTTTTGGTTTTTAAGGTGCGTGACTTTTTTTTTTTTTCTTCTCTAAAAACACCATAGACACAACTGGATAATTCCTAAATCCCAGACTGGTAGGGGTGCCTGACAACTGGTTTGGAAACCACTGGAGTAAAGAATATAACAAAAAGTAACCAATTAAAAAAAAAATAAAAAAAAAATATTTGAACCCAATAATCAGGCCATGCACAAGTCTATAAGGCTCTTTTGAGGAAGACTTTGTGTTAAAATTTGTTGTGCAACTGTGTACTTTTCCTTCATGATTACTTGCATTGGAACCCAATCTCCAATATTGATAAGGAAGGTAATTTGTGTTTTTAAAGGAATGTGTACAAAGGTACCATGATTTGCTCAATTTTACTTCTATTTCAGAGGTATTCCTTTTGCAGTTTAAAGGAAAGGAGCCATCATTACTTTACCGGAAATTTGCTATATTATTCTGTATGAGTGTGCTGCATTCTATGGCTCAGATAAATGTGAATTTAAAACTACATGACCATTAGCTGCATTAAAGCTCTTCTTTTGTAAGACTGCATAGCACACCCCAACGTCTGGGGGGATTGTTTTAAAAATAAAAAAATTTGGAATTAACAAAAAAAGCCACATGCTCTGAATTGTCAGTCCTTTGTAGTTTCCCTGGTGCTGAGGAAGAAGTATGTTATGGTTTTTGTCTTGTCTCACTTGCAATGCAGCAAGTTTGCCTTTAAGATTTCACAAGAAGTTGTTGGGGTGTGTTTTTTTTATTTATTTATTTTTTTTATTCATTAAATCCATCTCTTCCTGATAAAGAACCCATAGTCATAGGTTTTCTTAATTCCTTTGATTCATATGTATACCCCGCTCTGACTTCTGCATGCTGCTGCACTGCTAACACAACTCTTTACATTTTGCTAGTCAAGTGATTTTTTTGTACGCAGAAAACCAAATGTTCCTCCATCGCACTAGTTGTTTGCTCTGCTAAACATCCATTTGGCTGTTTGGAAATGTGGAATTTGGCTGAAGTTCCAAATATTTCTCAGAAACATGTCTCTTTATATCACCAAAATGTTTGATTTCTGACTAATTTGAATTCGTTCCCTTTTTAAATTCCCAGAAATATGCCTTCCAAACTTCCCACACAGAAGGTAAAGATGCAAACCTGAACCTATAAATGAAGACTTTCTGTCTATCCTAGAAACCAATGGAATATAGCATTCCAATACACATTTATAAAACAAATTAAGGACAGATGAAACTTGCAAAAAGTATTTTAAAAGCTCGCAATGAATACCAGATCCATCCATATACAGAGCGCATTAGACTTGGCGCTACGCTATCCAGCTAGTTCTACTAGAACATAAAAAGGAGAGAATCTATAAACTAGTATACCGTGAACAACGGCCCCTTTGTAGCTAAGGTTTTCATATCAAAACTCAATTACATATATATGTTATAAAAAATTGATGTAAAATTATGAATTGAGTGGTATCTGTACTTTCGTGCATGTCTGACACAGACAACTGAGGTCTTTTAAATGCGAGCATTCCATTATCTCCAATTGATGCTGCATCTACCTATAGTTCTTGGCCAAGGAAACATGATTTCAGGGAGTGTAAATGAGTGGGAGTTGTGGTCCGAGAAACCCATTCCCAAGAAGACCCTTGTATGTTGCTGTTGTCTGCGGTAAGGTTACGGCATCTGTCGAGCCAGGGAAGTCCCAATGGTCTACGTCCAGATTTCAATTTCAAGTAAATTCATTTAGTTTCCTGCAAATGTCAAACTACCACTATCAAAAGGCTATATCCTTAGGGCTTTAGGCAACAACCCTCTTTATTCATGTTCCAACCTTGGTCCCCTTCCACCCCATACATAAATGTTGTGGTTGATGATGTTTAATACATCTCAGGATGTTCGTTAAGGATTGCTTGAAACAGAAATTGTACTCTAGAAAGCATGTTAATCTTAAGTGTATGTAATGTCTACCAAACCATGATATGCTCCTTATTTCAGAGTGCACAGTCTACCTGATGTCTCCTCAAGAAGAGACATGAAACTTCATAGATATAACTCATCAAAATGTGTTGGCACCCATATTCCCAAAGTTATTCAATGGTTCACTATTCCTAGGGTGCAACATCACATTAAGGATTTCCACTTTTGTTCTTGTTGAGTCTGAGGTTTGAAAAGGTACTAAAATTCCAACATGTGGCCGCCGTATGTACGTGCCCCACCCCAACCTTTGAAATTCAGAGTTTGCAGGAGGTGCTCCGTTCCAATGGTAGAATGAAAAAGATGTGGGAGTAGGATAGCTCCAAAGATATGAAATCTTTTGCTATCTGACCATTTAAATGCTTTGTGATATATTTTTTTTCTTATGTTCGCTTGTTTAGGCCTTAGGACTTGCCCCTTCTGTGGTAGTGATATATAGTGACTGGTAAGAACTAGAATCCATATTTATTCCAGAAGCCAGGTGCGTGATCTTTATTTTAAATGTATGATCCTCTGCCTTTTCTGGAGTGGAAGTATAAAATTTTTGCAAGATTTGTGGTGGCAGGATTGAGTTTCTCCCAATCTAGGGATACACAGGAGTTTTCTACAGGAAGAAACTCCTGTATTTTAGTGGCCCACCACCAACTTCCAGTAAATTTGTAAAAAACACAACCTTATGTAGAAAGAAAACTGGTCACTGGTGATCGGCTTTTAGTAGGGAAAATCACACCAGTTCAATAACTCAATCTATCTACTAATCTATAGCTAGGTTTATGCCCACTAGCCCTTTGACCTTATATTGAAATACATATATATATATATATATATATGTGTGTGTGTGTGTGTGTGTGTGTGTGTGTGTGTGTATATATATATATATATATATATATGTGTGTGTGTGTGTGTATATATATATGTGTGTGTGTGTGTGTGTATATATATATATATATATGTATTATGTTTATTACTGGTTCTCTCAGCTTTGTAGTATTATTTGTGTATTTCACCACATGTTTAAGGACATGTCACGAAAGGCTAGTCCTTGTCCAAAATACAGTACTGCATGGTAGTTCCATTGGGGGCTGTCTATCATGTTTGTTCAGGGATTCAAGTAGCAGTGTTTTGGTACCTACTTGCTGGCTCCACTAGTCCTTGGTCCCAGGGACATAATAAGCAAGATTTATGCCTGAGAGCTGCAAGTTCCTTTGTAAAGGCAGTAGTTGGAAGCAGGGTAGGCAGAGGGGTCTATGCCTGCTTGGCAGGACAAGGCTTTATTGAGGTATGCCTTGCTCGGGTAGCTGTAGCTACAGGCTTCACCCCCTTTATCAGTAGTGGTCTTCACTGGTGGCATATGGTCACAGGGACTAATAGCAATCTTACCTATTTTAACTATACTGGAGTTGCCAAAACCTTATTGAGGTTCCCCACACTATTTTACGCACCTTAACACACACGGTAGTGCCAGAGGATGTCTAGTCCTAAAGACACTACTACTTTTACTAAAATAAAACTGCAACTCGCATGGTGTTCAGGTCTCCATATGGTTTGTTGGTTGACTTCAAAATAAAGGGCATGCAATGTGCAAAGTTTTTAGTGTGCTGACCGAGGCTTTTGTAATTGACTGCATCTTTAATATCTTCCTAAGCTTTTCATCAGATCCATCCATGAAATAAACTGTTAACTATTTCATTGCTTGTAGTAAGCCTCCTTAATGGTAGATTGTGTTGTGTAAACCATTTCTGCCATGGCAACAAAATAATAAAGCAGATATCATTATATCACTCTGTTGCAGATTTGGGCTAAGTATGCAGAGATTTGGACAAACAGTCACTTAACTTTATTTTTTTTTGTCTTTTTAGTATTCTTATTTATATAGCGCCAACCGAATCCATAGCGCTTTACACTATTATGAGAGGGGATTAAACTATAAATAGGACAATTACAAGAACTTACAGGAATGATAGGTTAAAGAGGACCCTGCTCAAACAAGCTTACAGTCTATAGGAGGTGGGATATAAAACACATTGGGACAAGAAATGGCAATCTAAATAGGTTGGAGTGAAGCCAAGTTGGAGGAGAGAGTAAATTGCTGCCCTTTTGGAGAGAGCAAGAGACAGGAATGTGAGGTAGAGTTTACTCTGGGAGGCCATAAGCTTAACTAAAGAGATGGGTTTTAAGGCACTGTGGCAGTAGGCAGGCTATTCCATAGGAAGGGAGCCACCTGCGAGAAGTCCTGCAAGTGTGAGTTGGCCATACGGATGCGAGCAGAGGACATGAGAAGGTCACAGGCAGAGTGGAGAGACTGGGAAGGGGCATACCTCAGGATCTGTGAAGAGATATGAGAGGCTAGAATTGGTCAATGCTTTATAGGTATGGGTTAGCACTTTGAATTGACTCCTTTGGGATACAGGAAGCCAATGTAAGGACTGACAGAGGGGTGAGGTGTGAGAGGAAAATCAGTCTGGTGGCAGCATTCCTTACGGACTGTAGTGGGGCAATACGGTTTTTGGGAAGACCAATTAGGAGAGGGTTACAATAATCCATGCAGGAAATTACTAGAGCATGGACAAGCTCTTTAGTAGCATCTTGCATCAGAAAGGGACAGAAGCGAGCTAGGTTTTTAAGATGGAATCTACAGGATTTGGGAACATTCAGTTTTAGAGAGATTTAGTGTTAGAAAACAGGAGGACATCCAGTCAGAAATGGAGGAAAAGCAAGCAGTGACACGTTGCAGGATGGCAGGGGAGATGTCAGGGGAGGAGATATAACTGGGTGTCATCAGCGTACCGGTGGTAGTGGAATCCAAAAGAGGCAATACGTTTGCCAAGAGCGGCAGTTTAAAGAGAAAATAGAAGGGGACCAAGGATGGAGCCTTGGGGGGGGGGGGGCTCCAACTGAGATAGGATGAAGGGGTGAAGTCTCATTAGGAAAGGAGACACTGAGCATTGGAAAAGACAAGAAGAAAACCACAACAGGACAGTGTCACAGAGTGATTGACTAGTTTTGAAGAGGGAGAGCATGATCAACGGTATCAGAGAGGTCAAGAACAATTAGTATGGAGTAGGGTCCTTTGGATTTATTCCTAAAACAAATTATATAAACTGTAAAGTCAAAGGACAAAACCATGTAATGTAGGCCAGAACTAACAAAACTAAAATAAAGTCTCTGGTTAAACAAGTAGGCAGAGGTTTACCAGGTGACCAGAACCGAATCAGGTAGACATGGAAAAACAGACTAGGGTAAAACAAGGCAGAGGAGGCTTGTAACATCTATGGAGTTCACAAGAAAACTGAGCAAAGATCTCAGGGTGTTTTGGATTTAAATAAGGGAGAGGGATTTGATACCCTCACAGGAGGAGGGGTCTCTGTGCCTATACATCAGTATGTGGACAGAATGCTATGATTGTTTGACCTCATAACTGGTTGTTACCCACACTGCTTTTGAATATGGCACCCAGGATCCCCCAGTGTTCTGACACCACAAGTGGATCATATGGCAGTGTGGGGGACAGAGCATATGTGGTGTAGAGGATGCCCGCTGGATATGATGCAGGCCACAGAGCAGACATGGCTCACCTCTCTCTTCCTTGCATGCTGCAACCTATGTTGGGCCAGCAATCCCAGAGCAAGTGCTGTGTGCCTTTTTGGTTGTGGTCCACCACCGAAAAACTAAAGAATTAGCTGGCAGCCAGGAAGAGTCAGGCGCGTCCCTCACTCCAGGGATACTGAGTTTCATGTGGCGCCCAGTGAGTGAGTGCAGCGTGCCTACCTTTCCTGCCATGCTGTGACCTAATCCGCCTCTGAGGTGCGGAATCCATAAGGTGAAATCTAAGGAAAGTTTTTGCCAGTGCAGGAGCGTGGTCATTGGTGGAAGGTTCCCATAAGCGCTCTTCTTGTCCATATCCCCTACTGTGTATCAAAGATTCAAGCCTCCCTCTGCGTAGTCTGGAGTCTAGGATTTTGTGGACCTCATGCTCCTCTTGTCATTCGCCAATAAAGGTAGGGAGTGTAGATGTGATGTGTCTTGAGAAGGAATTTTGTAACAATTGTTTAAGTAGGGATACCTGAAAGATTTATACTGAATTGGCAGTTGGAGCTTGACTGCAACTGGGTTGATTTATGGATGTGACTGCAAATGGGACAAAATAAGCAGGACCCAATTACTTGGAAGGATAGGCAGTCCATAGACATTTGGTAGAGACAAAAACTTTATAGCCTGACACACTGGAGCAGGAGACCTTGTGCTGATGAGCTTTTCTTTTATACTGCATCGGAAGTTTCTGTAAAATGTTCTGAACTTTTAGAAATCCTTGCAGAAGAGGAGTTATATAGGTTTAGAAGTCTGGAATGGGACTTTCAGTGGCTAGGTCTGGAGTAATATATCCAAAGATAAGCAAGCAAAGATTCTCTTGTGTAGATTTTTGCTTTTTCATGAATTAATGGCAAATTCCGAAACAGGCCGTAATTTATACCAGTCATCCTGTAAATATGCAGTGTGCCAACGGACATATTGTTCCAGAACTTGGCTCATTATTTTTTCCAGTTTGCCCATTAATATGTAAGTGGAAGGCTGAAGGTAGGTTGACTTGGATATGTAGGATGCAAGAAGATTCTTTCCAGAAACTGGAGGTAAACTGGTACTGTCAGAGGTAATGGAATCCAGATCTCCATGTAATCAAAAATATCCTGGCCACCAGAAATATTTTTTTACAAGGTCCAGTGTTTTAGAACAGCCAGTATAATCATATTTGGGAGAATCATGGCATGATTGTTAGACCTCTTTCCTTAGTGCTTGAGGAATATGTGAAAAAGGCATGGTGGGTTATTTAGCACATTCCTGTATCTTTTCCAACAGGGAAGAGGAAATTGCAATTGTGATCTTCTTGAAGAACCATAGGAGGATCAAGGCTTTGACTCTCCTTTGGGGTAGGAATGTGGGACAAAGCATCCGCCTTGCTGTTCTTGGACCCAGGCCCATAAATGTATATGGAACTGAAAGTAGGGGTACATTTGGCTTGCCAGGACTGTAATAGTTTGGCCCTAGGTAAATATTCCAGATTTTTGTGCTCTGTGTAAATTATTGGGTGTAAGGCACCCTCTAATAGATGATGCCATTCTTCAAACGCTTGTTTGATGGTGAGCAATTATTTATCCCCAATGTCAGTCTCTGTGAGTGGAATACCACAGGGTGTAGTTGGTCCTCCTCTTTGTGAGAGGATGGCACCGGTTACCACCTCTGAAGCATTGACCTCCACAAAGTATGGTTTCTCTGAGTCTGGGAGAGATAATATAGGAGTGGGAATGAAGTTGTTTTAGGGCTTCAAAAGCCTTTTTGTGCCTTTTTGATCCAAGCAAACTTGTTATACTTTTTGGTAAGGCAACCCACATGGAACGGCTGCAGGGGCCGACTTGTTCTTGTGTTGCACCGCCAAGTAACTAAAGCATTTGTTGGCAGTTGGGAGGAGAGTCAGGCATGTCCCTCACTCCTGGGATGCTGAGATTCACGTGGTACCCAGTCAGTGAGTGCAGCGCCCCTACCTCTCCCAGCATGCAGTCATACTTTCTAGCAATGTGTAGTACATTGTAAGGAATAGAAGGAGGCCTGAATTTGTTACCAAGATATACTGAAATCGGCTGTGTTGTGGCTGACTCTCCTTTTTACAGGTCTTCTAGGTCAGTGTCTCATGATTTTGTGAAATATGGCTTGGCATGACTCTTGAATATGTTCCTGAACTTCTGGTGGCTTCTGGTAAACATCACTTTGTATTTGTTTCATATTTCATTCACTTAAACATTCCAGACACAATAACTTAATTTCAATTATGTTTTCATGGTACCAGAAGGTCCCTGGTGCTGGCTCACCATAAGGTGTTAACCCCAAAGTTTGCTGTTGCAGAATTAGGCAGATGCACCACTGATTGGCTTAATTTTTTTTTTCTTAAATTAGCCAGTTTAATGAATGGGGAGTCACTGGCTGAAAGCATCAGCTGGCTGCTATTTGCGCAGTCACTGCCCGATTCTGCAAGAGCCTTCTGGCTAAAGATTTTTAGAAAACTGAATGACATTGGCATGGTGATTTAGCAATGGAGCACATACTTTTGGGTTAAATGGTTCTAGAATATTTTAACCACTTAAGGTGAGGCAGCTCCAGGTACCTCCTGACAGGGGAGGGCTGGCAGCCTTAGGCCTGGGGGGCAAAACCAGTCAAGTGGCCTATTGCACCACCAAATCAGTTCACCATCCATGCCCACCTTTTCCTGGTTTTAGAACGGATATTGATGTTATGCTAATACCCACTCCTTCACGGCTCTGACTTTCAATGTTGTCAGAGCGCAGGCTGAGAATCTCTGAGCCTGTGCTCTGACTCACTAACTAAGTGCCGGAACCACAAGGGAGAAGCTATAATCTGACTGCACCTACTGCTGGTGTGCACCAGTGGACCACCAGCAAATCGTTTAAATTGAATAGGCTGGTGTCCCCAACTTGTGAGCTGCGTTGTCCGCCAGGCGCCTATGTTGTCATTGCACCCTGCGTGACCGCACAGCTTGCACACCCCAACGGCTGGCCACTGATGTTACTAGTTAGACATCCCTCAATATTAATACAGACCTCTGAGTAAACACCAATAAACTGTGGGAACAGAGCTGATTTCCCCCCCACCCCCCCCCACCCCCCAAATGTGGCTGCATGGGGAACAGCTGGCTAATGTAATGCTTGCAGTGCATTAACTGGTTAATGTAATGCTTGTAATGCTTGCAGGACGGTCAGCTGCTGCAGAACCTCTTGTTCCTGTCTCTGCAAAGGGCTGCAGGCACTGCTTGCTGTGAGTGTGAGCCACTGTAAATTAGGGGCAGAGGGCACTTGCACTGCGGAAAAGACAGGTCTGGGCAGGAAGAGAGTGCCGTGCAATCAGTGCACTCCCCTCCTGTGGGTCACCAGTAGACTGGTGCACCTGCCCAGGATCAAAGCCGGTGCAAGGATTTTTGCTGCCCTAGGCAAAAGAAAAATTTGCCGCCCCCCCATGTGACATCACAATGCCCCACCTATATGATCTGCCATATGAACTAATGCCAATGCTGCACACAGTGTGTGTTTACATTAAAAAGCCTGCAGGGACCGGCTATAGACACCAGAACCACTTCATTAAGCTGAAGTGGTTCTGGGGACTATAGTGTCCCTTTAATGTGAGGTAAATTATAGATTAGTGTCACTAATATCATACTAGATTGCCTACTTACAACCAGATGATGATGGGCTGCAGTTTGGCTCCACTGGTCTGGTGTAGAACAGGATCTCTGGAGGCTGTTTGCAACTGTGATCACAAAATTCAATGTTCTGGGAGAATTGGAAGCAGCTCCATTTTTTGGGTGGCCCCTTACACAGCTCAAGGTCTGAGCCCCAGGGCCTGACGGTGAGTATGCCCATAAGGCCCACTCATAAGTCCACTTATATGTTCCACCCACCCATGAGTTTGCTCACAGGGAGTGGAGTGTGTAGGGGATGTGTTGTGTTATTGTAGAGGATATAATATGTGTGCTTATGGTATGTAGTGTATAGGGAAATACAGGTGATGCAGTGTGTTTGTGTGTAGTGGAAGCATTGTGTATTTGTGTATAAGGGATGTATTGTGTTTTTCTGGTTGTGTGTAAGGGATGCATTGTGTGAATCTGTGTTTGTATGCATAAGGGATGCAAGGTGTGTGTCTGTATGTGTGTGCATTGAGTGTGTGTAAGAGATGCATTGTGTTTCTGTGTGTATGTAAGAAAAACAGTGTGTGTGTGTGTTTGCATTGTGTTTCTGTGTATGTTTGCCAAGGATGCATTGTCTTTGTGTGTAAGTGTTGCATTGTGTGTGTGTAATGGATGCATTGTCAGTTTCTCTGTGTGCAAGGGAAGCATGATGTGTTTCTGTGTGTGTACGGATGCATTGTGCGTTTCTGTTCATGGATAGGGATGCATTGTGTGTGTGTGCGCGTAGTGTGAAAGAGCTTAGTGTCTTGCCCCCTGTCCTATAGAGCTGTCCATTCTGTCCCTTCCCCCCCCCCTTGTTCTTCTTACTCCCTCCCCTTGTTCTTCTTACTCCCTCCCCTTGTTCTTCTTACTCCCTCCCCTTGTTCTTCTTACTCCCTCCCCTTGTTCTTCTTACTTCCCCCACATTGTTCTTCTTACTTCCCCCACATTGTTCTTCTTACTTCCCCCCCATTGTTCTTCTTACTTCCCCCCCCATTGTTCTTCTTACTTCCCACTTCATTGTTCTTCTTGCCCCCATTGTTCTTTTCCATTGTTCTTCTTACTTCCCCCATTGTTCTTCTTACTTCCCCATTGTTCTTCTTACTTCCCTTCTTATTGTTCTTCTTGCTTCCCCATTGTTCTTCTTCTTCTTCTTCATTCTTCCCATTGTTCTTCTTACTTCCCCATTTGTTCTTCTTCTCCCCCCCTTGTTCTTCTTACTCCCCTTGTTCTTCTTACTTCCCATTGTTCTTCTTACTTCCCCATTGTTCTTCTTAGCCCCCATTGTTCTTCTTCTTCCCATTGTTCTTCTTACTTCCCCATTGTTCTTCTTGCTTCCCCATTGTTCTTCTTGCTTCTCCCATTGTTCTTGCTTCTCCCCCATTTGTTCTTCTTGCTTCTCCCCATTGTTCTTCTTGCTTCCCATTTGTTCTTCTTACTTCTCCCCATTGTTCTTCTTACTTCCCCATTGTTCTTACCCCATTGTTCTTCTTGCTTCCTCCCATTGTTCTTCTTACTTCCACGCTACAGGGAAGGGGAGGGGAGGAGCAGCCGCCTGAGGCTCTTAACAGAGTGCTTAGGCGGCTGCAGCATTAGGACCAGCCCTGCAGTCGCTGGTTTTAAAATTATTTAGGGTGGCCTGTCGGGCAATTGCCACCCAGCCCGCCCCTGCCTCCTGGCACCATAACTTTAATAATGATGAAGTTGTTTTATGGTTTCAAAAAAGAAACCCCAGACCCCAAAAGCACTTCAGCTTCCTGAAGTTCATTATGTATAAAGTGTGTCTTTGTGGATGGGAAGAAAAAATACCAATTGCAATAGAAATTGGCACTTTTTATAAACTAATCTTGTTACACTCATGGCAATCAATCAGATAACGGTCCTGTTACTTTTTGTTTAGCTCAGTCAAGCTAAATTACCCCTTAAGGACACAAATTCTGGAATAAAAAGGAATCATGATGGAATATTTCCATCGTGTGTTTTTTAAGGGGTTAAGAGGCAGAAATTGCTCCAAGCACGTGCCTTGTAAAGACTTTTCATTGAGCTGCGTCGGGAAGTCTGTCATTGGACAAATACAGAAAGTCTAGATGGGGCTACAGAGGAAAGAAGGGGCTTGCATAGACTGCAGACGAGATCTGCAGCTTTTGCAAGAATGTTTTTAGGTATACCCCAATGGAAAAATACACAATAAATAGATGCATGTCTTCATTGGAGATAAACAAGCTCTGTTCTGGAATTGATTTCACTCATGTTCCACCACAAGGGCTGGAGATTGATGGGAGAACTGCTGTATAAGGTATGCTTACTAGGAATCATGGAAGTTACTTTTTAGGAAAGTTTAATGGAATGTTATAGAAATGTTTTTTGTACTTTTAAGACATTTTTCCCCCCCTTGTATATAGATCAACATGCTTATTTACATGTTGATACTCCGTTAAGCAGTTTTAGTTATTTTCCTTGATCTAGTGTGGCTCGTTACTTCACCTAATCACGTTGACTTTAATTTAAATCCTATCAGAGGTTTAATTGATAATCAGAAACTAAGCGCTGTGGATTTTTTTTTCTTCACCTAATGGCCTCTGCGGTCTATGTAGCTCACCCCTTAAGACTGACCTAACAAAATAATTAATCAATGTTCTCATTATTTAATCACTAAATAACCTGAGATTGCTTTACCCAAAAAAAGAGTAACTGTGGTTTTCTTCAATAAACCTAGAACTGTGGAGTCTTTTAACCCCTTAAGGACCAAACTTCTGGAATAAAAGGGAATCGAATCATGACGTGTCACACATGTAATGTGTCCTTAAGGGGTTAATGAGAATGAGACAAATTAAGGCCATGATGTCGGACCTATAAAAAATTTTCTTCTCAATGTGCTGGTTTTCTTTTTAACTTGGTAATTTATGCCCTGGACTTGTAATTAGCTTGTTAGTTCTCAGTGATTTCCAGTTTAGTTAATTCCATAGTGTGTGTATTTTCTAATTCTATGGAATTGGTTTTTGTATATCTTTTCTTATGTCTAAATAATTGGAGGATTTCTTTGAAAGTTCTTATTTCCCTCGATGATCAGACATTGTTTTCCATTGTGTATCCTTTGCTTTAGCCGAAATTTAATTCCCTCCAGTCTGCATGGCTGACTTTATTTTTTTTGCCTATTGGTGACTTGTTAATTATATATTCACCAGAGCCACTTCAGCTTAATGTAGTGTTCCTGGTGTCTATAGTATGCCTCTGTGGGCTGAGCACTGTAAATGCTGCAATTTTGGAGAAAAGGCAGGGTTTACATTACTGCCCAGGAACTTCCTCAGACCTACTCTAGAGAAGCTTCCTAGTCTGGCGTTCAGCGTCTCCATGCTCTGTGTGGAAGTGCTAAACATATAGAGTTAGTGATTTGCTGGAAAGTGATACAGTGACTCTTCCAGCTGTGTACCCTAACCAGCAGCTACTCTTACCATGAGCTCTATAACCTACATGAGACTGTAAGATTCCAGGGAGTTTACTTTTCCTGGGGCTGAAATTGTAATAAAAATATGACTGTGGACCCAATGACCTATATTAAAGGGACACTAACAATTTAGTCTAATGAAAGTAGTTCTAGTACCTGGAGTCGTCTGGTGCTCAGTTCAGTGTGGTTTTGAGCAGTTTAAAACAAACACTAAATAAGCATCTCTATTCACCCACAGTCCAGGCCCCACTGGAGGAATGGCTAATGCAGATATTACACACGCTCTTCTAGCCATACCAATTCATACCAACAATGTGTGCTGTGGTAGGCTAACAGGTCAGTGCATTCTAGTCTCCTATTGCTGCTAAACCTTATCGTTCCTCATTTGCTGAAGCAGAACAGAGGGATGGAATGCTGGAACTCTCATTTAGCATTAAAACAATGAAAATGTTTTATAACGCTGGAATGTCAGTACCTGGAACTCCAGACACCATAACAACTTAAATGAATTGGGGCAGTAACAGTGCCTGCAATGCACCTTTAACTAATAAAGCAGTTAAATTTGGTTGTTACAATGCAGGGTGTATTGTAGCTGTATGTTTTGGTAAAATACCTTTTTTACCTTTTTGTATACCTTAATTCTTGCCTTCCTTCTGAGCAGGATACAACATGTTTTTTTTTTTTGTGCTCTATTAAAACATTGTATCCTTATCAAATATTTCATCCAGTACCCAAACTTAACCTGAAATCTATTTAACTTGATTTGTAACTATGTAATAATACATATATTTTGAGTTTGTTTTTATTTTTTATTTTATTTAATCCCAATGACCCATGTCGGATAGGAAACCATATTCTGAACCATCTCAATGCATGTGTTCAATAGAACATAATTCTGTTGGACATAAACATCAGACGGTCTCTGTGTGGAGCTGGGTGTTTTGCTTTTGAACTCAAATTGGGCAGACTAGATGGGCCGAATGGCTCTTGTCTAACATCACATTCTGTGTTTCTTTCTGGGCAAGAAGAGGTTAACCTAATTACATGCAATTTATTAGTTTATCTTGTAGGCCTAGTGCAGCACATTGTCCCCCCGCCCCCCTCACTATTCGTGGTCGCTGGGACATATGAAGGGCTAGCAAAAGTGAATAGGAACAATTAAATTTGCACACCTACTAAATAAGTAAATAATGTTCCTTTCGGGAGGTAAAAACATGCTGAATAATCCACCATAAGGATTACTCCTAATGGAGATCGTAGAGTATCTGAAAGAGTGAGCCTGATTTATAGATGTACACCGTCAAGAAGAAACCTTGACAGGAACACTCACTGAGCAAGTATTTTACCCCAAGATATACCTACTGGTTTCCTTTCCTATAGTGTTACTTACTTTAATTTACATTACAGTGCTTGGTGACTTTATGGTTAATGTTGTTTATGCTCTTAATTGTAAATTAGCATTGCACATTACATTTTGTGTAAATATGTATTTGGATCAATGTGACAATTGTTGCTCACATTGTTTTGTGAGTAACTCGATAAAAATTGTCCAAAAATGTCATGTCATTTGCAGTTTATCCCCTTAATGCCTTTACACTGTTCTGCATTCTATGCAGTCCTACATAAAGTGGGCTTTAAACCCCTATAGGACAGAATAGAACATCCTGCATAATTATCGTGAGCAGGGTTAAATCCCTGCTCACACAAGGGAATCCCAGGTATTATTGGATCTCTCTCAGCTGTGGTCATTTTTAGTGGCACCAGACTCTTTGAGATGCATGCAGTGCTGGAAGTCAGTACTGCATATAGCCCTTTAAATCCATAGAGAACACTGCAGGTGAAAAATCAAGCTCAACCAATGATTCTTACTGGATCTGATGTTTTGGGGTCCCGCGGGGTATAAGCAGATCCTGGAGGGTCTCCCTCAATGGCATTTTGTTGGTTGCCCAGCACCGATCTCAATGCATTGGTCGTACTATATTCAATGAAAAAGATGGGAAGCTTTCCTGCTGAAAATCACCAGTAGATAGCTGTAACATGCCGCTCTGTTTTTGCTTGGATTTCATTCTGCTAATATCAGTGTGTCGGACCGCCTGGCACTCCGACCGGGTATCTCCGTTAATCGCTGCACTGTACTGGAACACCATAACCACCGTAGACCCCACAAATCGCCGCAGCTTGGTTGTGGTCTCGCCATCCTCCACCCACCGAGGGCCCAAGACCAGAATCCAGCTTCCAGTGGGTGAACCTCTCCTAGTCCAGAGAGCGTAGCAGGAACAGCTCTTATAAGAGCAAGTGATTTTACTCAGGGGAGTATTGTGATATTGCAATCCCCTGAGTGTATGTAGTTCTCCAATCCCCCAAACATGAGCCAAGACTTCATGAAGGGGTAAACGAATCTCAGTTTAATGGGAGCTACACTTGGCCTTATATGACAATCCCCATGCAAGGGGTATGCCCACAAGGACCTTGTGGGGGACTGATTTGCAAATTCACAGCCCAATAACAAGGTTACAAGGCACAACACTCCCACACACCGCACACAATCCCTCCCCTCTCCCTGGGACATAATTGGATCAGTAACTGTACTAATTCTAATCCAATTGACTTCAAGCACGTAAAAAAAAAAAAAATACCCTAAAAATACATAATATTCCCTGATAGCCCTGACCTTGGTGACCAACATATCCAAAAATCACCCAGATCAGTTCAGGGGTTCAGGAATTTCCCGGGAAGTCATTTATTTGACCGACCGCAGGCATGGTACCATAGCTGAAAATAGTTATAGAATCGCGGCTAAGTGCCGCTGGGAAACCGCAAAGTTTTCATGCCGAAAATAGTTCCAGGGCATTCGCAGCTAAGTCCCCGTGAAGTCTATTCACAGTTTTGGTCCATACAAAGATGTCCGCCACTTGGTGGTCGTCCATAGGAATTGCTGCCACCCAGACGAACAATTAGACCACTGTGGTGGAAATTGCAACAATGTATCAATTAAGCTTAACAAGCTCCAGGGTGGTCTCCGGTTCGTGCGGATGCTCAGTTACCGAACCGTATAATTGTAATAGACAAACTGAGACTTTTATATTACAGTTTACAGTGTCCATAGTATGTGGGCAGGAGGCTAGCATGCAGGCCCCGCCAAGAACTCGTGGCAAACTCACTTGAAAAGGGGAGTTTGTCATAATTAGTGCCGATATTATCAGAAGGAAACTTTTTTCGGATTATGGATCAAGATTAAGGGCGAAGATTAGGTTTAGAAGAAATATTCGGTTTAATGTTGTGTTTATCAGTAGATTTATATTTAAGGTTTAGAACGTGGATTAGGATTAGGGCCAGCAAGGCAATTCCTCTGTTGACATCAGTAGAGGGAATCTTTCTAATACTATAGGGTTAGGATTTAGATTAGGATTAAGAGTATATTTAGGTTTTGGTGTGAGTTAAGATTAAGGGTTAGATTTAGGATTTGGTTTAGAATTAGGTTTTTGTTAACAATTAAAGATTTAGACACGGGTTAAGATTAATACTTTGCAAAGATTTACAAATGGGGCATCCTTGTTCTCAGGAGATGTTGATGATTTGTATTACACTGGGGCACATGTAATGTAAAAAATAAGGTGAACAAATACCAGGTGTACAAAATTGAAAAATAAAAATGAATACTTTGAGGGAAAATAAAGTGAAAACATAGCACCTAAATAAAGCTAAAAGTATATCAAGTCCCAGTCCCCATGGTGTCCACTTTTGCAAGTGGTATGCATGTATTGAGTAATGTAAATGTGGCTCATTATATTGCATCATAAACCCATATTAAATTTGCCATTTAAAAAAAAAAAAAAAAAAATTGCATTGGGCTGGTTTATAAATTCAGTTTAGTATTTTCACAAAATTAACAAGGGTATACGAAGAGGGTCATTCTGTAAACAGGAGATATAGTTGAGCATGATTTAGTGACATTTATTACATTAGCTCAAGTTTACAAAATATTCTGCTAAATTGCAGTGTGCATGTAAACAATGTGAAAATAAAATGCCATACAATTGGAAAGAAACTGGTGCTAAAATAGCTGGATGATAGGGTTAAATAATTACCATGTAACATACCCTGTGATGTCTACTTTCACAAATGGTATGCATTTATTGGGTAATTTGAACTGTGAAACTGCTACAATTCCCCCCCAAAATATAAACTGGGCCCATCAAATTCATCTATCAAATTTCTAACTGTAAAAACTGAAAGTCAGATCTGTTATGACACTGCAATTTTGCAAGATGGTGCCAAAGGCATACGTTGGCAGAATGGTTTTAGTTAGAAGATTTTGCTGAGCACAATTTTGAAGTTTTGATCAGTGGCACATTAAATTTGAATAATGCACTGTTGAAAATGACCACAAACTTTGACATAAACTGGTAAAACAGGACAACACGTTATGGCACAATATATACCATATGAGACCTCCCAGATGTGTGTTACTTTTAAAAATGGTAGGCTTTTGTGGGCTCATTTGAACAAATAAACCACTAGAATGTCACAAAATGAGCCATAAGCCCATCCAATCCGTCTAACTGTAAACGCTAAAATGGTCCGTTCTCTTTTATGACACTGTAGCTTCACAGGATAGTGAGAAAGACACATACACACATTATCGCCAAAACTGTGAACCATTTTTTTTTATTTTTTGCATTTTTGTGTAATCTTTTGTTAAATGAGAAGTTGTATATGCCACAATAAATTTTAAGACCTTTCTGTTCTGTACGGGGACACTCGAAGAAATCCTTAAATTACAAACCTATAGCTCAAATTCAAGTTGTGTGTTTTTTTTTGTTTTTTTTTGTATTTGTTTTTTGTTTTCCCATTGACCTCTGCACGGAAAATACTCTTCTAAAGATATACGATTTTAGAGAATCTATACACTATGGTTGCAGGTTTCCATTTCTGTTAGTTGACGCATCACATGCCCTCTGAATTTATTACTTTAATATTTAATACTAAATTATGAAAACTTCCGCAGTTATCCTTAATTGCCAACCAACCAGAAAAGGGTTACGTTTATCAATGCTGTAGAAAGCGAAGTATAATGTTATAGCTTTGGTGGGTGATCTTACATTTTTTATTTCTTCTTTTAGATTTCTACTATGCCAGGATCAAATAAGTTAGAAAATGTGACAATGTGTTCAGTCACAACCATGCAATGTTTTTCTCTCCTATTTATGGCCCAAATTGTGAGCACATTATTTAATTTCCCTGTGGCACTGATATTTGCCCTGCTTGTGAAACAATAGTTGAGATGGAAGTAATTCTGTAATAAACGTCATGGACCTATACAGAACCAATGTTAGTGTTTATAGTGAATTAGATGACATTGCGTAATTTCCTTATTAAACTGCCTAATCCCTTTCCTAGGATACAAGATAATCCCATTTACTCTTTCATTTAGGGTTCAGACCACATTTGTATGGATAGCATAACTGTTGTCTGAAAGTTTTCTCAAACTAGGTATCGATCAAGCCATGATGACATTTTAACTTTTATGCTAGGAGTTTCCTAGTGTGTTTATTTTTATTTTTATTTTTATTAACTCTGTTTGTAATGAAAGGGTCATGTGGATTTGCTCAGAATTACAATTCCAGACATAAATACGTCTTTTGTTTAAACCGTGACACTGGGTTTTACAATATTAACATGTTAACGCTACCATTAGTACCTTATGTAAACCTGAGACTCTCTAGAGGAGACTCGGAAGGGCAGAATAAAGCAATATTAAAGGGGTGCTGCAACTGGTTCATCTCATTGAAGTGGTTATAGTGTCTGGATCCCCCTTGCACCGACAATTCTGTATTAAACCATTTTTAATGCTAGACTGGAGTCTCTTGAAGCCCATCTATGTTGCTATGGAGGGAACATTAAAGAGACACTATACAGGGAGTGCAGAATTATTAGGCAAATGAGTATTTTGACCACATCATCCTCTTTATGCATGTTGTCTTACTCCAAGCTGTATAGGCTCGAAAGCCTACTACCAATTAAGCATATTAGGTGATGTGCATCTCTGTAATGAGAAGGGGTGTGGTCTAATGACATCAACACCCTATATCAGGTGTGCATAATTATTAGGCAACTTCCTTTCCTTTGGCAAAATGGGTCAAAAGAAGGACTTGACAGGCTCAGAAAAGTCAAAAATAGTGAGATATCTTGCAGAGGGATGCAGCACTCTTAAAATTGCAAAGCTTCTGAAGCGTGATCATCGAACAATCAAGCGTTTCATTCAAAATAGTCAACAGGGTCGCAAGAAGCGTGTGGAAAAACCAAGGCGCAAAATAACTGCCCATGAACTGAGAAAAGTCAAGCGTGCAGCTGCCACGATGCCACTTGCCACCAGTTTGGCCATATTTCAGAGCTGCAACATCACTGGAGTGCCCAAAAGCACAAGGTGTGCAATACTCAGAGACATGGCCAAGGTAAGAAAGGCTGAAAGACGACCACCACTGAACAAGACACAGAAGCTGAAACGTCAAGACTGGGCCAAGAAATATCTCAAGACTGATTTTTCTAAGGTTTTATGGACTGATGAAATGAGAGTGAGTCTTGATGGGCCAGATGGATGGGCCCGTGGCTGGATTGGTAAAGGGCAGAGAGCTCCAGTCCGACTCAGACGCCAGCAAGGTGGAGGTGGAGTACTGGTTTGGGCTGGTATCATCAAAGATGAGCTTGTGGGGCCTTTTCGGGTTGAGGATGGAGTCAAGCTCAACTCCCAGTCCTACTGCCAGTTCCTGGAAGACACCTTCTTCAAGCAGTGGTACAGGAAGAAGTCTGCATCCTTCAAGGAAAAACATGATTTTCATGCAGGACAATGCTCCATCACACGCGTCCAAGTACTCCACAGCGTGGCTGGCAAGAAAGGGTATAAAAGAAGAAAATCTAATGACATGGCCTCCTTGTTCACCTGATCTGAACCCCATTGAGAACCTGTGGTCCATCATCAAATGTGAGATTTACAAGGAGGGAAAACAGTACACCTCTCTGAACAGTGTCTGGGAGGCTGTGGTTGCTGCTGCACGCAATGTTGATGGTGAACAGATCAAAACACTGACAGAATCCATGGATGGCAGGCTTTTGAGTGTCCTTGCAAAGAAAGGTGGCTATATTGGTCACTGATTTGTTTTTGTTTTGTTTTTGAATGTCAGAAATGTATATTTGTGAATGTTGAGATGTTATATTGGTTTCACTGGTAATAATAAATAATTGAAATGGGTATATATTTGTTTTTTGTTAAGTTGCCTAATAATTATGCACAGTAATAGTCACCTGCACACACAGATATCCCCCTAACATAGCTATAACTAAAAACAAACTAAAAACTACTTCCAAAAATATTCAGCTTTGATATTAATGAGTTTTTTGGGTTCATTGAGAACATGGTTGTTGTTCAATAATAAAATTAATCCTCAAAAATACAACTTGCCTAATAATTCTGCACTCCCTGTAGTCACCCAAACAACTTTAGCTTAATGAAGTGGTTTTGTTGTAAATATCATGCCCCTGCAGTCTCACTGCTTAATTCTCTGCCATTTAGGAGTTAAATTACTTTGTTTATGCAGCCCTAGGCACACTTCCCTGCATATGACACTTCCTAAACACTTCTTGTAAAGACTCCTTTAATGTTTACATTTCCTTATTGCAAATTATGATTAATTTAGAATTAATCTCCTGCATTATTAATTTTTAGCTAGACTCTGCAGGAGCCTCCTGTATGTGATTTTTTTTTAAAGTTCAATTTAGAGAACAAGTAAGTAAGCTACTATCTGATTTGAAAGTGAAACCATTTTATTTTTTTCATGCAGGATAGGCGTAGTTAAGGCTGCATCAACAGAGACAAAAGTGATTGAACTCCTAAATGGCAGAGAATTGAGCAGTGATAATTCAGAGGCATGATATATACATCCAACCGTTTCATTGAGCTAAAGTTTTTTTGGTAACTATAGTGTCCCTTTAACTTAAGCAGCAACGGGAGAATGTGATTGGCTGAGAGCGTCTGCTGACTGCTTTCAGCCTTTCACAGTGCTGGTATCAATTGGTATGGCTAGAAGCGTGTATAATTTCTGCCTTAGCCATACCTTCAGCCAGGCAGTGATTAGCCCTTATTTAGTATTACACTGCTCAAATGGTTTCACACTAAAGAGAGGGACAGTGCCAGAGGACTCAAAGTCCAGCAAATGTGTTGGTTTGTTTACTTGGATATTCTACTATATTGGCTGTATCTATTGTTCTTTTGAGCAATCCGTTATACTAATTTGGGACACCTGATGAAGGTCTAATTTTCAGAAGTGAGAAGCATGTGGATGGTCTTTGTAAGCTTCTTGGTTGAAATAATTGTTTTAAAACAATGGAGGGGTTATCCATCCTGAAGTATGCAATCTTGGTTTATATTTATGCTGTTGAATGTATATGTACTAAACGTACATAACATATGAATTAAATGTTTTATGTTCAAATAATATCTTGAGTATTTCAGGTCCCAAATTACAAGCAATACAGTTTTAACATCCTCTTTCCACTTAGTCCAGTGAGAATGAAGTTGGTAACACAATGTAGAAGGTTGTCCAAGTTCCAGTTCATATGCATTATTTTCTATCACTATACATAACACTTCTTTGATAGTAGGAATGGTAGAAGATTTCCAGTAGCGAGGTAAACAAGATGCTGCTTATATTTAGTTTATCTACTTTGGTAATGGATTTTGGGAATTTCCTAAATAGGCCTGACTTTGAGGTGAAAACAGTGATAGTTGGGTCTACTTATTATTACTTATGTTATGTAGGCATGAGGAAGCAAAGTATCAGTGGTAAAGAATCTTAAAATGGTTCTCCAAATGGTTAGTACATTAGGTAATACCCATCAAGGCAAGAAAAAAGTCAAACCATTCCTCTAGTTTATACTGTGTAACCAGCTCTCTCCCAGGACAACAAATGAGACCTCACTTGAAGTATTGTACGCAGTACTGGAGACCGTAGAAGGATATTGATACTTTAGAGAGAGTTCAGAGAAGGGCTACTAAACTGGTTCATGGATTGCAGGATAAAACTTGCCAGGAAAGGTTAAAGGATCTTAACATGTATAGCTTGGAGGAAAGACGAGACAGGGGGGATATGATAGAAACATTTAAATACATAAAGGGAATCAACACAATAAAGGAGGAGACCATATTTAAAAGAAGAAAAACTACCACAGCAAAAGGACATAGTCTTAAATTAGAGGGGCAAAGGTTTAAAAATAATAACAGGAAGTATTACTTTACTGAGAGGGTAGTGGATGCATGGAATAGCCTTCCAGCTGAAATGGTAGAGGTTAACACAGTAAAGGAGCTTAAGCATGCGTGGGATAGGCATAAGGCCATCTTAACTATAAGATAAGGCTAATTAAAAGTATTTTGAAATATTGGGCAGACTAGATGGGCCAAATCAACATACAGTTACAATGTAAAACACTCCCACATAAACCGCATAATCCCCCCCCTCTCTATCCTGCAGATAATTGGGTTAAGTGGCTGTAGTAAACGTAATTATCTCCAAGTACAGAAAATGTTTCAAAGTTATAAAATTCACAAAACACTTAAAAATACATAAAATCATATTTCGCATAACCCATAGTCTATATATCCCCAGATAGCTTGTATCTGAGTGCTCAATATATCCGAAAAGCACTCCGATCCCACGAACACAATTGAATCGCCATGGGGTTAATGGCATTAACCGACCGCACTGAATTAGTCTGTCCAGAAATAGTTACACGCTTTTAGCTATAAGGGTCGGTTTAGTTTGTGCGTTTCATCTGAACAGAAAGTAGTGAAATCAACAAAAAGGTGACTGAATCCCCTGGCTCCTATTATAGGAATGGTAGGTAGTTTTAGTCGAACAAACCATCGAACCAGGTTCTCTTAGCTTGCCTCAGCCAGAAGCAGGCGTTCGGGTCATTGAGTGGCCGCCTCAGAGTTCCAGGCACTCGACAACCAAGTCCCGCTGCCTGCATTCGTGCCACACAAAGAGAACATGTATTCATGTGGTTTGTTTCAAGTTAACGAGCTAGGTGGGTGTTCAGTGATTAGGTCGGCAAATGAAATATGGAAGGAAAGAGGGTCATCTGCTTAAACAGCATACGAAAAGAGCACTGGTACACACAAAAGAGGGGGGTTTTGTCACAGGTCAATTTTAGATGTAGGCCTAGTTGAAGCCAAAGGGTTGCGGTACGTTAAAACATTATTTTGATTTATTAATTAGCAAGTCGAATTTCGGTTAGCGTATCCGGTAGGCCAAATTTTTATTTTATCTTTTGTTAAATGGTAGTAGGAACACAATTTGAATAGGCAATGAGTGTGCGGAAAATTTAGGTTTACAGGGAACAAATGTCAATACAGTACAGATTGTGGTAAAGCTCTAAAAAAATTACTGGAATACCCATGCTACCATTGAGTTTAAGATGCTGCATTGTTAATTTAATCCTGCTGAGTTTATTCCAAATCTTATCATTGAGGAATGGAATTTACTGAAAGTATAAAGGTATACATTGTGCTAGCACTCTAAAATAATAAATAATCTTCGGGTGAACAGTCATTTTGATTGATACTATTCTATCCAACCATGAGAGCTCAAGTAGACATCATATTTTAATCTTTCTCTGGTGGTTAGGCTACATTTTTTTTCAAATGTAAATGGGTTTTAGAACACCGGGCCCCACTCCCCATCCCTATTATTGCTTTAGAGAGCCAGAAATTCTCCTCACTGAGCTAACCCTGTAATGTGCCTGCCATATTGGTTACATAAAACGTTGTTAGCGGCATGTACTCTTAATGCACTGCTTGTGAGATCACATAGAGTGCAGTGTAATTCATGACAATTGTATCCTTGATCTGTTGCATCTGGTGTTGATCTGGTTTGTAGCATTTGAAGGTCAATGGATGTCAATTCTGTGCAAATTGCAATGCACAGATGCCCATTAATTGGCTGGGAATGGTCAGCTGACATTCTTAGCCAATGAATCCGTGCCTGCTTTGCCAAAGCCAAATGTCCTAAATCTGCCTTTAAAGAACACGAGCCCGATAAGGCTTCGCTAAGAGGGAGAAACATTACAAAACCATATGCCCCATTTTCATTTATGTAGTTATGGTTGGAGTAACCGTTTAAAGTCACTGCTAATTCTTTGTATAAATTCAATTAACTATATAGATACTGATTTGCCTGTTTTATTGGTTAAGTGAGGTCTGGAGGTTGCAGCGGTCAGCGGGTGTCAATGCTGGTTTATCGCGGTCCAATTTCACTCCAGATTATTGGCATTGTGAAGATAGGATGTCTTTACAGTTTTAGCATTAAACCTTGTCATCCCAGAAACTGCTTCCTCTCTGTATTATATAGGATAATGTCACAAATTCCATTTGACTTTATTTTAGTAAAGTGGTGTTTCTTCAACTAATCCTTGATCAAACATGAGAGAAGGCAGAGGCCATCCTTAAACTCAATTTTCTAAATACTGCTACGCATTTTGATGTGTGCACAGCTACAAATGCAACATCTGTACTTGGAGGTTTTAATCCCAGGCTTTATGAGAAACCTTAATCATACTTCTCACTTATTGTAAAGCTAGGAAAGGCTCACACAGTGGTATGGAATGTAATCTGTGGATTAGCAAAAAGCAAATCAGACTACCCTTTCAACCTTGAAAATCTGATTAAAGATCTGAGGGCCATTTGCTCAAAAAGTAATTATATGGTCATCTAATACATTTTGTTTGCTTATAAAGAGTGTGACAAAGTAGAATGTGCTTTTTAAAGTGGGGGCATCTATATTTATACTAGTTTGCAATTTGAAATGCCTACGCAAGCAAAAAGCTTCATTCATTATGCAGTGGAATAAACAGAGAATGCATTCTAAGATTGGACTGGGAGAAATCCTTCATGTCGCCTTACAGGTTTTAAATGCTGTTTTTATGTTTTAATGTTTCACAGGGTTCTAATAAAAAGTCACTATTTGTAGCAAAGATGAATTGGCTTATAAGTGTGGCGGAAGCAATGCCATTCTTTGAACAGTAGACCACATTTGATTAAGCAATATTGTTTGAAACTTGGCAATACGGCTTCTTGTCTGGCTATCATTCCGATTCTATTTATTTACCTTGTGTTTGCAAGGATACAGTTCAGTTTTTATTCTCGAATATCGTAAAACATTCATGTGTTTTTGGATGCTTTTTAAAAAAAAATAATTTATATGTGCATCTCACAATCTAGATGTAAGGTTACCTTCTCACTGCGCCTAGTGTTCCCTATACCAGAGGCCTTAGATTTCGCCCGCCAACACTCTGCACGCATGCAGACATCGTGGCATCTTGACGTCATACATGATGTGGAACACTCAGACTCTGCCTTCTTATGTACTGTATTTACTCAAATCTAATGCACACCTTTATTGGCAAAATGAAGTCTCCGAAACTTGATTGCGCATTAGATTTAAGTACGAATGGTGCTTTAGAGTTAATGGGCATACAACACATAATCACTGGGGAAAAATTTGCAGAGGCAAAATTTTCATTCACATCACTGCGATAGGGTTTCTGTTTTCAGAATTTCACCCGGGTGAGAGGACAGTCCTCTCTTATCAACCTATATGTTGTATAGTAGTATCTTCTTGTACAAATGCGCATTACATTCGCCAACAAAAAAGTATTTATTGGGCTTCCAGGTTTCAAAATGTAAATGAACATTAGATTCATTGGTGCATAAGATTCGAGTAAATAGGGTATTTAAAGTGACATGCCGCTTTTTTAATGACTTGTTACTTTTTCGTGCCATCACTGTACATGCAGACAATCACTGAACAGTATTGGGGTATTAAACTACCTGATTGTTCTTCGTTCGTTGCCTGGTTTTTGTTTTTGTTTACCCGAGAGTGTTATATATTACTTATTGTTCTGTTTTCTGACCTTGGCTTGTCTGTCCAATCATGATCATTGTAACCCTGACCTTGGCATGTTTCTCATCTCTGTGTACCTCCTGTAATCCCTTACCTCAGCTTGTGAACATTTATTCTGTGTCTGCTTGCAGACTTTGACTGAAGGACCAGTACGCATACCTTACTTGCATATACCTAGGTTTCTGTGTTTGGGTCAGGCCAACCCTGGCACTAGATAGCAATAGATGTCCTATGGTTTGGCTTCTTTGAATATCCAAAAGAAAGTGGTCGAGGCACTACGTTTTGCAAGTTTTGAATGCCGTTTAATGTAGCATATTGCCAGCCTTCACAAGCAAACGATTGGGGGTGTATGCCTACCCATGGGCAGGGAGCATCACCTCTATTATTTTATTCTCATCTAAGGAAATGTCCTCACAAAAGGAGTGCAGTCCCCTCCACTGGAATTTTGGGACTTCTGTGTATTGACATAAAGAATTTTTATAAAGTGTATAGTACAGTTATGAGATTGCATATCCTTAAAGCTCAGTCTTTCTCGCTGCAGTAAGAACCATTTAACTGCTTCTTCTTGTTTGTGTACATTTCATTGCAGAAAATATAAGTAGAATCTGTGTTTGAAGGCAAACTGGAATGTATACATAACTGGTTCTGTTGAGCGAGAACTCTCAATCTTTGTGAAACTAAAGATATGTAGAAATATAAAATATATTATTATTATTATTATTATTATTATTATTATTATATTTTTTTTTTTTTTTTTCCTTCATTGGCAGGGTGATTTTTACAAGGCTGTCTGTCTTTCATAGTAGATTCAGTATTGGGAGTTGAAGGAATCGTCCCATTAGCTATTTATTTTCTATTTCAATAATTCTGTTATTCGCATATTAGATTTAGCAAGACTGTTGCAAATACTGTAACTGCTGATTTAAAATGTGCATTGTGTGCATAAGATACGTCCACTCAATATGATTTTATTTTTAACTGTTGCAAATTGCTGATCTGAAATGTAGGATGTAATGCAGCAGACATTCCATCCATTATTAGTTTGCCCTTTAGTCAGCTTTTTTTTTTTTTTTTTGGTAAACAGAACATGCAGTATGATTAGCTACAGTACAGAGTCCCTTTTAAGTGGATTTTACAAATCAAAAATGAAGCAGACATTTTGCTACGGATGCGTTTTGTTGTACTCTAGTAGTTTAAAGACACATTAATGGGAACCTTGTTCCTGTGGAGCTCTGTTTTACACTCAGACACACTAACACTATGGAGTTCCTAGAAAATGGGGACAGAGGGACACTTGGGAGGTATGGGGATGAGAGAGAATGAATGACTGGGATTTTGTTCTTGTAACAGCAGAGATGCCTCCTAACCTTAAATTCAGTTTCATTCTCTTTGGTTAATTTGCTGGAATGCCCTTCTTCTTCTATCTGGAAGTGACCCTTATGAACCTTCAGAGCGTAAACCCTATCGCATCATGCTATCAGAGCCTTCAGCCCAGCCCCTCTGACATTTTATGTAAAATTGTTTAGGCACAGTATAACATCAGTTTTCAGAGGGAGTGATGCCTACAAATTATCTTCCCTTATAGCCACTATAAGGTACATGTTTCTCAATGAGTGTATTCTGGTGTGTGTAATGGTCTTTTTTATTATTTTTTTTTTTTTTGTGGGGACCCATACCAAGTGCTTCCAACTGTTTTGAACAACATTCCTGCTTGTAGAACATTTATTTAATTTTAAGTCTTACTTGAGCAGTTGTTGACATTGGTGATTATGTGACAAGTGTTAAGGGATTGTCCAGTAATGCAGTTTAACTTATCTTTTTATTTTTTTTTTTTTTTTTTTAGAAATTGAAAAAGTCCAGAAAGGAGAGGAGAGCAATGAAGACCAGTACATAGATGTTGTAATCAATAAGAATATGAAACTCGCCCAGAAAGTCCTAATCCCTATTAAACAGTTTCCCAAGGTGAGTGTCTTCTGTGAACAGAAAAATAACAAGTGCATGAATATTCAAAATGTTTTATTGCCACACTGTAGTTGTCTTCGCAGCAATGTTTCTCATTCTCTAATCTCCATTTAATATTTTTGGATAAACCTTTAAAATGATTAATCTACACATTTCCCTATAGATTTTAATTGTGAAGTCTGTAGATAAATAATTAGAAGTTTTTTTTTTTTTGGGGGGGGGGGTTTATCCAAAAAATTAGATCAATGTCCAAAGAAAAACTCAACTCCCCTGTTATAAAAGACATGTGCCTACATTTTGGCCTGTGAGTGGTTAAAGAAGCAAAGGTTAAATACAAAGTGCACTTTGGAGAGAGAACATGCAATTGAAACATTCAGTCTGATGATCTGGTCTAATTGGTCACCGTTCCTCACTGTAAACATGTGTGTTGGTTTGCAATTTACCAATAGCTCCTTGCATTTTCTCAAGGTGGAAGCCAATTTTGCGCTGCACGGATGTGCTTTAGATATTAAATTTTATATTTTATTCTCCTCCCATGGGATTTGTCAAAGCTAAAGAACCATCAGGTTTTTATTTTGTATGCTCACATTTCATGACTATCAAACTACATGTAAATTCTAGATACTATATTTCTAAGACGCTAAGCATTTTAGTTTTAAATATTCTTCTAAGACAGATGTTGGTAACCACATGGTGCCACAAATGATGGAAAAAAAACTCTTGTATCTGCCACATGCAGTGTCCCTTTATAGAAATTAATAATTGTCCCCAAACCAGCAGTGGCTGGACATAAATGCATACACATGTTCCTACAAGGAAGACCCACTGGAGATGTCAAAAAATATTTAAACATTTATACGAACCTAAAGTGTTAAATGCTTCTCAGCAGAGAAAATAAAATGGTTCGTTCACAGAATAGAAACACAAACTGCTGATGTTTGTTAGCCATCCAGCCCATCATTGTAAAGTAAATACATGGGTATTGTGTGAAAGATACCAGAAAACGTGCTAAAATTTAAAAAAAAATATGTTCTCCTGATCAACTACGTATACCTGGTAATCCGTGGAGCAGGGTGTAATCTCTTACATGTTTAATTAATCAAAGACCATTTTTGGTTCTAGACCCATAGAATGTTTACACAGACCAAGTTTGTTCTTGGTCTGTGTAAACATACATAGAAATTTAAGGTTTACTCTGTCCACTCCAATATTTACCAAACTCTGCATATACTGGTCATAACAAAAGTGTGTTGCTGGTCTTGTCTTTAGTGCAGGAGACATAAAGTTATAGTTTGAAAGTGTTTTATATATTTTTTTTTTTATTAATATGCACATACACTAAAACTGATTATTTCAAGGGTTTACTGTTATCTTCATTTTCCAAGAAATTCTGGTTCCTGATATTGGAGAATAGTGTGTGTGTAACAATTGTTAAGATTTAAGTATACCACTTTTATGCATGTAAAACAAAAATGCAGAAAAAATTAATAAAACTCCTTTTCACTGTTTAACTTTCCTTGTCCTATTTTGTTGTACGCAATATCTGCTTGCTTTGACTACCAGAGTCTTTCATGAAAACTGCAGGATTTTCTCCATAGTCCTCCCTAATGTGGTTTATCCATAAATTTGTATTCATGCAGAGTGCAATTCCGCATAGATTTGCATTTAAGGAAAATGTACAGAAGCACAAACCTTATACCATTAATGGAGAGAATGACAGAACAAATATGGAAAGCTCTTAAACCCTATAAATGTTTTACCAAAACACCAGTGTAGTTTCATTTTACATTTAAGTGCCTGAATTATTTACAAATTATCTAGCTCAGGATTTTTTTTTTATACTTGCTTTTTTATCATGCTCTAGACCAGGGATAGGCAACCTTTGGCACTCCAGATGTTGTGGACTACAACCCCCATAATGCTGGTAAAGCATCATGGGAGGTGTAGTCCAAAACATCTGGAGTGCCGAATGTTGCCAATGCCTGCTCTAGACATACTGAATCTAATGGAACTAATATCAAAATATAATATTTGGAATTCCAAATTAGAAGACCGGTATGTTCTTTATTTATCCATAGTCATCCATCTGCTTCTTTGTAGTGATATATATTGTATATTTTTCCCTTATAATTAGATTTTTTTGCTTTCATATATGGCGTATTGCATGGTTATTACATTGTGCTTGGTGGTTCAAGATGAAATTGCCATGCATTTGTTGTTTAACTTGTTATACTGACATTCAAGTACTCTCTGGAAATCTAAATAAATTGAAAATCATGCACAGAATCACACACATATACACATTTTTTCACTCAATTGCTGGAAGAATGCACACTTCTAAATTATTTAATTTTGGATTCATTTATTTTTAAATGATTAATTTTATGTAAAATGGAGTCAGTTTTAAGAAATATCAATAAATGTAAAACCATTTTCATGGGAAGTGAGGGTGCAAATGGAAAAAACAAAGACTCTAATATTGGCAGTTCATGGTACTTGGTGGCTATGGTAGACCAAATAAATGTTGTTGTGTAACTTTTCAAACAATTGTACAATTAATGTTTACAAGTGTTATTAAAATGTTTAGATCCATGAGTTTCATCATTCTAAGCTTTCTGGGTTTCCTTGAATTTAATAACGTTTGACCTTTGATTTATTTAGAGCAGTAGTCCCCAAACCAGTCCTCAAGGCACCCTTACCAGTCCAAGATTTAGGGATTACCCAGATGTGTCTCTAAGGTGGTTTTAGAAAAAAAGAAAGTGGTGGGAAACCTTGGACACAATTGGGATATCCTTTAAATCCTGGACTGGTAGGAGTGACTTTGGAAACCACTGCTTTAGATTATAAATGTAGTCCATGTAATGTATTTTTTCTCTATTCTGGTGAATTACATTGTAGTGTAGATACACTTCTTGAGACTGTCAATTGCTTATTAAGTATCCGCCTTGCATAATTGTAAAGTGCTGTGGAAACTGTTGGCACATTATAAATGCTGATTAGTGATGTCCAGAACGGTTCGCCACGGACGGCGAACATATGCGCTGTTCGGTCCACCCCCTATTCGTCATCATTGAGTAAACTTTGACCCCGTACCTCACAGTCAGCAGACACATTCCAGCCAATCAGCAGCAGATCCTCCCACCTCCTGGACAGCTCACTAAGAATGCAGCTTCACAATGAATGTAAAATGGATGCTGTCCAGGAGGTGGTAGGGTCTGGGAGGGAGGGCCTGCTGCTGATTGGCTGGAATGTGTCTGCTGACTGTGAGGTACAGGGTCAAAGTTTACTCAATGATGACATAGGGGGCGGACCGAACAGCGCATATGTTCGCCGTCCACGGCGAACCGTTCGGGACATCACTAATGCTGGTATTACAGGAAAACTAAAACTAGGTTAATTAAAAAAAAATGATTGTTTTGGGAAGTCCAATCCACTCACATATTAAGAGTGTTTTGTCCCCTACAGGTTTCTCCTCTGTTATTGAGAATTGCAATAACAGACATATCCACGCAATAAAACAAATGCATAACATGCAATCCTGGCTGTTTTTGATTCATGGGCTTATTTTGTTTTCTATAGTTTAACTTTGTTGGGAAGCTTTTGGGTCCACGTGGAAATTCTCTGAAGCGGTTACAAGAAGACACTCTAACAAAAATGTCTATTCTCGGGAAGGGTTCCATGAGAGACAAGGCAAAGGTAGGTCTACATTTACACTTAATGCATTTCTTATTGCTACTTTCTCTTTTTATTGTGTGGTAATCTATTCTATATAGAGAGCATTATTTTATTAATTATAAAAGGCCAATAAAAATGTCTTAAAATAAATGTAAAGGGAAAACTGGAGGTTAAACAAATAAAACCCAGAGAAGCGAGGAATCAGGTGTATTATCACCCACACACTTAACTCCTAGCCAAAAAGAGCCTCAATATGCACATTGATAAACGATCCTATACAACACAAAGATAAAGGAAAAACATCATAGTGTAGTATATAAAGTGCATAATTGAGGCAACTAAAGTGATCAGAGAAACTAGCTTTCCAGGGCCTGTTAGTAGTCCTCTTTAAACTATGCAGGCACAACAATATATATCCAGTAGTCCAGGACAGCCGAAATTGACAGCAGGAACCCAGGATCCACTGAGAAGCAAGTATAATTGTTCTATTTTACATGAACTAGGAACCAGAGTAGCAAAATAAGGATGTGAAACAATCTTTATTATATCGTCAAAGTAGAAAGATAAGCACAAACATTTCAACCCTAATAGGGTCTTCCTCAGGAACAATCTGAAAATGTGATTCTGAATTTGGAAAGTCACATGGGATACTTATCATCGTTATATCAGATACCATCTTTTTCAATATAATTGGGTAGTTTATTTGAAATAGGAAAGAAAACCCTTTCTCGTGTGTGTGTGTGTAAAATATAGTGATTCAATGCTGTAATTAGCTGTAGGTTAATTGCCAGTAAACTGGATTGTAAACCCCAACGTCTAAACTAATCATTATGATAACGAGAGCTTCCAGAATGTTGAGTTTGCCCCCTCAGAAAAAAATGTTTTGTCCTATTGCCACTATCCAGAACAGATATATATATATATATATATATATATATATATATATATATATATATATATATATATATATATATATATATATATATATATATATATATATATAAATTTTTTTTTTTTTTTTGTTAAATCATTAGAGAGAGAAATTTGAAACAATGTTGTCAGTTTCTAATATAAATTTCTTGTATAGTCTTGGTGTTTAATAGGAAAAGATATTACCCAATACATTACCATGTTCTCCCACACATATAAAAAAAAAAAAAAAATGTGCTGTTGGAATGTAAAAAATTAAGGCATACTGAGGCCTTAATAATTTTAACTAAACCATCTTGATTTAAGCTGCTCTTTAGCTATTGTATTGGATTAATTGTTGGAATAACTGTTATAAGACTTTAACTATGATCTGATAACTTGGACAATGCTTCAATGGAAAGTAATATCAGTGGTCTGAGTGATCTGCCAGTTTGGAGTAACCTTTTAAACCTTGTCCAATGTCTATAACCACTTCTGCTTTTAGAAGTGGTCATGTAGGAAGGAATCTATTTGCAGTGTTTGTATTGGAAATGTTGTACATACAGAAATGTGCTCTCTTGTGCTGAGGAACATGGTGGCAGGGTTAAAGTCTCTCGTAGACATCGATACATTGTGCTATTAAAATCAGTGGGGGGAAACGACCCGCAAACCATGCCTAATGTGCATTTGTAAATTTTATAGTAGGTACACTAATCTTTTAAAAAAAAAATTAAAATGGTTAAATGCCATTCTGGTTGGGTTTCAAACCTTTTAACAGGGAAAATAAGGTTTATAGAGAAATTAGGATGCTGTTAAACGAGGTCTGTGAATGTTTGTTTATTATGCTGATGTTTGAATGCAGGGGTATGTTTGTATGGGTGAGTTACCCTGCATCCTTCTATTTCATAGTGGGTACTACTGGTGGTTCCAACATGGCTAGGAAGTGTGATGGACATTGGTGGAACTCATGACCTGCTCGTGCCACAGTGGGTTTGCACCAACTGTGTTGCTGGTAGTAATGCACCTGGTCTTTCACTACTACTTGTCTTGCTATATCTCAGAGTGTGAATTGAAATACATATTATAACTGGGTATTGCCCCAAACATTCTTTGTTATAAGTGACCATTCTTGATCATAGAATGATATACAGGGAGAAAGATAATTGGACATACTAAAACACAAACGTATAATATAAAAAATGGTCAAAAGGGTAATCCAGATGTGGACCCTGTGCTCACTGTGCCTAGTGTGCGAGGGGTGTACTGACTACACCTTGCTGACGAGGCCTGAAGAAGGCTGAAACTATCATCCAGGTTTTCTGTATCTCTCATGCAGAGAGAAATCGCCAGCATTTTGGTTGTGGAATACCCTTATTGGTGGGATCTGTCTGATATTCCATGGCACTGGTTCTCTCTGTAATGGCACAAGTGAGCAAAAAACTATTTTGAAACCAGAGCAAGGATTTACCAAATGGCAATCTATTGAGTTTCTCTAACGTTTTGTTTGAAATTGAGTTTTGACTCCAAAGTATGCACAGGCCATCCCACACAGGGGAGGATAAGTCAAGATAGTAGTAATTACATGCAGTTTATAAGAAAACGGTAAAGACACTTTCTCGGTGTATACACCGCCTAGTTCCAGCTTTTAGTGATCTTTTAAAAGATTTGCGTTTAGTTCAATTTTCTTCTGGGGTTTAGTTGGCAATAGGGAAGTGGGTGAGATTAGGGAAAGAGTTTCTCGAAGCTTTTGTGTGTTCTTAGTTCTCTTATTGTTTGTTTTTGTTGTAATTTACCATATGTAGAAGGTTTTTTATAGACTTTTGAGCTAACAATCTAAAGGGAGAAAATAGGGTTACAAGTAAGAATATTAGGAAAGGTTATTATAAATGTTTTCATGACTTATACTAGGTAGCATGTAATTAGTTGTGATTTCACACCGTAGGAGAATCCTAGTCTACAAGTTAGACACCGGGGGGAGGTGGAGGTGGGAGGAGAGAGAGGAGATATAATGGAGCAAAATGGTCTTTTGGAGGAAAAATGACTGGAATTTTAATCATAAAAATAGTGATACAGTGTCCTTTTTTTATCAGTCGGTATGTTCTGAAAGTAATACTTTTCTTGTGAGGGTTACACACAAGGGAATTTAAAGGAGTTGGTAAACACCATAGCTAGATAGTTTAGCAAAAGTGTTTGGACATGTGCAGAAATGCATGTCAAGTTATCAGTTAATACAAAAAACATAATTTTTTTGCAGTTGTTAGTCTACTGGAAACCCCTCCCCCCCACCCCACAAACTTCATAGTAGAGGTGTAAATTTTAAAATCTAAAACTTTGAGGGTCATTAGAGCACAGACTTGGGAACATATAAACACAGGTGTGCAACTTCCAACAATGTCATGATATAACCTTCATTGTATCTTTCTGACCTATTGAACCTTTAAGATGATTGGCATCTGTCTATTTCTGGAATCTGTATGTCTGAAAAATGTTTGTTATGCATGCATAGATAAAGGATTAATTTTCTGTCATTTAACAAAACTGTGTAGAGAAAAGATCAATGTTCATTAAGTATTTTTATTTGAGTGAGGATAGTTTTCCAGAACCCCATATGTTAGGAGTCATATTGCAGATTTTGAATTGAATTGGAAAAATCTTTCTTCTGCAGGAAGAGGAACTGAGGAAAAGTGAAGAAGCGAAATATTTCCATCTTAACGATGACCTACACGTCCTTATTGAGGTTTTCGCTCCTCCAGCAGAAGCATATGCCAGAATGGGGCATGCACTGGAAGAAATAAAGAAATTTCTTATTCCTGTAAGTATCTTTAGAGCTTTTTATAATTGCTTTTTTTTTCTCTATTTTTTTCATATTAATGTTTCTCATTACTGTAAAGATGAGCTATGAAATGGCATTTGGTAACTGCATACCTCTTTTTAAGCTTAGCAATGATATTAACTCACAAGTAAAGCATTATTTAATCGTTTTCGGTTGTCACGGAGAAAGTATGCCAACATAATTCTTCCCTTATAGCCACCAGATTCACATTGTATTCTCCATGAACATTCTTGTCCAAAAGCTTTTTTTTTTTTTTTTTTTCACTCGTGTTTGGTTGCATTGCCACATACATGACATTCTGGTGTGTCAAATTGCATCCCACAAACTTGCTCCCACAACTTTTTGCCTACAGTTTAAAATGATTTTTGTTACCCATTCACTGCTGCTCAGCTAGAGGCTAGCTTTCTATTAAAAATTACATTAGAATTTTTGAAGATTCAAATCGGCTACTTAGTGTGACTGAAATGGCTGTGAAGATCGAGTGTGACATCAATCACAGCCTCTAAACATCGATATTTGAACAGCTAATGATTTATCCACTCATGATACCAATGAAAATGTACAGTCAACACCTAGAGCCTCGGAGCACTAGAAGTAATACAGTAGGGTAATATGGTTATGGTGCTTGGAAAGTCCCCTTAGTTTTAACAGATTGGGCATGGCCTGACAATGTTGCACTATGTAGTTATTAGAAGACCACGTCAAAGACTTTCTAGGACTGCTATGTTTATTAGGGAGAAAATTAAGTGGTTTCCGTTATTTAAAAAAAAATTGTTTAATTGCTAAGCTGCTATATAAATAATGTATTTATCAAATGAGTACTGAACATTTATTCTTTTTGTAGATTCCATGATTTGCAGTAAATTAACAAACAAAATAGAATACATTTTGTTAGGATTTTTTTAAATAAATTCCTTGCATGTTTTTAGTTTTTTCAATTTTTTTTTTTTTTTTTTTTAGTGTCTAGCTTGCCACTTAAATACTTTTTCCTGTTTTTATATTCTTTTTCATCCCATATTAAGCTTTGTATTTCACCTGTCTGGTTAGGCTGTATTGAGATGAACAACTATAATGCTAAATCTTCATGGAGTCCTTATTAAATGTTTTTTAAAGAATTGTTGTAAAGAAAAGTAGTAATATATATATATTTTTAAATTGTAGATATGATGTGGTTTTAATTAAGAAATGTATATGGAAAATCCACCTACTTTAAGGAAGAATTGTTGCGTTCTCAATATATACCTTAGGGGAGTTATCTGGAGAAATCATCAGTTGGCTTACACCAATAGTACATTCTATTCTATGTGCAATCATCTTATGTGCATCAATATTTAATTGTGTAGAATGCTTTTGAATAGATACTCCATAAGTTTTGATTTGGGTAAAAAGGTGGCTCTCAACAGTTTTTGCACAAAGATACACTTTAATAAGAGCTACATTTCCGAAGCACAGCTGTCTTTCTGTTTAATGTCGTCAGCCGATTATAAAGATCACATTTGCTTAAATCCTCACTAGAGAGAGATACCCATACTTGTAGTCAAACTGACTGGTTTTAATTAATAGCCAGATGGGAATCTCAATCTTGATGCTGATACTTGCTTACTAGAAACACATTTTAAGGATGCATTCAACATATTACAGCTCTGAATTTAATTTGTTCATTGCACCTTTTTGAGGAAGCTTAAAGGGACACTATAGTCACCTGAACAACTTTAGCTTAATGAAGCAGTTTTGGTGTATAGAAAATGCCCCTGCAGCCTCACTGCTCAGTCCTCTGCCATTTAGGAGTTAAATCCCTTTGTTTATGAACCCTAGTCACACCTCCCTGCATGTGACTTGCACAGCCTTCCATAAATACTTCCTGTAAAGAGAGCCCTATTTAGGCTTTCTTTATTGCAAGTTCTGTTGAATTAACATTTTCTTATCCCCTGCTATGTCAATAGCTTGCTAGACCCTGCAAGATCCTCCGGTATGTGATTAAAGTTCAATTTAGAGATTGAGATACAATTATTTAAGGTAAATTATATCTGTTTGAAAGTGAAACCAGTTTTTTTTTTTTCATGCAGGCTCTGTCAATCATAGCCAGGGGAGGTGTGGCTAGGGCTGCATAAACAGAAACAAAGTGATTTAACTCCTAAATGACAGTGAATTGAGCAGTGAAATTGCAGGGGAATGATCTATACACTAAAACTGCTTTATTTAGCTAAACTAATTTAGGTGACTATAGTGTTCCTTTAAGGCACACCAGTGATCCGGTACACTGGTTTAAAACCAATGGGGCAGGAGGTCCTCTGTAAAGAATATTTGATCTTGTTGAAGGACAACATTTGGTGCACTGATTTTCTGAAAACATCCGATACATGCAAGGAGAATGAAGAGTATTCTGTGTGCTGGTTATTTGCACTACATCTCAATATTTCTACTAGCATCTGGATGCCCTTAATATTTCCCAGTGTGATATTTTATGTAACATGATCTTACTTGCTGATGTCAATGACACAAACCAAAGCCAATCTAATGTAATGTTTTGAACATTTATGTAACAGTGTTACTAGTTTTTCTTTTATAAAGGTTTATTTGGTCTTGTAACAGTATTTTTATATAAGAAGGTTAAATCCAGTGGTCAATATATTGAATGCTACTTTTTACTACGGTCAGAGGCATAATCTGGTTGGCATGACATAATCAGCCTTATTAGGTTACTAGTTTGGGGGAATGTGGACAAACAAAACATAAAGTGTATATAAAATAATACATATAAATGACTATTGCATATGTATATAATCAGTACAATCTCCAAAATTCTCACATCTTGAAATGTAGGTAATTGAGAACAATAATACAACGTAGCAATCTTCATTAACTCTGACTCTGTTGAAACTTCCCATTCTTTGTATAACTCTCAAACAAAATTTGGAATGCAATATTAAATGGTACCCCAGGATTTTTAATGTAATATTTACTTATCCTCTTAATAAATATGTATTTATGTGGGGAAAAACAAACTAAGAGGGACATTATAGTCACCAGAACAACTACAGCTAATTGTAGCCGTTCTGGTGAAGATCGTCAGTCCCTGCAGCTTTTTTTTTCAGTGAAAAGACCATGTTCACAATACAGCCTAGGAACACCTACAGTGGCGAAAGTGTACAGAGAAGACAAAAATTTAAACAATGGTATTGTCGTATTTTCAATGGCAATTTTTTCTCTAGTAAAAATGAAAATCCAGTGCACTCACTTATCTAATAAACCATTATTTTAGTGCTGAAAATTTTGTTTTATTAAAAACACCCAATCTAGGCAATAAATAATGGGGGTTTAGTTACAGTATATAATCATACATTGCATAAGCCTGCCACAACGTCAATGTACCCCATCTTTGGCAGATCCTACTCTGTCTGCTAAATGAGCTACTTACTTGGGGAAATCCTTCCATCTCGAGTTCTCTGCAGTACAATGCTTAAATAGGGTCCTGAGATGAGTCACCTGTAACAGGGAGGGGTGCAAAACCAAGGAGATGGCTAGACTCCTAAATATATACATAAAGGAGAAAACAAGGGTTTGGCTGCACTCACCTAAACATACTTAAATGGGCTGCTGCTCTGGCATAAAAAGGCTAATACAAGTTATGTGACTTCCAATGTTTTTATTCAAAGGTGTAAATTGATCGTCCCCCTTCAAGCCTATAAACTAGCTGTCGGTTAATAAATTACTTACTACTGACGTACTCTATATCACTCTCTATTCCTCTTAAAGTACTCAAAATAAAATATAAAAATGTTACAGGGTTTAAAGTAGCAGAAGTCAATCTCAATGCTCAAGACATTTACATTTAAAAAAAAAAAAAAAGATTAATCATTGGACAATGTTTATGCACATCAGTAGATTTGTCATGACGATATTCAGGTTTTCCGATCTCAATGTACTTATTACTTTTGAAATTTGATGAGATCAAATTTAAGTAAATCCGTAATCCATGTTCTAATTTTGTTTTTGTCTTCATTTGTAGGATTATAATGATGAAATCAGGCAGGCACAGCTGCAAGAACTCACATATCTAAACGGTGGTTCAGAAAATGCAGAGGTCCCAGTGGTTAGGGGAAAACCACCACTCCGTGCTCGTGGAGCTCCTGTCCCTGCATTGGCCAGGTAATACTAAATTTCTGAATTTGTGTAATATATATTTTTTTTTAATATTATAATTTTTTAAATTAAAATACCTTTATATTTTTTTTATAGCTTTTAAATGATGAAATTATATTTTGGCTGGGTGGGTTTAGAAAAACCAAAGATTGTAGGTGCTCAAACAGAAATCTGAAAAGTGTGCATCTTACTGCTTTTGGTATTTACAATGGTGTGTTTTTTGTTTGTTTTTTTTTTAAACTTGAAGTGTCCTTTCAATAATTCAATTTAAAATAAGAAAAACATAATACAGCTCTGTCCAGCCCTGCTTTTGTTAAAGAAGTAACATTTTGATACAAGATATAAGCTTACTTCCTATGACCTATTTAGATCATGGGTCCTTAGGGGTTAATAACAAAGCTTGTTAGATGTTTAATTGGAATTGGCTTTCTTTAAACTTGGGTGGCCATCTAGTAGTAGCCTCACAATGTGTAAACCCTTATTGTGAGAGAATGTCATGTAGTGGTTTTGGTACATTGGCCATATGCCCTCCTCTGACAATGTAAAACATTGCTGTATCAGAGAAAATGTTCTTTGCATTGGATTTCATGCTTTCCTGTGAGAAGCATTGGATTGGAGGAGCACAGCACATTGCGGCTGATGTCCTCCGCATTGGATAGGATCAAGATTATCAGTCATGGTGATCTCATCATACTTGCTTGGTTTCTTTCAAATATTAATTAAAGACAATTTAAGCAATAGAAATATATATATATTCTATTTTTTATTTTTTTAACATTATGTATATTTATCAAAGTCCTTAAGTTAAGGGTAGAGCACTTGCCTCATGATGTCATAAGTCAGATGAAACTTGAGATTAGGAAATTGTATGGTGTGTGTGTGTGTGTGTGTGTGTGTGTGTGTGTGTGTATATGTATATATATATATATATATATATATATATATATATATATATATATATATATATATATATATATATATATATATATATATATATATATATATAGTGAGGGCTTTTATCTATGTACAACCCCTCTAGACCAGTGACACATGCAGCTTTAAGATTTTTTTTTTGTTACCTCAATATTTTATATCGGGGAGGTTAAAACTATTTTTAAACACATCCATTTCAACTTGAAGGGTCTAATTGGTTTTAATTTGGATCTAAAATAAATGTTTGGGTGCATATTCTCTACATATAATGGTAATGGTTACATTTGTGATCACTTGTAGTGTTAAGATTTTTTTCATGAGAGTGACATATTTTTTGGGAGCACATTTAGTGCACTTTTTTTAATTTTTTTTTACTGCAATGACAAAGTAATTATATTCCTAAATGTTTACAAATCTTGTTGATCAATGGATATATTTTTTGTTCCCATGCAATCTAGACCGTAACGTTAAAATTAGCAGTCTCTTTAGAGAATAGAATTTCACCAGTAGATAATGTAAACATATTTTTTTTAGTAAAGAGAAAAAAAATCTGTTCATATATACCATCTATTTTAAACCAATACAATTGTTTTAAATGTAATATACTATATAAAAAAACATGTTTCAGTGTCTTTTATGGAGAAGTAAATGTTTAAAATGGTTGTGAAAAGTATAAAGCCTACAACCCCCCCTCAAAAAACTGAATGATGTAATTCCTTTAATAATTCATTAATTATCTTTACTTGGTTTCAGGGGCCGGAGAGGCGTACCACCCCCAGCTGCTGGTGTACCTAGAGGTGCACCTGCTCCTAGAGGAGTTACCCCAGCGAGGGTATCCTCTTCACGTGCACGTGGACTCATGTCTACAAGAGCAAGAGGAATACCTCCACCCGCTGGATACCGGCCCCCACCTCCTGCACAGGATACATACGGAGAATATGTAAGTATTTTTGTTTTGTTTTTCTCGTGTTACACAGATGGTGGCATTCTATCCCAGATGCTTGTTGCCTTATCTTGTGCTGCAGTTCTCTGTTTTGCATTCAGAACCTCTAAAACCTCTCCCGCTCAAAATATATTGTCCTCTTTCCAGCACAGAGATATGGCTTTATATACTTTACGTGGTTTTCTTACAAATGTAAAAATGAGTAAGATTCAGTATTGCATACTTGTTGTAGATTTATTTCCTTTTTTTTTTTTTTAAACATATTCTTGTTTTTTTGTCATTTAAAAAGCAAGCAGATTATCTTTACAAGTGGGGGTTTAATTTATAGAATATAAATTTGTAAATAAATAAAAAAAAGATGTCTGGGTGTAATTATATTTATAAATAGAAGAGTTGATTAAAGGGAATCTATAGTGTTAAGAATACAAGGTTTATTCTGAACCATAGTGCCCTGTGGTCACCTCCCTCCCCTCATGGACCACCAACTAACAGTAAAATTGAGGGGAGAAAAACCCAAAACACAAATACCTTTCTTTTTATTCACCAAATTACAACGCTGATCTCCCTCAGTGCTAGGTCACACTCAGAAGTCCTCTGAGGGACCTAATGTGCATGTGCTGTGAGCTCATTAGGCCTTCCCTATATGAAAGTATTGAATTAATGATTTCCTATGGGGTTTTCACTGTCGTCATGCACAGGGTGAGGACATCCAGTGTCATTTAATGAAGTCAAACTCCAAATTCCAAGTTGTAAAATGTGGAAAGTCCATGGGACACATCCAGCATTTTTAGGTGTACAGCATTTCATGCTTTAAGAGGACAGTGGATTAAACTGTTAAATCACCAAGAAATATGTGTCTGTATGTATGTGTGTTTGAGTAGTTTTATTGGTGTGAATAATTATGTAGGTTTATATAAGGTTGATTAATTAGTAATGTGTGATAGGTTTGGGTATCTACAGGGACACTTAGCATTGCATCTGGGTGGGGGCAGGATTTTGTTCTTGGGTCACCTTTAGAAGAATTCTCTTGCAAATGACTTGCCATTCTGGAAGATAGTTTATAACAGATGGGCTACTGCTTAAATCTGTGTTTGTGTCTGTATAATATAACAAATCATTTTAAAAGTGTGTTTGAGTCTGTCAGACTGGTTGTAGAAAAGTGTTAAAAATATAAAAATAAGCTCTTTGGAAAGCCTGTCTTAAAAATATAAACTACTATGACGAAGGTAATGGTAATCTGAATCAAATATTTCTTCCATCAACCCAGGTTGCATTTTAATTAACAAAGTTAACATTTGTATTGAAAACCTTATCAATTAAAACCTTTTTCACACTGGATTAATGCCTTGGCCCAGTTATGCACACGTTTGTGCAACTATTTATGTTGAATCAATCACTGCCATACAATTGCATGTATTCATAGCAAGTTGCTTTGAACCAGTAACATGTTTTTTTGTTTTTTTTTCCTCTCTAATGTATGATTAGCAGCTGCCAAAAAGTAGACTCAAATTTGGAATGAATGAAACCTTTTTCAAATTTTGCATCAACTATAATTCAAACAAAATTACAGATGAAAATTGAAAAGAATGCCTACAATTTTTCTTTATTTTATTCAAAGCAAATGTGTCGATTGACTTCCAGTCAAATGCACTCTACACATTCACACAGTGACCTTTCACACACACTCATTCCTGCATTCACACAGTGCTCTTTTTATGCCTAATCATTTCTGCATTCACTTGCTGTCTCTGCTACCTACAAAGCATAACTTGAATAAAACATGCTTTTTGAGCATCTCTGCTGGAGAATAACTTGTAGGCCTCGTTAGTAGTTTTGACATAAACACTGTTATTTACCAAAGTAAATTTAAGGCCAAAATAGGCAAATTGTAAAAATTATCTGCCATTAATGTTTTAAGCTTGGAAAATTGGAATACAACATTTTAAATTCACTTTCAATTCTCACTTGAATGAATACATCATACACACGCACACACCCAATTGAGAAACTAGGGCATAACTGTTTGAACATATTGTTGGCATAAAGCCTTGGCCATTAATGACTAAGTCTGCACCTCTGATGAATGGTTAATAAATCTGCACATCTACTGAATGGTTTGCCAGGATATTAGAGGAACACCATATTGAGAAGTTGCACTGTGCATTAGAGCAAATACATTTACAACACAAAGTGGGAAAAAAACACAGCCAAATAAACTAAAACCTGATATAAAACTGAGCATTAAAACCAAGGAATACTCCCAGAGTAAGATTGGGGTTAGAATTAATGGGGTGGCTACGTACTGTAAGCACAAAATCATTGCATGCATCACTATTGCTAAAGAAGACCATTAATACAAATGGATAGAAGGACAGTGAAGAAAAAAATCCACAAATAAAAATAATTTGAAACAAACTGCAAAAAGTAAATTTATGGTGATCGTCCATAAAATACTGCTAATCATCTCATAATCTAGCAAGGCAGGTTAGAAATATGCAGAAGGGGTTTATACATTGAACAGCACATGTTAGTGAATTGAAAACTAAATTACTAAATTGTAGGCTGAAATATCTGATATGGAAAAATTCACCATCTCTGTTATAGTCACAGCTTAGTAATTCTAGCTAGGGATTTAGTTTGGTACCTTCAGTGTTTAATGAACACAACTCATTGTGTACATGGCATCCAAAGTGTCTTATGGAATTAAAGTATTGTACCTGTGTGATGACTTTCTAATGTCTTTACACTTCCAATGCCTCATTTACCTTGTGATGGAACCTAAGGCTGCAATCTATTTTCATGTTTTTCATAAGACACGGTGAGCAGATGTGGCTATCACAGCCCTCTGTCAGTGATAAAAGCCAGCATGCTTCTGTAATCTTTACCACTGCAAAAAAATGCTAAACGTTTATTGTGGAAGATATCCTAGTCAAAATGTTTTTAATGGTTTTATTTTTTTGTTTTTGTTTGGTTTTTCCCTCTTTTGTGTATTTTAGATTAAAAACAGTTTGGTCATAAAGCATAAGTTCCGACAGTTTGGGAGAAACAAATACATTTTTGGTTTGGGGATCGGCTGTATAATTTTTTTATTTTTTTTTTTGGGGGGGGGGCAGGTTAAGGGGAGTGTGTGAAGGAGACTGGGCATAGGAAGGGATGCTGTGGAGAATACTTGTCATTATGGTGAGGGGGAAAACAAAGCATATGAGAATGGACAAAAGCTTAGAGGATCTCAGTAGCTTGCCCTTCCCAACTCAGGTCTCAAAATGGTTTTTGCTTACTTGTGACATTGTAACGAGAACCTGTTCCAAGGCAAATCAGAGTTAATTCACCCATAAGAGCAGTCTAGAACTGAAATGTCAGCAATTTCTCTCTGCATGAGAGATACAGGAATCCCTGACCATCATTTCTTTGGGCCATGTTAATGAGGTGTTATTGGTACCTCTCTGTGGAAGGTACCCAGGACAAGGAGAAGGCTGTGGAGGATATCTAGCACAGGAAAAGGTGTACAGTAGCTTAACAGTGGAGAGTATTTTGTATGTTAAAAAGGGTTATTTGGAGGATATTTGTGAAATAGTGGAGGATATCGAACATGTAGAACAAGTGCAGAGGAGAAAATGTGACATAGTAATGCTGCTCTGTGCTCCACCTATGTTAACATGCCCACACAAATGCACCTTCACCAACAGTGATATTTCACACTGACATCATAACCTGCTGACATTGGCAACTGTCTAGCTATTCCTGTCAAAGCTGGGACATCTCAGGCTGTATTCTCTTGGTATATATCTATATATAATATAAACTACAGCATTGTTACATCACTATTTCATCAGCCATCAAAATACATCCTTGTCTCACCAGACAGAATAATATGTTATCCGTTCAAAAGTAATTTCTATTAATACTTGCTTTTGAGTAAAGGCAACAAACCATAGTTCCTGAGAGAGAAATGGTGTTTATGAACAAACCTTTACATTTCAAATAGTGTTGAGAAGATAGATTCACCTGTTAGATTTACCAACATTTTTGACACCGATAATGGAGACCCCCCTTACGTGTGTAATGAGAGGTTTGCACTGCATTCCTGTATTTTAAATTTAGGTAATCACCATGCAGATCAGTGGTATCAAATATAAAATCCATTCAATAGATTATATACAAAAAAACATGTCAACAAATTGTACATTGAGCAGTGCACATAGTGTAATTCTAGTGTAATGTGGCAGTGCAACAAACCCACCTGTTGTTTTTGGTTTTTCCCCCCAGTGATGAAAGATTGCCGTAGGTGACTTATGAAGAATCTATCTACTTTTAGTTAAGATGGGAATATTCTAAAAATACAAGTTATTGAATATGTGTACTCTTTATAGTATCGAAAATGATCAAACCATTCATTTAAAAAAAGTTTATATTTTAATGTTTATATAAAATTTACCATTTAATAAAAAATAAAATCCATTTTCTTCCCACCAAGGATTATGATGATGGATATGGAACGGCCTATGATGAACAGAGCTATGAATCTTACGAAAATAACTACAACTCACAAGGGCAGGAGTAAGTTGGTTTAATTTTGTATTATTATTTGAGTACACAAACTGGTTCTTTTAATTCCAGGGATCCTCTAAAGATCACTCAGATTAGACTTGAGCAATCATTGATGCAAAAAAAAAAAGAGCGCCAGTTCAGGTTTACATGATTGAAAGGTGCATCCCTTGATCCATTTTAATATGCAAGGTTGTTGGAAAATGCATCTTCTGTTTTGAGCAATTGTCAAAGGTTAGCTATACCCATAAGCTTTAATACAGAATGGAATATCCACAGTATTATTAGCAGTCAAATTGAATTGCTAGGTTTTATCAAAATAATCTTTTCATCCATGGAAATCAACTCAACCTATAAAACTGGCAGTAGACGCGATTAAACACTTTATTACAAACTTGTGTAACTCGAGATTGGCATATTTATTTAAACACATTGGAATTCTTGTCATGCTTCATACTTTGTGCAGGTATTGCTCTTTTTGTAATCTATCCTATTTTGTAAGCAGTTACTATTACTGCATGACATATACTGTATAATAATGTCAAAGTGTGTGTGTATGTATATGTGTGTGTGTATATATGTGTATATATATATATTCTGCCTACTCGATGTTTGAGTACAAAAGAAGTCCTGTTGCAAAGTATGTTTTGGGGTTTTTTTTGTAATGTTTTTTTCACATTTTTATTTCTGAGGATAAAAATTTATATTTCTAGACTATATGTACACAAAATTGATCGAACACCCTAGCAAAATTATGAAAAGTGTTGAGAGCTATAATTAAGGCTATCAACACATTGCAATCATTGGCTTTACTGCCACCTCATATGACGTTTCCACTAGCATGTTACAAGCAAAGTTTGATACCTCCCCGCAGTCCATAGATCGAACATTTTAAATAGGGGAGTTCAGTTACTCTAGAGCAGGGGGTTCTCAACGTTAGTCCTCAGGACCCCCTACCAGTCCAGGGTTTAGGGATTAACTGGGTGTGTCTAAGGTGTTTAGAAAAAGAAAAAAAAAACACCTTAGAGTCTAAGGTGTTTTTTTCCCCCTTTTTCTAAACACCTTAGACACACCCAGGTAATCCCCAAATCCTGGACTGGTAGGGGGTCCCGAGGACTGGGTTGAGAACCCCTGCTCTAGAGGATCATGTAAGCATGACCATAAATACCATTTCGGGTAATGTTAAGAATACTCAAGTTGCTTGATTTTATGGATTTAGATTTCTGGTATTAAGCTAAAACTATGTTGCTTTGTAAGAAAGATGTATTCAGTTACATTCCTGCGTTTGCTACCAAGTATTGGATACAAAATGGCTGCCTGACTGGAACTATCCCAGCCTTCCAATTATTCTCAAATCACCATGGATGGACAATACTTTTTTCTATTATTTTCAAATTACTTTAAGAATAAGGAAAATGCAATTTTATTATTATTATTATTATTATTTATATAGTGCCAACAAATTCCGTAGCGCTGTACAATGGGTGGACTAACACGCATAATTGAGATCAGACCACTGACGTACAGGAACACAGGGGGTTGAGGACCCTGCTCGATGAGCTTGCATGCTAGAGGGAGTGGGGTATAGTGACACAAAGGGTTAAAGTAGGGGAATTAAATAGTTTGTTACAGAAGGGTTTATTGAGTGCTTGGTAGGTCATTTTTGACAGTTGCAGGAACGGAGTCATGGGCTGGGGGATGAGAAACCTGCTGACATTTAATTCATACGCTTTAATGAAGAAGTGAGTTTTCAAAGATTTTTTTGAAGGAGTGGAGGCTGGGTGACAGTCTGATTGAGGAGGGCAGGGAGTTCCACCAAATAGGTGCAGCCCTGGAGAAGTCTTGAAGGCGAGTATCAGAGGTGGGGATCCGGGCAGAGGATAGGCGTAGGTCTTGGGCTGAGCGCAGGGGTCTCGACGGAACATACTTGTGTATGAGGGAGGATAGGTGTGTTGGAGCAGCATTATGTAGGGATTTGTAAGCAAGCGCCAGAATTTTGAAATAGGCCCTATATCTAACTGGAAGTCAATGCAGGGACTGACAGAGCGTGGAGGCGTGGGAGGTGCGACCGGACAGGAAAATAAGCTTCGCAGCCCCATTCATTATACATTGCAGCAGTGCAAGCTGGGAACATGTAACACCGGTGAGAAGGGGATTGCAATAGTCAAGGCGAGAGAGAACAGCATGAACCAGTACCTTAGATAGATATGGGTGGATGCACACGATGTTCTTGAGTTGGAAGCGACAGGATTTGGCTATAGATTGGACATGGGGAGTAAAAGAGAGATCAGAATCAAAAAGAACCCCTAGGCCGCAAGCCTGGGAGGTAGAGGTGATAGTAGCGCCGTTGACTTGGATGGAGACACACAGGAGTAGCAGCACTTGAGGGAGGAAAAACTAGAAGTTTTGTTTTGAACAGGTTGAGTTTAAGGAAGTGAGCAGTCATCCAGTTGGAAATAGCAGAGAGGCAGTCAGAGACACGAGTCAAGGTGGGCGGAGAGAGATCAGGGGAGGACAGGTAGATTTGCGTGTCATCTGCATATAAATGGTATTGGAAGCCAAAGGAGCTGATGAGTTTACCAAGGGAGGCAGTATAGATAGAGAACAGTAGGGGGCCGAGGACCGAACCTTGGGGGACGCCGACAGAGAGGGGTTGGGGAGAAGAGGCAGAGCCAGAGAAAGAAACACTGAAAGAGCGCTGGGAGAGGTAGGAGGAGCACCAGGAGAGAGCAGTATCCCGTAGACCAAAGTTACGGAGAATGTGAAGAAGCTGTTGATGGTCAACAGTGTCAAAGGCAGCAGAAAGATCAAGGAGGGTTAGGATAGAGTATTGGCTGCGAGATTTAGCAGCAATTAAATTGTTGGATACTTTGGTCACAGCAGTTTCGACAGAGTGACCAGCGCAGAATCCAGACTGAAGGGGGTCAAGCAGAGAGTTGGATTCGAGAAAGTCTGTCAATCTGGCGTAGACAATTCTCTTGAGGATCTTGGAGGCAAATGGCAGTAGCGAGATAGGGCAGTCATTGGATGGGGAATTGGGATCAAGGTTGGGCTTTTTCAGAATTGGGGTTACGGTTGCATGTTTGAACGCAGAGGGAAATGTGCTATGCACTAGTTCAAGAACCGTTTGACGCTTCTAAATGTGCTATCTCTTATTGTTACTGCTCCAAAAGCCCAGACTTGTTAAAAGGGACATTTTAATGATTATTCTTTTGAGTCTTGATGCTTTTCCCTGTTGATCTGTACCATGAATAAATCCTATCTCAAATCTAAAATGCATGAAGACTGGTTTATTTTCAGATGAATGAATCAATTCATATAAATCCATTTAAGGTAATATATATGCATGGGGTACCACATGGTGATTAGGTCCAAATTGTGTGTCCCCACATGATGGAAAAGAAAACCTAAGTAAAACTTCTATAATCTAGCATAGAAAGGGTAGTGGTTGCTATGTCTATAAGGAAAGCTATTACTTTAGTTGGATGGCTATATATTGTGCTGCCTTAGATGAAGCCTATACCAAGTCATGTTCGGTCTTTATATATTTTTATCTCTGAGCCAATTTTTCTTTGTTGATTATATAGGTGGCCAGTGGGCTACAACATGCCTTTTAAAACACAATATAATAAAGTGTAGGATAGAACACAATACGTCCAAATAGAATAAACACTTGGGCCATTCCTGGTTCCACTTAGTGTCTCCTAGTTAAAGTCACCTATTTATTTATTTATTGTTTAACAAAATAATTAAGATGTAAGAAATAGGACATCTGTTATTTTAATTATTTTACATTTTCTTGTAAGGTCTTATTTACTTTGCATTGGTAAACTTTTCTTAAGCTAGCTCTGAGTGTTTTGTGATATTTGGGGTAAAAATATGAAAATGTTAAAGATCTACCTGCTGAAATGATCAGTAGATACAAATTTCCCATCAAGAAAAAATTTATAAGAACATGTAATTTTAGAAAGCTTGCTATTCAGATATATATATATAAAAAAAAAAATTCCCAAAGCAAATTTAAACTATTTTTGGGGTTGCTTTGCAATATTTTTGTTTCCCAGATTTGGTGATAATTAAGGTAAAGTGGTTTCTTGATAGAAGCACGTACTTGCAGTTTACCTGAATGTGCTGACTTTCTGTGCTAATAAAAACTGTATGAGCTAAAGCTATGAGCCTGAGCTACAGAATAGTTATTTACAAGTGTATGAGCGTCTGCCTTCTATCCTCCAGGAATTAAACCCTATGTCCTGCTACGTTTAACTCTGTACTTGTCCAATGACAATTAACCATACACCTTCTATGGTGGGAATTTAAGAGTATGACCAAACCATTTTTTTTATTTTTTTATTTTTTTTTCACTGGATACTTTTGTAAAGTGTTTATTTAGTTTATTGTATTTTTAATTGTTTTCTGCTTTTATTATGGTATTGCTGTCTTTAGTATATTAACTTCATTAGTCTCTTTTCCCCCCAAGCCTATTATAATGGACTACAGTAAAACATTACTTTTATAAGAATAAAGACCTACAATTGTGCAAACATTCTGTATTTATTTTTTTACCGTAAATTGGATCTGATTGCATTTTATTGTCCCACAAGTATATATAGTTCTGCACTATAAAAATGGGGGTTTATACTATAACACATTGATTTTCAATAGAAAGAGCTTTGAATCACAGTGAGAAAAGACATTCTAAAGACTTCTACGCTAGTCCAGGCCACGTTATTGGACCCCTTTGGAATATGCTAACACATATACAATAACAGTATATTTTCCAGTATACAAATAAAGGGGGAAGGGACTGAAACACTGATCATTAAGGAAAAAGTGAGAAATTTATAAGCGGTGTTAAATCTGCAGATCTTGTAATAAATTGCAAGGTGATGTTTTAAAGACCTTTCCCTACACATCAACACAATGAGTGTTGCATCTTAAGAGTACATGTGGGGCAAAGGTCTAACGTTGAGCTATTGCCATGGAAACAAATGGAATCTTCCTGCTGATTAACATTTAGAACTTTGACCCAGTATCTCCTTTTTATAAAGACAAGTCTTAAGTGCTCTGCAAACGGTATTATATTCTCATCTTAAACTTCATATTACTAACTACATTGCCTCTGAATTATGATTTATGGATAACCCCTTGGTGCCAAAGATCTAAAAGTGACATAGTCAGCAGGAGCAGTCTAATGGTTTCCATGGTAAGAGATGAGAGTTGTTACAATGTAAAAAGATCAATATGAGGGTGCAGTTCTAATAGTGACATATATGAAGCAGAAAAAATCTTTTTAATTTTCCTACAATACAATTTCTTTCTATATTTTTTCAGTTTAAAAATTCCAAAAAAAAGAACAAACTTTTTTATCTGTTTTTGAATTAAGATAGCATTAATAACTCTCTCAATATCCCAGTGGCTTTATTTAAGTATATTTAAGTTCAAAAAAGTACAAGTAAAAAATAATCTGATAAAGAATGTCAATGTATCTGATGTGCATGTAATCATCCAATAAAGGTATAATTGTCTAAAAAGAGCATCATTGAACCTTACAATTAAACCATTTTAACCTATGGGAACCAGAAAATCTGCCAATTCTTTTTTTTTTTTTTTCAGAGAATAATAATTCATCTTTCTATTTTACGTTTTTTTCTAGAGCTTTTGGAGAGTGGATGTAGTTTGTTGAACTGATAGAGAATATTCCTACCAATTGCCCCATACTGTATTTTTTCCTACAATCATTCTATGGCTGACTAGAGCCACATATGGAAAATGTCTAGAAACTGGTTTGCTGAGAAGGAATTCTTATTGCAAAGATCTATATTCTGATCGAATAACTTGTAATTAACATTTCTATTTAATTGTGTATTATGATACAAAAGATCCGTAGCAACAAATCCCCAAATGCAGTTAAACAGAATTTGCCGATCTGATATAATTTTTAACTGTATCCACAGAAGGAATCCTGAAGTAGGACATTAATATTCTGTGTTATGTAAATTAACTAGGCATAAGTTGTAAAGCATCTGGTTAATTTGTGATACAATTTTGCCTCAGTGTGTCTTAATAATTTAAAGAACAATAAAATAAGATATAAAGCTAAAATATTTAGAAAAAGTTGAAATATTAGCACTTGAATATGTAGAAATCTGAAAAGTTTTAGAATATTCATGTTTCATGATTGTGTCTGGCTCTGAATAAGATAACAAAAAACAATCCTAGCCTTTCTTTAAATTGGCAAAATATTTATTGTGGTGCTTGAGGTTTCAGGACTATGTGCAAGGAAAACTGTATGGATATATGTAATAAAACCAGAATTTTGTGAGTTTGCCATTTGATGTTCAGTATACCCAAGATTTATAAGGGGTTATAAAAACAAAAAAAACAAACAAAAAAACTATACAGAAACGAGGCTGGCCAGTTTGGATTTATATGCACCATCTGCTTAATAGCAGTGAGATGTACAGAGATACTTCTGATCAGCCATTCCAATCAGACAGTGCAGGATTGACATTTCAATTGATTCCTGCAAAAAATAACTTGAGTTATTATGGTGTAAAGTTGTTGAATACAAAATAAGGAACAACTGACCCCTTTTTATTGCTTCGCATTTTGTGTGTTTGTGCGTGCATATCTGTGTGTGTGCTTTCCCCCCCCCATATCTTTTTCAGTCTTACATTTTAGAACATTGATTTGTTATGATAAAATACAGTACCTTTGAAATATTTAGTCCAAGCATAATAAAATTCTTATGTTTTAGTAGGATTACCCTTTCTTCTGGTCAAGATAAATATCTGTGGACTAAGATTCTTAAGACATGTGGGCTCTTCCTGACTTGTTTTGTCTTAAGCCAATGGGAAGATTTCCATTTTTAAAAATAACTCAAAGACTGAACATCCTGGTATTGGCAAGGGCTTGATTGAAAAATCAGATTACGTTATGAAGAAAATTGCCTAATTTTTATAAACGTTGGTTTCCTCTCTCCAACATGGAAATGTAAAAGTGCTTTGTTTATATCTCTCACACACTAGATGCTTATGTCTCTATGTTTTAGGACTATAACCCAACTATCATCTAGTGTCAAAATTATAGATGTGAAGCCAGGGAAACCAATTAAATATGTTCTAACTGCTCCACCTTTAGAACTTGAACCCACATTTTTATACATTCCCTCTAAAGAGTGTCTTATTCTTGCATGGTAACACCTCTTTTTAACGAGTTTACTCTTGCCTCCTTTGGGTAGGCATCTTAGCCTCAATTGGTCTGTTATCTTTATTAGAGGCTGTCATGACTTGGGATCGTGCACTAGCTCTTGCCTGCTTGGTCTTTGTTCAGATAAGTGTCCCTCTCCCACAAAGCAATGGCAAGCACGATATGCATTGGAAAGTAGTATTTACTTATGTTTCCTTTGCAAAATAGAGTGAATAATGCACATAATCATTTTCTTGATTAATACATTACTGTCTTGCTTTAAATGTTTTACCTAAAAGGCTTTCCTCTTGAAGCACATACAATTTAACTTTTTTAGCAGGGAAGTGGGGGAGATATAGAATATTTTTTTTACTCCCCCAAACCTACATGGGCAGTTGGTTAAAGGTTTTTCCCATGTCTGCTGTTTTGGATTAAATTTTGCATCTGTTACAAGGACTGGATGCTTAATTTGAGTGAATGTGTCAATCGGCTGTCATTCATAATATAGCCTTAACATGATTTGGTTAAAGGGCATTCTGTTTTATAGTAATAACACAAACACATGTATGACCCATTTTCAAAATATTTTCTTCTCTGAGCAGTCACTGTGAAGGAAATATGATAAAATGATCATATAAAAAAAATATATTGTCATTTGATAAAATATTTTTATGTATGTGAGACTGAGTTAGCTCTCACCAGGGCCGGATTAACATAGGGGATGATGGAGCTGCAGCTCCAGGCCCATGGAATAGGCCCATTTAAAAAAAAATAATAAATAAATAAAACTCACTACTCTTAGATTTTCCACCTGACTGGTATGTTAAGGCACAGCCGGTATTTGAGGCTGCCTGGCCGTGATGGTATTGCAGTAATATTGGCTATACAAATAGAAATATTTGTCTCAGTATAAATGGAGATTACTCTGCAATGCCAGCACCAGCCATTAGGGGTCGCTGTGTATGGAGGGAGGCAGGGATAGGAAGTTATAGCATATCCCTGCCACTCTCTAATCACTGATCCACAGGGGAGCAGCTACACAGCACAGAGTGTCCAGACAGCAGCTCCCAGCCTGCAGAGACAGACTACAGCTCAGGTAAGTGAAGGATGGAGGGAAAGGCAGCAGGGACACATGGGGACACAGACACTAGGGGACACATGGGGCATAGACACTAGGGGACACATGGGGCATAGACACTAGGGGACACATGGGGCATAGACACTAGGGGACACTGGGGATGCTGTGAGACACTAGGGACACAGTGTCCCCATGGCTCCCAGTGTCCACATGTCTGTGCCCCCAAATGTCTCCCTATGTCCACAAGTGCCAACATGTCTCCCAGTGTCCCCATATTTGTCACCCCATGCCTCCGAGCCAGTGTATCAGTGCTCCCTAGTCTTCCAGTGTCTGTGTTCCCATGTCTCTGTGTTCCTAGTGTCTTAGTTTCCCCAAATATGTGTCCCCATGTCTGTGACCCCATGTCTCCCGGTGTCCCCAAATGTCTGTGCCCCCATGTCTCTCAGTGCCCCATGTCTGTATCCACAAATGCCCCCATGTCTCTCAGTGCCCCATGTCTGTATCCACAAGTGCCCCATGTGTCCCATGTCTGTGTCCCCTAGTATCCTAGTGGCACGGGACACACTGAGACATGGGGACACTGGGAGAAATGGGGACACAGACACTGGGAGACTAGGGGACTGGGCGACATGGGGACACTGACACTGTGATACATAGGGACATGTATGCCAGGCTGGCCTTCCAATTCTTTGGACAGACATGCCCCTTTTTGGGCATGTTCGCCCTTTTGGTAGTTCTGGTCACGTAATTTGCAAATGTAGGTCATTTTTCATGTCCATAACAAATAGATTTGCACAACGTTTACTCTTCGTTTAACCCCTTAAGGACACATGACATGTGACATGTCATGATTCCCTTTTATTCCAGAAGTTTGGTCCTTAAGGGGTTAAAGTGTTTCTCATTCTCTCCAAAATGATGCTTTCTCAAATCGGTCCCAGCATTGATAGTTCTCCTTTGTTCCTCAGAGTAGAGTAGTAGAAGCTGTCTTAAACTGTAGTTTTGTGAAAACATTCCCCTTAACCCAGTCCCAACAAAGGGGCAGTTCCATACAGTTTGTTATCCCTAAGATCTACTGGATGCATGCATTAAATGTAGTAATTACTCGGCAATAGTGATGTCCCGAACGGTTCGCTGCGGACTCATCATTGAGTAAACTTTGACCCTGTACCTCACAGTCAGCAGACACATTCCAGCCAATCAGCAGCAGACCCTCCCTCCCAGACCCTCCCACCTCCTAGACAGCTCACTAAGAATGCAGCTTCACAATGAATGTAAAATGGATGCTGTCCTCACGTACAGGGTCAAAGCTTACTCAATGATGAGTCCGTGGCGAACCGTTTGGGACATCACTACTCAGCAATGCTCACTTTTGCAACACACTAGATGCTATAATCTTGGAAAGGTCTACATACTTTTGTCTTTAGACAATAAATAAAAAAAAAAGTCATGGAAGATATACTGTTTGAGTGCCAATTTCATTACAAGCAGTAATTGACTAGATTAAAAAAAAAAAAAAAAAATGTGCAGTTGACTAAACCGTAAAGATTAAATTATTTCTCTGATTTTATTTATTTTTTGTAAATAAACTAGTATAGAACAGCCTTATTTGCTCTTTGAAAGTAAACTACCCCATATTAAAACCCGCCTACACTTTTATTTATTTTTTTATATTACTTTTTATTAAGAAATTTTGTTTTTGGGTTACAAGACAATTAAAAAAATACATACATACAGTCATACAAAATGCATCCGATTGATGTAAATAAATCATTTTATGTAGAGAGAATACATTCATTAAGATATATCAATCGGCCAGAAAAAAAAAAAAATACATAACAGAAAACAGGAAGTCATTAATATGGGATAAACAAGAGTCTATAGAAAAATAGTCAGAAGTATATCAATGGAAGTAAACGCAAATTTAGATACATGTTATCCATAAGATAAATTCCACTAACCAAATAGAATTACATCTTCCATAACCACGTCACCTGAGAGATTTATGAGTTACCATAGAGTAGAGAACATTTTTTTAGCCAAATTGAATACAAGTCTCTTTTTTTGGAGACCACTGACCAGTTTTTAACCATATCATTTTCCATTGTCAGTTGGAATTTAATTTGATTAATTAAGGAAATTTTCTGAAAGGGATCAGAGGATTTCCACTGTCTCGCTATGATAATTTTAGCTGCAATAAAGCAGTGAATAGCTAAACAAATATGTTTACTTGATTTAAAAGGCCAGTTCAAGTGGAGGAGAGCCGAAGCTGGATTTTTATTTATATCTTTAAATGATACCTCATTCAAAGATATTTCGGAGAAGATATTATAAGCCCAGGCCCATAATGGTTTTAGTACTGGGCAAGACCACCATGTATGGATATATGTACCCGAATAGGTACCACATCTCCAGCAAGTAGGATCTTGAGAAGTATACATTTTAGCCAGTTTTGTCGGAGTGTAATACCATCTGTGGAGTAACTTAAAGTGGCACTCAGTCAAATTTAGGCCATGGACAGATTTTTTTACAAGAATTATAGAGGAAAACCAGTCCTTTGGGGAAATCACTAAATTAAGTTTGTTTTCCCATATTTTAACCAGTTTATAGGGAAAGGTATCTAAGCCTTTAAAAAGCAAGTTAGCTACCGAAATAACCTTGGGTACAGTTTGAAATGAAAATAAAGTTTGCAACTCTTTAGCCCGAGGAAAAGAAGATTGGATAACTTGTTTCTGAATATAGTGTTTGATACGGAAGTATGTACACTTTTAATGTAATATTATTATTTTTTTCAACATGTAATCTTAAGTTATTTGTTGTTTGTGGTTATATACATATGTATAATTTTTTTTTTTTTCTGTATTCTATTCATACACACATGTGGGTATCTTTAGATCTCATTATCTATATCAGAGGTAGGAAACCTTTGACATTGCAGATATTGTGGACTAGCTTTGCCTGTAGTAGATGTACTAGTAGCCCACAGCACCTAGAGCGTCAATGATTGCCTACCCCAATCTATATTGTATTTGTATAACGCAAAGTACATAAAACAGAATATATTTCATATAACTGAACTAATCACTTTTTTCTAGTAACACTGAATCGCTCAATAATAATTAGATCTGACTGAGTTCTTTATTCTGTTTAATTAGCACAGGAGATTATTATGACTACGGACATGGGCTCGGAGAGGAATCTTATGACTCCTATGGTGAGTATGTATTAAACACATTTTAACTCCTTCTGTAACAACATCCTCTATGCATTCACTTTGTGCATTTTCAACCTGTATACAGTTAAACAAAAATAAAAAAAGCAGTCCACAATATGCTTATATCATAACCAAATTTTTAAAGTAGTTCTCACACCCTCGAATACTTGTTTTATTTATAATTCCAAATTACCAGTCATATTGTTTTGTGATCATAATATATTTAAATGGACACCCAAAGCATCATAATCACTATAGCTTATTGCAGTGGGTATGGTGCGATTTAGTCCTTGGGTACTGTTCTAAGTTGCTTGAACATATACAAATCAAGTCTCCATGCAATTAATTGACACCTTTGCTGCCAGTCCGAGAATGTAACTTTAACTTAGAAATTATCCATTCAAAGCCATTTGACCTTAGAGGACCGTGGTTTTAATTTGTGAGCTGGAAGTAACTGTTCAGTTAAGATCAAACAAAAAAAGAACAATAAGCTATTGTGTCCTTCAAATGCTTAAACTTTGTAAAGTATGGAAATAACAATTACGCATTAACTATAGTCCAAGATTCTGTGTGGCAGCAGTAGATCTAGGCTTTGGGTGGTCCTTTTAATGTGACAAAGTACTCATAAATGTCATATTTGGAAACAGGGTAAGAATGGAGGGATGGAAACAAGGACTCCTTGTACCAAAACCACTTCAATAAACTGCAGAGGTATTGGTGTCTAGAGTGCCCCTTTATTAACATGTATATGGTGTAGTGTTAGTAACTTTTTATTTGATATTTAATTATTTTTTTTTATTTCATTCATGTTTGATACCAATATAGGCATACTATGTTTCTTAGCTTTCAGACCATAATGTGCAATAGGATATGATTTTTTTTTTTTTATACATTTCTATAGAAAAGACACACTACTCCAAAAATATAATTCTTCCCAATATTTAAAAAATGATTAGTCTAGTACCACTGTAGAGAAAAATCTTGCCATCCATGTCTCAAAGTCACAACTTATCTTGTCTCTCTTTACTTATCCCTTGCTCATGGAAATGTCCTTCATCCCCCCTCCCCCAACAGAGACTACTTAATAAAACATTTTGGTATATCATTATCACTGTTGGCATTTATATAGTGCCAACTTATTCTGCAGAGCTTTGCAATATTATAAAGGGGGTGGAATTTAGCAATAAATCAGATCATTACAAAATGTTACAGGAACAACAGGTTACGGAGGACCTTGTTCAAACAAGCTGACAATCTAGTCCTTTAATATTTTAAAGACAACCATGTTTATATTTTCATACAGGGCAAGAAGACTGGGCAAACTCAAGACACAAGGCTGCATCGGCAAGAGTCACAAAAGGAAGCTACAGAGACCAGCCATATGCAAGATACTGATTGTACAGTCTGACGTTGTGAATTATCCATTCTTCTCCAGCCCTGTATACTGTTCAAAGTAATTTTTTTCTATGAACACTCCCTTTATAAAAAAAAAGTTCTAATTCTGTGAATGGATGGACTCAACCTAAACTTTTTTTTTTTCTTTTTTGAAATACCAAATGAAAAGATACAAAACAAGCTGTAAAAAAAAAAATGTTATTTCTAGTCTGTATTTGAAAATAGGTGGGGATCAAAAGAATGAATTTAACTTTTGATTAACTAGTGTTAAACAAGTTAGGTTTACTAAATATGTTAATCTATTCTTTTAACATAAGCGTAACCTTTTTATTTTAAAGGTTTTGAACAAACTTTATTTTATTTTATTTTTTTAGTTATCAGCTTTACTTTAACAATTTGCTACCTTTTCTCTTGTAAAACTGCATAAAGGAGAAAACTACAAATGCAAATGTGGTATCTTTTTGTAACGAGTCTTGAACATGTACTGTAGTGTTGAGCAAATTTTACTGTTGCTTAATACTAAATAAACTTTTGAAGGAAAATCCACTGTGTGTGAAATAGTAATTTTATGCATTATTTTTTAAAAACCAAATATAAATAGTGGTAAATTACAAATTTACAATGATAAACAGGGTAAATTACTTATATTTCTAAAAGGTTTACAATAAACATTGTTCAGTCTGGTTTTAAAATTGGTATAAACATATAAAGATACTGGCTCACAGTAGATTAAATGCTGTATAAAGTATTCAAAGGGTTTGAATAACCTTAAAAAAAAATGCAAAAAAAAAATAATGCATTTAAAAATGGTTTTAAAATAGAGAATGAATTTTCTGGAAATAAATGTGACTAGTTTCATTCTGTTGAGCATTTTTTCACTAGTGCAACTTTGGAATTTAAAAGAATTTTGGTTCCTTAATGAGCACTTCGTACCGTGGTGGGAGCAATTAGCACAAAGCTTTTAAAGACTTTCTGACTTGACTAATTGAGATCGCTTTCATCAGTGGCAGAGGATGTGTAACCCTTAAAACGATCTTCATTTGCAAAGGTAAATAAATGAAATAAAATTTTAATATTCCTTAATTTCTCTTAATATAACCAATAAAAGCAGGTGGAATACAAATCTAGAAGTTTGTTTTTTTGAATTGAAAAGCCCCTAAATTACCATTTTAAACATTTATTTTTAATAGCATTAAAAACCTATAGTTTTCTATTTAAAACAATGTAAAATTTCATAACTAGCTTTTTGACAATGATGCTGTCTATAAATCTAAGTACTCAATAATTTAAAAAAAAATTACACTAACATTTTTATTTTTTAATCTCTATGCCATACTTTTTTCCTTTTTTTTTTTTTTTATTTATTTATTTTTTAATTGCTGCTCAGTTTTTGTTTCTTATATTTAAATTTTAATTTCAAATAATTTTCCTGTTTGTTTTTTCTTCTGCCAGGAAGCAGGTAACAAGAACTGGGAAGACGGATATTTACGATTTTAAAACTTGGGTAAGTGTAAATTTAATGTATACTGTGTGTGTGTGTATGTATGTTTGTATATGTGTGTGTGTGTGTGTGTGTATGTATACATATATATTAATATATATAGGGTAAATCTATAAAACTATACATCATGTAATTTTGTATCTAAAACTTTTAAAAACGTCAGTGCAGTACGTTAGTTGATGGAAGATCATTTGTGAAGAATAGGAAAAGAAACTAAAACATTCTAGGTCAAAATTGCCAAGCTAGAAGAATAGTTGAGTTGCACAATTTTCCAGTTTAATTAGGTTTGCCTACAATTTACATTTTTGCCAGTGTATAGTTTCTATTTTCTTTGTACAAGGAAATAGACTTTTTGAGGATGGAGAAGTAAAAATGTAAGGTAGGCAATGCCAATCTTTTTCTGTGATATATTTGAGATGTGATAAATGTGTGGCACTGAAATGGTTGCAAATGAAGTATTATCATTATGCCGGAAACTCTATTTAGTTCCTACTATTCTTCCACAAAAATGAAGATATTGAGGATACAGGACAAGACAGTAGTATTCTTATTTTACTGGAAATGTGTGATAGCCTTGAAGCCTGCTTCAACAGCCACACATATTGATGGGATTGGTGGAAGTAATGCCCGCTTAGACGACACACAGTGCTGCAATTGTAGGAACGATTTTCAACAGACATACATTACTGTGGTTGGAGAAGACCTTTTATTGAGACAAATCCACAAAGAAAATGTCTATACTGAATCGGCTTAGGTTTTGAGATGGAGTTCTGAAATTAAGCTTCTTATTTTAGTCTAGTGCAGGGGTAGACTATATCTTCCCTGATGCTTTACCAGCATTATGGCTGTAAGAGCAATAGTACTATCTGGATATATCTGAAGATGTACACAAAATCTGTAGTGCCGAAGATTGCCGCCCATAGTCTAGTAGCTTAGATTTTAGTTTTTACACTGGCTGCAAGGGCTCACTTCCTGTATGGGCATAAACATGTTTGAGATGTCACATATAATGAATACATTATTTTTGCTTCAACCAGCATATAAGTGAACCTAATCACTCATTGAAACTTTGATAAATTACATTCATTTTATTTTTTGATTTTCGGTAGTGTTAAGCAAAGGACAGAAAAAAACTATATACAGGTATGAAATATACCTTTCTATTACAAGTCAGATTCTCTACCTCTAGGGCAGTACTCCTCAACCCTCTCCTCAAGGCACAACTAACAGGCCAGGATTTAGGGATTACCCGAGTGTGTCTAAAGTGTTTAAAAAAAAAAAAAACAACAAAAAAACACTTTTGCTTGTTTTTTTTTTCTTTTTCTAAACAACCTAGACACCTGGGTAATCCCTAAATCCTGGACTGTTGGTTTGCCGTGTTTTTATTTATTTTATTTTTAACATCACTGTTCCTTTCATTAAGAGTACATGCCCATTTTACTATGTAACATATACAATAATTCAGTTGTGTCTGTTGGTTAGTTCCATGAATATATGTTTATCTAAAGGAAGACATTACTCTATAAAAACTATATCTAATTGAAGTTGTTATACTGCCTACAGTAGATCTCACATTGTGAGTGCCTCTAAAACATTTGTTTAAATATTAGAAGTTTGGCTTCAACCACACCTCAAAGCCCTCTGGATTGAGAGCTCTCATACCCAGACATAACGTGAATTCACACGTACCATGCCATTGTGGCTTGTCGTAGAGAATCATTGGTGGATTGTGGTGAGCACCGTGCATGCATCTTCTATCCGAATGCTCCTCTACAAGGAGCATTACATTGGACAATCATCCTGGAGACATGTGAGGAGGAATGGGGGAGACTTGGAGCTGGAGAAAAGGTACATTAAAAGAAAATAGTTGAATACTGAGGGTACTGAAAACAATGTACCCAGGAACATGAAGACTATAATATTGTGAATGCAGATTTCTGAACACTGTAGTCTACCTTTAAGATTAGTTCTCTCGTGTTACAGATTTTTTTCATATAGCCTAGCTTATGAGTATAAAAAATATACAACAAGGCACATGTTTCTATCTATTCTGAAAACCATGGACATTTCTACCATCTAGGAATGTTCACAGCTTGCTTGCAGAACATAAAATGATGCACCACTGCCTCTTCCCTGACTTACAGGGTTATCTGCAAAACTGTGAACTGTTTGGAATAAACTAGGGAAATGCAAATGTTAGGTCTAAAATATGCAAATTTAAAAAAATCTCCAACTTGACTATTCTTCCATGTCTTCCATGTTCCAAATTTTGAAAATCCCTTTTGTGTTGCTGATGGTGAAGAGCTCTGCCCCTGCAATCGCACATGTAGACAAGCAATACAGCCCTATATCTGTGTGCTTATCTGTGTTAGTGTGTGTACGAACACTTCTACAAGCACAATACACATAGAAACACACATACATTTGGAACAAGTGCACAAATCCATTCAGAAACATACAATAGCAGTGAGGGTACACTCTGTCTGCAGTGCTATTACAACCACTGCACTGTGTGTTGGGGGAAACCAGTCAATCCACGTTATTATTCGCTCTACTGCTTAAGTTCTCTCCTGTTTGTCTTATTTAAGAAAACATTTTTTATTTTTTTTAAAGCGCTCTCTAGAGGTGTGTGTGTGTGTGTGTGTGTGCCTGCCCTCGTAAATGGAATGTCTTTCTTTAGAGCGATGCATGTGTTTCACTGTCATTAAAAATATGCAGACCAGGAGACCTTCTCTTTCTCGTTATAACAAAAAACTAAGCCCCAGATCAGCCCATCTGAAACCTAAAGAGTTGTTTGCGAGTCTATCACTACTAGATTCCCAGATGTTGGTGTTCTATAGTTATTTGTTTGTCAGTGTACATTGTTTCAGCTGGTTTTAATGAGCGGAACGGAAAAAGCATAATTGCTGTATGTGGTAGAAATGTCTTTGCCACGTGTTCCTGGAGAGGCCAGCTGGCTAGCCTCCTGCCCAAAGACTATGGGCCATGCAAAAACCCTGTTAAAAGACTTTGTTTGTGCCATTTCCCTATATTGTTTGGGAACCGAACAACCGCACGAACCAGAGGCCACCCATATGCTTGTTAAGCACAATTGACACCTTTTAGCGAGGTTACACTGCAGTGTTCGAATTGTTCATCTGGTTGGCCGCAATTCGTATGAATGACCACAAGCTGGCGGCCATCTTGTTAGCATGAACGCAGGCAGCGGTGTTTGATCTCGAGTTCATGGAACTGAAATCGGACACTGAAACTCCCAAACACCGCTGGACTGTTCAGTGGAATTCTTCCCACGAACAAGGTGAACAAGCTACACATGTTAGCTATGGATTCCATTCAGTATTTTATGCACTCTTATACTCCCAAACGAGACCGACCGTTCACTGATTTCATGGAACTGTTTTGGGCATAAGACCATATGTGTGGTCGGTCAATCAATTGACTTCGAGGGAAAAACTGAACCACTGAACCAATCTGGGTGATATTTGGATATGTTGGTCATCATAGGATGTAACTTTTTGGGGGGTTTCTATAGATTTGGGGGTACTTTGGGATGTTTATAAATTGTATGTTTTTTGTACCTGAGAGAATTTATTTTTTTGCTTCTCAGGCACAAAGGATCATGGGAGGGATTTTGCATTAAAGGCAGTGTGTGGCCTCCAATAAACCAGATGACTCCCAGCATTAAGCCTTGGCTCATGTGTGGGGCAACAGCTATACTGCTATATCACTTGCTCTGTTACAGCTATACTCTCTTGGAGGAGCGGTCTTACCACTGGGAGCTGGATCCAGGTGTTTGGTCCAGGGTGGGAAAAGACTGGGAGACCCCAGCCAAGCTGCGGTGTCTAAGGGGCTACAGTAATTATGGTATCCGGTGTGGTGCTTATGGTACTCGGTGAGCACTAGGAAGTGTGATTGGCAGAGGTGTACCTAGTCGGGGTGCCAGGCAGTCCGCAACACTGTACAATTGCTCATACAGTGTATGTATGTATATATGTATCCCATCTATCAAAGGGAATAATAATTTTGATAACTCAACCCAAATATTCTAATCTGCACGTGCATCTTTACTACCAACATCAAAACATCAACCCTATTGAATAAAGCATTTTCTCAAAAAAATGAATTTCTCAATTTACTATATGAAATTAAACTATTTCTTGACAAACCCGAACTCCCAAAGCTGCAATATCAGAGACTCAAAGAAAAATCTTAAATTTAAAAAGTGCTTCCTCAAATAGAAAATACATTATCTATAAAAGTAAAACTACTTTTTTATATTTTTTTATTTCATGTCTTCTAGTCGGATTTTGTTTTTATAATGGTTTAAAAATGCACCGCCGGGGTTCAGAATCCTACATATGTTTATTTGTGTGCTTTAGTGATTCATAAAGGCTTTCAGACAGACTGTTCTTTTCAGCTAGTTCCTAGCAAATAAATAATTCCAGTGGGAAAACTATTAGATGAACAGGAACAGAAAATAACCTTTGTAAAAAAACAAAATGAAAATGTTGGTCAGAAATAAATGAATCAGATGTACAATCAATAGTCTTCTGCAATCTGCTTCAAACAAATTGCGATATTTGGGTGATTTTTTGTCATCCAAATTCTTTAACTCCAAATCAGCCTATGATCAAATCCCGAAATGATGAATGAACAAGCAGTTTCATTGGTTTTGTGATTCAGTTCTACGCTCTAGACCTTATTTTTTATTTATTTATTTTTTAATACCATTCTCAATATAGTAACACTTCGTAGTGCAGGTATTTTGTGAATGTCCTACTTGAATGAACAAACAAAGTGCCTTTTATTGGAATTTTCTTTATTGTCTTATTTTTTTTTATTACTTTTAAATAATTTCGTACATACAATAAATTAAAATGACATAACAAATGTACAAAAACATAGACACAAAGACAATAACAAACATACAAATTTGTGTTTGAATAGCATCACAATGTATTTTACAATTCAAAAGCCCTTAAAGAGATAGAAAACCTTAATTTAATTATAACTTATGTCTACCAAGACTGCATATTGATATTGTTTACTTAACAAATGGATGGAGGAGACCGGAAGATCTTTTTCCATCCGAAGTTGGAATAACAATTGGTCGGTAAGATTCCTCTTCTCAAAGGGATGGTATGACTTCCATTTCCTCGCTATTACATTCTTGGTTGACAAATAAAAATGAATTATAATACATTTGGATGTAGAAGATAAGTTCCAATTTAGGTGTAGTAAGGCAGTATCAGGGCCCGGATGAATTGAGATGTGGAATAAAGATTTAAGCAGTTCGAAAGACCACCTCTTGAGAGGTTTAACTAATTTTCAATACCACCATATATGGACAAGAGATCCATCAAGACAACCACTACGCCAACAATGAGGGTTCTAGTCCAGATACATCTTGTTTAGCCTATATGGGGTTAGGTACCATTTATACATGATTTTAGATTGACACTCTATTAAGTTCAAACTATGAACATTTTTACGGATGTCTCTGAGGGTGGCGCACCATTCAACATCGGTGATATCTATATTTAGTTCCGTTTTCCATTTATCTATAATATTTAAGTATTGTTGGTCAGATAAAAGTATCAAATTGGAAGCTTTAGAAAGGATTTTTTTTTTAACTTAATTAAATATCTCCTGAATAAAAGAGCTCATTTTTGAAGTGGGTTTCAATAATGCTGTATTCTGGAAATTTTTACTCCTTAAATAAGAAAAGTTATTTGTTAGGGAGATGTAATTTAGTTTTAATATCGGCAAAAGGTAGTATGTGATCGTCATGGAGGATATCTTTAATGGTGCAATGGAATTTAGACCAATGTTGTAAAGAGATATCTTGCATATTGTCTTCCAGTCTGGCCAAGTTGGCCGTCTTAATGATTTTATTAGATATTTTTAATCGACTTTTTATTATATCCCATGCCCTGATAATTTGTGAGAAGATTAGTGATTGTTGACTTAATTCATCTGTCACCTTTTTGTTACTATTAAACCATAAATATATTTCCAATCTGTCAAAGCCAACAGCCTCCGATTCTATTCTATGCCATATCTCGTTTTTAGATGATTCGATCTGGAGTTTATAACCATGCCCAATAATATTCGCAGAATAGCAATTTCTAATATCTGGGAAGTTCAAGCCCCCTTGTTGGTATTTCCTAGATAAAACATTAGCGCTAATTCTAGGTTTTTTAGATTTCCATATAAAGGACTGGAAGCTAGATTGTATCATTACTAGCCAACTATCCGAGATCTGAAGAGGAATCATCCTGAATAGATATGACCACTTAGGGAGAATGTAAGCATTAATTATATTAATCCTGCCAGACCTGGAGGATTCTAGTGAACGCCATTCTTTTAGCTTTATATTTGTGTATTTTATAAGGTTGAGGACATTTATTTCCATTGTGTTTTTAACTGAAATACCCAAGTAGTTAAGCGCAGTCTTAGACCATACAAAATCATGATTATTAGTAAGTCGGCTAAGTTATAATCGTCAACCTTAACTTACAGCATTTGGTTATATTTAATTTATAATTAGATACTTTCGAATAGTGAGTAATCACTATTAAAGCTTGAGTTAACGACATTTCTGGAGAAGTCAGCGTAGAGAGATATTTTTGATTCAGATTTATTGGTTAACAATCCCTTAATCTTATGGTTTGCTCTAATATTGATGGCTAAAGGTTCGAGAGTTAAAATATAAAGAAGAGGGGATAAAGGGCATCCCTGCCGTGTAACATTTTGTAAATTAAACCAAGTTGATAAAATGTTTACTCCACTAGTTCTTGCTGTCGGCTTGGAATAAAGAGCCATAATGGCATTGTGAATCCAACCTCTAAAACCAAACGCAATCAATACAGCATCTAAGAAACCCCAGCTGACCCTGTCAAAGGCTTTTTTGGCATCTAACGACAGGGCCAGCAAGGGGATACGCGGTGCTCTGCACTGTCAAATATATCCAATATTCTTCTGGTACAAGACTCTGATGATCTACCCGTACAAAGCCAACCTGGTCCGGATGGACAACTGTCTCCACAAATGGTTTTAATCTGTTTGCTAAGATTGATGCATATATTTTCATATCAGTGTTAATCAATGATATCGGTCTGTAGTTTTTAACATCAGTTGGGTCTTTATTAGGTTTCAGTATTGGGAGAATACTAGCTTGCAACAGCACTTTCGGCGTTTTTGCTTTTTTAGCCATCTCGTTAAAAAGAGCAGTTAAAGGTACCATTATTTCTTTTTTCATGATTTTTTTTTTTTTTTTTTTAAAGTTGCTAAATCCATCCGGACCAGGGGTCTTATTTAATTCCAATCTATCAATCTCTCTCTCCACCTTGTCTAGCTTAAACTCATAGTTAAGTTGGGCTAAATCAGGACCAGTGATTCTTGGTATTTCTGTATCTATTAAATACTTATTAACTTATTTGTTGTCTGAGGATGTCTCAAGATTGTACAAGTTGTTATAAAATGTATTGAAAATTTGACCGATATCTTCTGGAGAGGAGTATGTAATTTGGTTGTCGATCAATTTATCAACCCTGTTAAGAGTATTTTGTTTCTTTATTCTCTTCATTAAATTCTTATTAACTCTATTCCCTTGATGATAGGTATTTACTCTAAGTTTATTAATTATTTTTTTATCTTTTCTTCTGTTTTCATATTGATCTGTTAATGGAGTTCAAATAACTTTAACTTAAGTTGATCTGTCGGTTTATCTTTATTTAATTTAGTCACGTTAAAATAATGTATATTTAATTCAATCAAATCTTTATCTATTGTATTTTTTGTTTGTTTTTCTATCTTAATGAGATAACCTCTTATAACTGCTTTATACGTCGCCCACAAGGTGGAATCTTGGATATCCGGACTGGTATTTTCAAGCCAGAAAAATCTTGACAACTCAATTATGTGGTCCTGATTTGCTTCAAGTTTAAACAGAGAATAATTTATTCTCCAGGTATTAAAAGGTCTGAAGTAGGGTATTTGGAGTATTATAAAACTGTGATCAGACCAAGTATTGTCCTTAATTTGAATTGTCAATTTCTCTGTGTGTTAGCATTAACTAAACATAGATCTATTTGTGAATACGAATTATGGACTTTAGACAAGTGAGTGTAGTCGCGTAAATCTGGATGAAACACATGCCAGGCATCATATAAATCATACATGGCGCAAATATTAAATAGTTTCTTAGCTTGTTTAAAAATGTGATTATTCGGTTTCCACCAGAGATGGATATTTTTATCGATCTTAGGGTCAAAAACACGGTTAAAATCTCCTTCTATTAATAAGGTACCTATAGATATGTTTTCTAGTCTATGCATTATTTTAGAAAACCGAGAAGTTGGATTTATATTTGGCAAGTAGACATTAACCAAAGTGTATAGCTTGGTTTCGATTGTACATATAATTATGAGAAATCTACCTGAAGGGTCACTGTCTATAAGTTTTATATCATGTTTTATATTTGTATCAAAAATAATTGCTACACCTCGTTTTTTATTATCATTGAGAGATGCATGATATAGGTTTATATTTTTCTCCGCCCCATTTTTGTGGTTCAGATCTTAACCAATTGGTTTCTTGAGCAAAAGCTATTTGTATTCCGTTGGTTGCTAAAGTATTATAAAACATTAGTTTTTTCCGTCTTGTATTCGGGCCTTGTACATTTATAGAAATAAATCTCAACATCTGTCTTACAGGGACCATATATAGTAACATTATTATATCTCTTAATTAAGGGAGCTCGATTAGAACATTTTATAGTGATTTTTGCTAAGTTAGACAAATTACAGCCACACATGATAAGAAAGAGACAAAACAAAAGATGGAATACCAAGTTTCCATCAACATTAAATGAAATTTGACCCCAAGGAAAAAAAAAAATGTAATATTTATATAATTACTTATACAATTTACAGTGAATTTGAACTTGTGTCTTAACATCTCGTCTTAAATTTGGTGAATTTTAGTGACAGAAGGATTAATACCATTTAAATAGAATGTTGACTTTGTGAGCTGGTTATGGTTGACTATAGACAAACAAAATATATACGAAGAAAAAAAAAACAACCTTGTTCCCTCTTTCATGATTACATACAATTACTTCCCCATCACCTTCCACAAGTTATGCTATGCCAGAGTATGTCAAACTGAAAGGAATGGAGACTAATTTAACAATTTGTTTTGTCGCCAAGCCATAAGCTTGTCTGGGTGATCAAAATTCTCTGTTTTACCATCTATTTGAATCACCATCTTCGTCGGAAAGCCCCACCTAAATCTAATATGTCTTTTTAGAATAGAAATTTCCAACATAAACAGTCTTTTGTTTCTGGTGTTATACGATAGGTCAGGAAGAGCGATGATATTTGAATATGGATCCTCTTTGATGTTTTTTCCTCTGTTCGCTTTTAGGACTTTCTCTTTAAATTCGTTTGACTGGAAGCACACAATTATGTCTCTGGGGCTTTCGCAGGCTATTCCTGCAGGTTTATTTATCCTGTGACATCTGTCGATTTTCTCACTATATCCATCTAGGTTTAGGCCTAGTGCTTTAAAGTAGTCGCACAAAATATTTTGCAGATTTTCATGCTTGTTTGTGCCACTGAAATTTTGAAATCTGAGATTATTCCTACAGGACCTATCTTCAAGGTCTTCAACTTTATTTTCAAGATTTTGGATTTTGACAGACATACTGTTTACTTCTTCATTCAGAGATATGACTCAGAAATCCATTTTTTCTTAAGCACTCTTCCATTACCTGGAATTTTTCTGATAATTTAGATATTTCGTGTCTCATTTCTGTAGAGTTAGTCATAATTTCATTCTTTATCTATTCTAGTATGGATTGTAAGCTTGCATTGAGGACTTTAACAGTGACTTCCTCATTATCCTTAATCTCCATTGTGGATTGGTCAGAGCTTGATAAAGATAGTCTGGATGTATTTTCTTTACCATCTTTAGAATTGGGAGAGTACAAAGTGGTAATGGTCTTATCTTGTTTTACCTCTCTTTTATCCCGTTTCGTCAGAGTTTTAGACTCCAGGTGTGTTTTTCTGGAGGCCATTTTACTTCAAGGGGAAAGTGAGAGAACTGTAGTTTAGGGGTTAAGATGCTTTTCAAAACAAGATTAGGCAGGGACCGCTCTTTGCTCCTTTCTTTTCTCTATTTTTTTCCCCTTTTTTTCTCTTTCCATTTTTCCCTTTTATTTTTTCTTTTCTTTCCTTTTCCTCTTTTCCCTTTTTTTCTTTTCCTCCCTTTTTTCTTTCCTTTTTCTCTTATTTCCTTCCCCTTTTTTTTTGTTTCTGTATAATGAAGGGAAGGCTGTATAATAAAGGAGGGGATTTCCTTCCCTTTCTTCTTCCTCCTTTTTCTTACTTTCTTTCCCCCTTTTTTTCTTCTCTTTTCCTTCCCCTTTTCAACTTCTTGCTCTCTCCTTTACCTTCCTCATTTCTTTCTTCTTCCCTTATTCTTTCTCTCTCCCCTTTTCGTCTCTTTATTTCCTTTATCTCTGAATCTTTATCCTTTGTTCCTTTTCCTTTTCTTTTCACCTTAGTTTTTTAACTTAATTTTCTTCACTATCTCCCAACTCCTGAATGGATGTAGTGCTTTATATAGCAACCAAGCCCTCAATGAGTAAAACATATAATGTAAAGTAGAAAAAAAAAATCTGATCTGTTTAACAGTGCAGCGGTCTTTGGCGTCCTTGTGTGATTCCCTTGCAAGCGAGCACACACGTCCTTATTGAGTGCCACAGTTTACGATAAAGTGAGGTACAGTCTGGAACGTGGCAGGATTGTGGAGGTAAATGTTAGGAGAGCTGCGTCTATTAATACCGGACGCGTCTGTTTCACAACACTGTGCGCTTGTTCTCAAAGGCTACCAGAAGATCAAATGCTGTTACCAGGTAGGACTGCTCATCGGGAAAAAAGACACTGTACTCCTACTGGGATTTCAGCGTTGGCTTTGGGGTTCAGAAAGGCTTGTGCGACAGGTTATACAGCATAGCCAGTCGTGTGTGTCGAGTACTCAAGACGCCAAGACGCTTCTCCTCCTCATGATGCGCGCGGCGTCTCACGTCATCACGTCCCCGGAAGATTTTATTGCAATTTTCTATAACACTCTAAAGCATTACGGGGACTTTTTGGTACATACTCTAGTACCTACTCTAGACTTTTTGGTACATACTCTAGTTCCAGCTTGGGCCTATGTTTCACCTTGCTCTTACCAAATTTATTACCATTTACCCATGTTCAGGGCAAAAACTACTATTTAACTTGGGACTATATGTTACTCCTCACGTACCCCAACATTTCCTAGTGCTCAGGGTGAAAGAGCTTAACTGAGAAACCCCAAGCATGTAACGGTTTTGTATTTTATGATTTTAAAATATTTACCCCCTTTTTTTTTTATTTTCTTCATCATTTTGTTTGTAGTAAAAGTAATAATTCTGCAGTTGTATTCAATATATGTTTTTTAATGTCCTGTTGATGACTTTCATACAATTGCAGGAAAAAGGACAGTGTCTTAAATTTCCCAAGAGAGGCTGCTGGTTACATTAACTCATATTAAACTAAAGCGATTTCTATTCTGTTTTCCATTAGCACTGCAGTTATTCTAGGAAATATATAATGGCCATTACTTAAAAGCATAACAGGCAGGAATTCTCACTGGTTTACTGAAAAGTGGCAACATATATATATATATATATATATATATATATATATATATATATATATATATATATATATATATATATATATATATATATTAATATATATATATATATATTCCATTGATGATTACTAGAGAATATGAGATTTTCTATCATTCTTTAAATCTTTTTTTTTCTTTTTCTTTTCCTCTCTCATCCAAAGGGAGTCCATTTTCCACTTCAGTCTCACCTTCTAGTTTTAATAATCTACCACCCTCTCTCTTTTTGTCATTGCCTTTGACCTTGTGTTTTTACACAACATCTCTTCTAGCTTGTACGTTCATTTTAGCAAGGTCATCATTAGCCTATTGTTCCTGTCAACACTTGTAACTGTTTTCTATTAAATCCCCTGTTAAAAACTGTAAAACACGATATAAATGCCAAGAATATGTGATTCTGTGCCGTTTGATACCTCTGGTGATATACAAAATGCAGGTCTGCTTCAGAGCAGTTGGCCACTCCGCTTTCTTATCTCGTTTTGTCAAAAATTGTCGTGTGCTCTTATTTATTCCTTTTTTTTGTTATAAATTAAAACTACTAAGAAAAAAGTCAATTTTTTTTTTCCTGCAGAAAGGTTTGCAGCTCTGCTGTGATATCACCATATATGCAAGGGATGTAACTGTAAAGTCACCCGTAACCTTTTTACATAAGCACTTGTGCGATCGCTTCACCGTTCACCTCACTGGACATGCACACGTATCTCTAAAGCTGAAAAACTACAGGGATCAGTACTGTCTCTTTTGGCAGCAGAAACTCTAAGAAATTCTATGTCTAAGCTAGAATGAGAACTGGCGGTCAGAGAAGACTGCTGCTCCGCTGTAGATTCACATGCTATACAAAACAGACATGTTTACAAGACAGCTGACATTAGTTTGTTTTCGCATGCATTCAGTACATTGTGTCAATTCCACCTTTCCATTTATTACATTTTGTTAGTGGTGGTCTTCATAGAGACAAGTGCCTAGTTTTGTCATACAAGGAACAATTAGATTTTTTTTTTTTTTTTTTTTTTATCATTGAAGTTATGTTGTATAGTTTATTTTGAGGACTCCTTGAATGCTTTGCGTTCTATAAACCATGGTTCACTGTGTATATGTATAACATGTAGTGTGTGTGTGTGTGTGTATGGAGAAAATTTTTAATCCATTTAGAATATCTCCACATACAGTTAATTTAATGAAGTGAAATCCTTAAAGATGATGGATAGCTCTTATGACGCTATCTTTAATGGTATCCCCATTATTGTACCCCCCGTATAGCCTTTGGTTTATATCTTATAAAGATTAAAATAAGAATGCATATTTTCTTCAAAGTTTGAAGATTATAGAAATATTTCTAGATGTCTGTTTTGTTAATTGAACCTTCTTTGCTGTGATGCTGTTTAATGAGACTACTCGCAAACACACTTTGCTGAACAAGGGCTGATTTCTGGTATTCTTTTGATGTTTCATAAAAGTAACTTTTTTGCTAGATATCGTTAATAAGTTTCATGAAAACCATGCATATATTTGTGCAGAGACAAAATAAATGACCCATGTACGTGCTGTGCTTTTTAACATGTTGTCTTGGTATCTATTTATTGTGTTTTGTTTTAGTCCAAATTGGGACTTCACAATTCAAACTTTGACATTGGGTTTGGCAAAATGCTTTCTCCTGACAATATAATAAAATCACAAACTGCGGTTGAAAAATGATTAAGAGACATTGATTTGATTTAATCTGATTAACCAGTGGTTTTCGAATTTATTTGTGAAAATAACCAATTTGAGTGGTGAGTTTTTCCTATACTAAGATAGTTCTCATGCTTTTATATATTTTATTTTAAGAGGTTTCCCTTTTAATGTTGTATGATGTAGTTGGCACTGGGTTGAGAAGAATAGTTATCAGTACTACAAATTAAGAGACACTTTCTAGGCTGTGTTGGTTATAATTATAAATATAAATTTTGTGCAAATTTAGCATCTGATGCCAGCACGAAGAGCATACAGACATCAAATGACCGCATGCCTACCCCCTTGCCACCCATGTCCTCACCTACTGTCTCCCCTACCTCTCTGGTTAGTGAAAGTGATGTCTGCTTTGGAGGATGAATCTGCAGGGGGAACTTGTATTTTTTTTTTTTTGAGGTTAGGAAGAGTTACTTTTACCAAAAAATAGTGTTTTCTTAAAATACTTTTTTTTTTTTTTTTTTGGATTGCCTATTTAAAGGGGCACCCTACTGCCCAAATACAAAATAAATTTTAAAAAAAAAAAACACAGTTTAATAAATGCAAACATAAAAAAAAAAAAAAAAAATCATACTGAAGGGGAAAACTGCTGGTCACATGATATCAAATTAATCTATGACATGAGGGCCCATTTATGTTTGTAACATTTCAATATTTATTGTAATATATTGCAAGGTGGAGCTATAACTCTAATGGTCCCGGGATCTCTGCAGCTTGTTATTACATCAGATGGAGAGCAATAGACTGGCTTTTGTGTTGTGAGTACATGAAGATTGATTATATAGGAAGCACTAGAGGCCAGAACATTAGAGAGCAGATTTGGAAAGGAAGCCATCATGCAGATCAATTGATCAAAGTGATGTCTCTTTAGACACTTATTAGTATTGCGGAATTTAGACTTATCTACATTCTCAAGAATAGCTTTGCAACTTGTCTTGGTTTTGCAGATATTCTGAAAGCAAATGTGTTTTCTGCACCACTTATACGATCACTTATTTATTCTCGGATTATGTAGCCTACAAGACAGTGGTGAAAGTACTTTGAAGCAGTTTCTCTTGTGAAAGGCATGTTAAATCCTTCAGAGATGAAAGATTGCAAGCTGCGTCAAATGGCGTTCCTTCTCTGCATGTGTTAAGTCACAGTTAAAGCCCTAATTCCATATTTACATTCCAGTTTAATAACTTATCTTGCTATACTGTGCCAGAATTTGCAAGGTGATGCTTTTTTTTGTTTTGTTTTGTTTTAATTGTGGCATCAAACCTCATTCACTTTTTATCCATTAATTGCTGTATACCAGTTCTAATTTTCAATGTTAGGAGAAACTCAAACCTTTCACGTCGATAATATATAAAAAAAAAAATATTTACAAATCTTCTGCAAGGTAAAACTGTTATAGAATGACTGACTGAGCCATAACCAAAAATCAATCTGCATTTTAAAATATTGCAATTAAAATCTGATTATTTTGATGTATCTTCTGGACTTGCCAAAAACACGTCTTTATGTGTAATGTCGGTGTTAACTGTCATAAACCCAGTTGGGTAACAATACTATTTCTCTACCGTAAACTGATAATAATAAATAATTATTCTATTTTGGAGTTTTTTTTTTGCTCTCTTCTCTCATCAAGTTACCTGGTCTACCTTCCAATCGTCTGTGGGCTTTTTTTTTTTTTTCTTCTTCATTTAGTCATTATCCTCTCTGCCTCCAGAATTTTACCCTAAAATAGCTTTATTTAAATTATGTACCTTAAGCTTTTCACCCTCTCTCCATTGCAGCATTCTTAGAACTCTCCCTATTTGGTGACATGCTTTTTCACTTAAAAGAATATAAAGGTATCACATTCTTGTTGCCAGTTGAGTGATCACTATTTCTGTGCAAAGACTGCAAACCTCTTCAAACCATTGTTCCTTCAAGTTGTCAAGGAGTTTTAATATGGTAAACCATTGGATGGATGGAGTGATCTCTTGCCCTGTGAAGAAGAAAAAAATCAGTGGAGGTTTTGTGAAACTAAAATTCTTATGGGCAATGTTATGTCCTGTGCCTTGTTCTGACTGTATACTTATCATGTGTCTTGCCATGTAAAAGGGACACTTCAAGTTGTTATGGAGGTTGTACCACTGGGCACCTGTGCACACTGCCTCTTGTCTCATCCTCTTGCTATTTTAATGATCACGTTTATACAGTGGGTGGCCAGTGAAAGGCTGAATGTGTCAGCATACCTAATATTTGCTTTTTTCACAAGCAAAACCCTAATAATCAGTCTGGCTGTTTGGGTTGGACATAGAAGACTTGTGGTTAAACGGTTTAATTCCAGAAGGTAAGAAGACTATGTATCTTGGATATCTCTGTGGAAATCAGAGAAAAATTGTTGCAGTGTCGCTAGCAGCTAAGTGGACATGGATTGTAACAGGCTTTGGGTAAGTGGAGTATCAGGCGAAGAAGGCCATTGGGCCAGATCTGAATAATCTTTGCCCTGTTTTCTGTTTTTGTGCCAAAGAAGTTAATCTTGTCAGACTTCTCAGCCTGCCTTCAAGAGATCAAACTCAACACAGAGCTAGCAGCACATGAGACTGCTCTCAATCAAATCTAGGACATGCCCCCCACTTTTAAGCTCAATGACTAAATACTATGTATGTTAAACATATATAAAAGGCTCTCTGGCCTTTCTCCAGTCCACAAAGTCACCTCAATGAAGTCATTAAGAGGGCTGGAGTCCCTTTCGACTCCGTACCTCTGCACTGGAAAATAAAATGTTGGAACACACAGAGGCCCACAACGACCTTACTTCTAATGTTGAGGACCTCATGACTTATTTTGGCCAAATAGGCTGATATGTAGTACTGGACATGCCGCAGTAATCTCTGAATAAGAGGAGTGCTGGAGACTGAATCCGCAAGATCAAAGAGCCTATGTAAATGGTCTGTTTCCCATACTTGCCCCTGATCTTACCCAAGACCTAATGGATCGCATACACTGGTTTGTGAAACTATTATACCTACTGAAGAAACTACCATGGGGCGTTATTATAAAAATGTATGATTACCACACTAAGGAAGTATTATCCGTTCCAGACGGTTGAAGGGCTTGCCGATGACTTACCACAAGCTACTGATTTTTGCAGACCTCTCAGCGGCCACTGTAAGGAAGAGGAAATCCTTCACCACCATCAGAGTTGCTGCAGGAAAACAGATTGGCATATAAATGGGGCTACCTGATCAAATTGTTCATTCATTGAAATGGAACTGTTGATATTCTTAATTCTTCTGAAGAAGACATTCAAATACTCTGAACCTGGGGAATCGCACAACCTGAAGGCTCAACACACTCCCCACTGTACCCACCAGAATGGAAGATGGCTCACCAATGAGACTCCTGTGATACCAGCCTGTCTTCTTGCCACCTTACAAATTCCTCCTGGCACAAGTACCTTTACTGCTTGGTATTCATTTTTTTTTTTTTCCATTATTGCATGTTACGTTTGTTTCCCCGCTGTCACTGGGAATTGGAAGTTATGTCTTACTGGATATATGTAACTTTCAAACTACTTACCCTTCATGTTGTGAGTGTGTGACTGCTGGTGATATGTACTATACAAATGAGACCCCATTACTGATTGATACCATCACCACAGCCCCAAAGATTACACTTTTATTACTGTTTGTTGATCTATCAAACACACTAATTATGTGGCTACCCCAAAAAAAAAAAATGTAGTTGATGTGCATAGTTATCCCTATCTTACATTCACTGGGGGGTTTTCTAGTACTTGAATGCTAAAATTATGCTACAACTAACAAACTTGCCTCTACCCAAAAAAAGTTATAAATATATATTACCACTACAACACTACAATGAAATATATATATATATATATATATATATATATATATATATATATATATATATATATATATATATATATATATATATATATATATATATATATATAGATAGATAGATAGATAGATAGATAGATAGATAGATAGAGAGATCGATCCTCCAAACTTTAATAGTGAGGACAGATGATGTTGCACTATTACCTGGTAGATGTTGTTATTATTATTATGATATTTATATAGCACCATCAAATTCCACAGCGTTTTACAATGGGTGGACAAACAGACATGTAATTGTAACCAGACAAGTTGGACACACAGGAACAGAGGGGTTGAGGGCCCTGCTCAATGAGCTTACATGCTAGAGGGAGTGGGGTAAAATGACACAAAAAGGTAAGGATAGAATTAGAGTAGTGACAGTAGATGTGACTTTTTACCTATAGATACAGCGTACACCCTAGTGCAATATATTATCTTTACCATAGCTATAATTAGTGCTATAATTAGTTGACCAAGCAGAAAACCCATAATTTCCACTCTAAATTTCTATTATGCGCAAAATGAAAAAGGAGGAGGAATGTACTCCATTCAATCTTTATAAGACAATCTAATGTCCCAACATGAATGCACAGCCTATTTTGAGGACTGATGAAGCAGAAGTGCATCCAGGTTTGAAACTATTAGTTTCTACCCCCACGGCACTGCATTTGGTGCCTAGCCATTATCAAAGCCTTTTACCTTTTATGTTACGGTTTTCTCTCTTTTAGTCATTTCTGCTCATTTGCTTACACGCTACCTTTACTGTTTTTCACATTCCTGGGCCGGAGGGATGATGGCAATTATTAGAGGAGTGAGTTTACGTAGAAGTACAACTAGCCATAAAATCCCTCCCAACTGGTAAGTCGACAGATCCTGATGGTTTTGCCAATTCATATAAGAAGAAATTTTAAGATGCCCTAGCTCTTCAACAAACACAGCTCTTGAATGAAGCCAACACTGCCACCTCTTGGCACATGTTAAATGTTCCGGAAACCAAGTGAACTTCCTACTAGCCACCAACATTTTGACCCATATACCTTGTAAATTCTGACACAAAACTCTTTGCAAAGATATTTGCTCTGAGGTTGGGCCCCATCCTGCCACACATTATCCATGATAACCATGTGACATTTATAATGGCAAGACAGAGATCAGAAAAAAAGGGAAAGTACTGAGCATCTGAAACCATCTTAAACACCTTAACCAAAGCAGGCTTTTTCTCTGTATTACAGATTCTCTGAAGTCCTCCTTCTCTGACTGGAGAAACAATTACATCACACTTTGAGGCATACGAGTCACCAAAACAAACATAAATTATTCAAACAGAACTGTGAAAGACTAATCCAGGAATTTGAGCAGACCTTTCACATAGTAGACGAAGAATATTTGTCCTGGTACAGCAGACTAGCTGCTTTTAAAATGTCCCTATTACCCAAATTCCTCTATTTGCTGTACATTTTTTTTTTTTTTATAAACCTACAAGAGTCTATCACTGAGTTTATATGGGTGGGGAAGAGTTGGGGTGGCTACCATAATTCTCCAAAAAGCAACCCACCATGATGGCCTAAACCTGCCCAACAAGAAATTGTATTATAAAGCAGCCCTGCTATGCTTGTTTGTAGCCATTCATACCACTGAAGCGACCCCTCAATGGGTGGCCGTAGAATCTTTGATTATGCTAAGCCAGACTGTGTTACTTATTTTGAATCCCTAAACACTTTCAACCACAAACTCCAGCAATGCTCAACACTATTACATTAATACAACTTAATGGGACTCAAGCTGCAAACTTTTTATGTAAGGGTGAACTGCACTCTCTAGCCTCGCTGATATGGCAGATTGTTTTGACAATTAGGAAACCTACTTCAGCTAACACTCAATACTATGCCATATGACAAAAGCAGACAACTCATCAAACAAACCTCCACTCTGCCCCACTCAACTTGGGTATCTCCCATCTCACCTAGTATGTTTTCCAATCAGTTGTGTCTTGGAAAGTTACAGGGTTAAATATAGTGCTAGCAAATTCAATTCTCTGGACTTTTGGCCTGGGTTGTCAGACAGGTCCCCCAAATTGCAATCAATAAAATCACTTAATTATGTAAAAATATTACATAAATATGCACTTAGAATATAAATATATACATATTTATATATTTGAAATCTACATGTAGATTTATGAAATTATGTATGTAATTATGTATTTGGACATGTATATAAATCAAAATACAGTTAGAATAAAATTACATTTATAATTTCTTTAAAAAAAAAAAAAATAATTTTACATTGTATTTATTTTTAATTGTTTATTTTTAGAATATTTATATTTTTGTTTGGAAATGCCTAAATCAGACTATTGGTTTGCCTGAGAACTGAGTTGGGAACCACTGGACTATAGTACGTCCATGAGTTGGCTGCTGTACAATCATCTCAGTGAAGGCCATTCCATTGTCAAACTTCTGATTGGTGCAAATCTTCTGTTTGTGTTTTTCTCCCTTAAAACATTGTAGTGTACAATTAAATTAAAATGCCCTTGGAAAGGGTCTTTAGAAATAACCTTTTACAGTTTACTAATTTTGAATATTGCTTCCGTTAAACAATACGTGTTTTTCCATTATTAAGTACTATCCTAATCTGATTATGTGTAAAACCCACTAACAGATGATGATGATGATAAAAACTCAAGGATAAGGGAGGGAAAAGCAGGAAATGTGTGTAGTAAAAAAAAGAAAACAAAACTGGTTCATTTATTTCAAACTTCCCTAGGAAGACAAACATTATTTTACTCTCTAAGCCTTTTCCCCTCTGCCACGGATCACACTCCTACCTCCTCCATTTCTCCTCTCCAAGTCCTATGGGCACACTCTGATATACTCCTATTCGCACACTCACAGATAAATACTTATAGAAACACTCAGACACACTCATATAGACAAACTCAAAAATACACACTTATAGGCTCACTCACAAATACACTCCTATGGACACACTCACAGATATACACAGATGCATAAAATTATACTCCGATACAGACTTACAATCATGCATGCACACTCAGTCACACATTTACACTCTGACACACAGCAGACATCCCAAGTCTCCCAGTAGTTCCGGGAGACTCCCTCATTTTGCATGTGGCTCCCTGATACCTGCAGAACATGTATAATATCCCGGAAATCACACACACAATCTGACCTACAACTTATATCTGATTGTTTGTTGGTTTTCCAGGATATTATACATGATTTGAGCCCCCTTTCCTTATTACTAAACAGGGACCGGTGGGGTGCCGGCACTTTTAAGAGCCGACCACAGAATCAGTGGATGGGGAGGAAGTGATGACCGCCTGTCATTTCCTCCCTTCTTCAGAGAGCCACACGGGATGACTGGAGGGAGGAGACAGCATGGAGTCAGCAGCTCCAGCAGTGACCCACCCTTCAGTAGCTCCTCAGTGCACAGTGTACATTATTCTACTGTTTCTTAGTACTACTAATTCCCATTCCTGGCAGCCCTACACCATCCCTCACTTCCTGTATTACCAAGAATTCTGCATGCTGTGGCTATTCCTACCTATAGGGAGCTGCAGCCTTTTGCCTTTATAGTGGGAATTTATTTTCCACTCCCTTGCAGTCCGATGATTGAGGCTTATGGGGTGGGGGCTTTGCAGACGGCAGCCAATGAACTGCTTCAGTGTGGTACAAACCCTCAGGGAGGTCCTGCAGCTTCGTGTTGGACTTCAGCAGAGTGCCATAGCACCAGCATGGCTTTCTAGAACCACAATATAGGGCTTCTAAGGGGCTGGCTTACAGTAGCTGCTGTTTTGTTCTGGCAGAAATATTTAAAAATCCAAGTCTCTAGGGCGCACCCCTGCTATTGCACTCGAAGGCAGTCACCTTCTGTATAGAAGTCTAGTATATTTAATCTATTAAAAAAAACATTTATACAGTCATTGATATGTCCTACTAGAATATCCAGTGGTGTAACTCTCACAAATGTAGTAAATAGATCCAATATAGAGTTGTGGGAAATAAAAGGCTTAAAATATGATTTGTAACTGTATTTGGTGTTTTTTTATGTTTGTTTACATGTCCACTTAAAGATATCTCTCATTTCAGGACTGCTCACACTACATACAATCTGCTTGGAGCTACACTGTGTTCACCAATGTGCCTAGGAGTCAGTCATTGCTCGGACATGTGAAGCATATATTTTTATTTTTGCAAATATCTGATTGCATTGTATATAGACATTAAACAGATGATCTCTACATTTTACTTAATAAAAAAAAATGTTTTCCATTGTTTCACTGTACTTTTTTTTAAGGGTTAATGTGATGCAGAACTATTTGATTTTCACTTACTTTGAACAAAAAAATCTTGTCACAATACAACTATTGTTGGGTTTTGTTGTAAATGTTATTTATCACTAGAACCAAGCCATTAATGTACACCTAATGTAGTCATGCAGAGCAACATGATTCCATAATCTGTCAATCTGAATTAAAATTAGGTGTAGATTGATTGATTGATACAAAATGGATCAAACTTCAATATCAAACAGCAAGAACAGGCACCGAGATCTCTTGCTTGACTTGTAAAATGCAGCAGATAAGATAGCAGCACTTTATATACATATCTTATAATATGACTAAAGCAATGCATTACAAAACCTCTTTAAATAGAATATTGTACTTATTGTTGCCTTAATAGTCATATTTACCATGTTCGATCTTTCATGATATTTTGATGCCTTTTACCTGCACCACTTATTATTCTTAAAGTTTATTTTATGATTAATTTAAACTCTTACAATCACTACACATACATCTTTGTTAAACCTTTTATCCAAGTGATCTAAAGAAATGTGTTTCTTTTCAAACATATGCCAAAAGACTAGTGGTTACAGAATAAATTATAAAATGTAATTGTTCAATACATATAATACAGACCAGAAAGGGGTAGACAGCCAGAAAAGGAGAGGGGATGCTTTAAGTTGTTTGTATTTGTGGGTCCTTATTCATAACTAGTTTGATATATTTTATGGACAATGAAAGATAAATGTTGTCAAAGATTACTGTCCAGTACACCATTTATTTAAATTAAACTTTAAACCGTTCTATTTTGGAGTAAATGTCAAAATGTGCCTCTCTCTCTCTCTCTCTCTCTCTCTCTCTCTCAATGGATCCTGTTGACTGCTTTATTAAACTTGCTTGATAATTAAATGTTTATTTTAATTTTTAATTAGAAAACAATTTACAAGGCATTCGTTGGTTTCTAGTGTTTTAATCTATAACAAAATACCCATTCTAATGTCCGTGGTTTGTATAGGTCTATAAGTCAGTTGTTTTAAAAGCTGAAAATTCTTTGCCATAGGTTGAGTACATTGCACATCAGTGACACAAAAGTGTTTTTAATCCTCCATTTGCATGGAAAACACAGCTGTTTTTTTCATGTTTCAATGAGCAAATGATTCCATCGGAGCATGTTTTAATACCCTTAACAACCTGCACAAAAGACATTTAGTATATCACGGACACTGCTTCCAGCTGGCCCTTGGGATCTTTTTGTTGCTTTTTATTCCCTGTAGTCTTCGTTATCCTAATCTGATTTCTGCCTTGTTGTTTGTGCATGATGATGCCTAATTCAATCATCCCAAAAGCTTTCTTTCTTTTTAATTATGACTTTTGCTCCATTAATTACCTGTGACACATTGAGTCTTTCACATTTTTCACATTGATAACTTATAAGGGTGATTTTAAAAGTTTAAAATTTTATACCCATAAAGTCAATGTGAATATATTCCCTGCAGTGAGGAATTCTTGGTGAAATCACATCTGCAAAACTGAGGTAATAGTATCAGTTGAAAGTATGACTGAGAATTGAAGATTGACAGCTGACCTCAGCAAATCAGACTTGTTGTTCCTGGCTTCAGAGATGAGACCATTTGCTTATTCTTTCCAATTAACTTGAATGAAGTATCTGCCTTTTGTGAACCAGAAGGGTGCCTCTAATTTCAGCTTTGGTAAATCAGGAAATACATTGATAGTGGTTCTAATTTGTGAAGGACTAATACATTCTGGGAACATGTATTATGCGTACAGGAGAGTCCATTTCATACAAAATGTGAAACGAAAAAAAGGAATATTGCAACCTGGACAAACGTTTTGAAACGTTAAGGTTATACTAGAATCATGCTTAATGTGTCATGTGAATTAATTAATAAATTACTTTAGACTGGATATATATAAAAAAAACAAAAAACTTGTCTTAAGATCTATAAAACAATCCATAAGACTGACATTTGAGAGAGATTAATGATTTACATTAACTTGTTTTCCAGAGATTCCATTCTCTCTTTACATCACATTTTCCTGCTATTATACAGAATTATTTGTGCCTTGAGTTCTTTATTTAAAACTTACTGCGTACCTGCACTGATGACATTATAAGGTGTTTAAAGCAATAAACCACGATTTCATCTGCACATGCTTTATGTAGGGTTGTACATATATAGAGCGAGGGGGGGAGAGATGGGGATTAATATAAAAATTAAAATAATAAAATAGCATCCTGTTTTCACTAAACATGTTGGATCGTCCAGTTTACTAACTGGAAAAACATTTTTTTTTCTCCAAATACTCTTTTTATGAGCATGTGCAATATAAAATGGAAAATGTTAGAAAGTTGATTCTAGTACATTGTGTATCCAGCTTAAAGTGAGTGCTTAAATAACCAAACCTAAATAATTTGTTTCAGGAGTTAGATAAGATCGCCTATAAGGAAGGGTTATACCGAACTAAGCACTGCAGTGTTTGCAGTAGATTGCTTCAAGTCTGAGCTCTCTCATTGACAAAGTGTACAAAATGATCATTTGCAAGCCTTGGTCTACGATTAATCAAAATGTCTGAATTAAAAGTAAAGTTGATTGGCTCAGCAACTATCTTTACAAAATTGACTATCAATGTAAGAGTTTTTTTAATATATAAATATTCCATGTAGTTGACCTATTTGCCATTTAAATCACCCTGCGTTGAGGCACGACCCAGCCATTACCCCTGACAGGGCTCTGTGAAGCATCTGATTAGTCTGGCACCATGATAGGAGTCCAACAGTATATAACATAGGAAAGCTCTCTCGTGCAACAGCCTATGAATGATCGCCCTCAATCCATACTGAAAGGCTTGTACCTGGTGCACACAAAGATTCATGTATACCGAGGTATTGCTGGCTGTCACACAACTGAGACAGTCAAGCAGTATTGATCAACTGGCTCCCAGGCTCCGTGATCACCCTGAGTAGTGGTTCGATGACTTGGAATGCAGCTGATCACTCAACGAAGTGTCTATCAGTATACTGTTGTATACTTAGTATTTCTTTGGTCAGTCTATAAATTGACCCTATAAATGAACAAAAAGACCAAAAATTTGTGGTTTTGGAATAGGACCCACAAGCCCTAGTGAGCTCACCATTAAAAGGTGGATGTGCATATATAATGTGTGGAAAAACTGTTAAATTCAACAGCAGAGAATGATGAGATGGTTAAATGAAGATACTCAATAAGCCCTACATCATAAAGACCGTTTTCCTCTTTTGCAAATGTGTCATGATAGAGGTAAAGTACTTCTATAATTGTGTCCTTTAGGTGATATGGGCCCAGAAAACCATTTAGTCAAAGTTCCGAAACTGACGGATCTCCTAAACATGGATATATTTCTTAAACTTATTTTGATGCATTTTTCTTTAGCTGCACTGTTTAGAAATGACCAAACAAAAATAAAAAAAATTCTCAAAAATGTTTCAAACATTTTATTCATACAGCATGTCAGGTGAAATGTACATTTAGGATATGAAACAGAAGTTAGATATGTAATAAAAAAAAAAACATAAATAACATTAAATAATATGCATGGGTGCACATTATGGAACAAATACAAAGCAAAAGCACAAAAAACATTTCAGTCGAAATAGTGCAGAATCTTATATATTTTATTTATTTTCATGAAGGGCAGAAATTTATATTTTGAAAGAACTGTATGCATATTGAAAAACTTTACTTTATATAAACAGGATACATGCCATTTTAGGTGAACATAAACATTCCCATATAGGTAAAAAAAAATCAACATTTTATTTTCTTTTTTTCTTTTTCTTTTTTCTTCTTCAGTATAGATTCCTCCAAAGAAATTAAATTGTTTCTTTCCATCCATCCCAACTCAGACATTAACCATGCCAACAAGTCCTTGTCTATGTGCTAAGCTAACCAGTGCATATCTCGCTTTGTAAATGCTCTCTTTGCACTTTCCCATTTTTTTGCATGTTCGTAGTGATTTCTTGGAAAAAAAACAAAAAATTTCTACAAGGCACAATCTAGAAATTACATTTTAAAGCATGTATCTTATTTTTTTTTTACTTTATACACAAAAACCTGAGCTCAAGTTATTGCCAATAAGCAGAATATTCTTCTCCCAAAGTAAATGCAGAGGCGCTCCATATCCCAAGAGAGAGTGCACAGAAAATCCCAAGAGCGATATGAAGCTTACATAAGATAGCAGTATGAGACCATAAAATGATACAAAACATAATGTTCTTTATTACTGTCCATAAATTATTTTGAAAAGCAGCATGATAAAAAGCATCCAGATGTCAACCGCACAATAATTTAATAAGCACAACACAATAACATCTCCTGAATCTGAGACCTCTCCGAGAGTCCCAAAATACTACGTTGCTTTGTAGAAGATTAACACACCTAGCTGTCCACAGTAATTCTGTTAAAAAAAATAAAATCCTGGATAGGACAAGAAAAGATTCCACCTCATCAGTCTACAATGCTAGATATTCAAACAGACAATTCACTCTGCAGGACGTAATGCACTTATCGCATTTCTGCAGAGCCTGCAAGGTGACATATCGGAAACTGGAAGAGAAAATTCTGGGTTTTTACTCCTTCAATCTATGGAAATTCCCCAGTTGTATTTTAACCCCTTAAGGACCAAACTTCTTGAATAAAAGGGAATCATGACATGTCACACATGTCATGTGTCCTTAAGGGGTTAAAGGCACACTCAAAACCCCATAATCACTGTAATGTCTTGCTTTTATTCTGATACTGTAAGCTGCCCCTAAACACAAATCTTTTAATTTCCATTCTTTTTTCTTGACTTTATTGTCCTATCTTTTCTTATCAAGTTATGTCAAACAGGAAGTAACTAGCCTCAACACTGAATCATACAAGTATTTGTATGGTGCAAATCTGCCTAGCCTGATTTACAAAAAATGCTTAGTATAGGGGATGAACCTATCTTATGTGATATATATGTGTATAGGTAATATATAAATCTCAGGAAAGGGATGGAGTATGACTGGGGTTGTAGAGAAATGGGAGAGAGATACACAGGTTAAAATTCACCAAAAATAATTAATAGGTGCCTTCCAAAAATTATGCAAATCGGAAAGATGCCTGAATCTAACAGAGGTACAATTTAAGCTTAACAATCGTATTTACTTTGTACCCAGTCCTCTTAACAGGATGTGCTCTGACCATACGGATAGGTGTTGGAGATGTGAGTTACGTAAAGGGGATCAGATAAACATTTGATGGAAATGTGAGACGATTTGGAAATTTTTGGAACAGATAGCACAAATAAATCTATAATATCAGTAAGATTAGACTACCACTGAAACCTGAAATATATTTACTACATTTAAATTTCCCCAAAATGTCTAAATTTGAATATGATTTGGTGGTCCACATTTTGCTGGCAGTAAAGATCACAATAGCCAGAAAATGGAAATCCTCAACACTCCTAACCTGGAATGAGGTCAAAAATCAACTTCTCTTCCAGCTCAAAATGGAAAAAGGAATAGCCATGTACCAAATTGTAATTTTGAAAAAAATTATAACTGGGATATATGGATTAATTTAATCCCTGAATGAGCAAAAATCAACTAATAATCTGATTAAGTGTAGTGAGTATTAATCCTCCTATGGAGCTGCCTCGCCGGACACATATGTTTTTGTATTGGATGTTTAGGAGGGCCTCTTTATAATGATGTACGATATTGCAATGTTGGGAAGTGGAGGATTTATATAAAAGGTAGAGGCCGCCAGGTGTCTATAGTATGTTTGTGTATGTTTTACTGTTGTTCGGTAATGTTGGAGATTTTCAAGAACAAGACAAAATGGGAAGGGGGAG